AAGCCCAGTGTGTACTTTCTAACAGGATCGCATTTGCTGATTGGTTTCTTGCACGAACCTCTCTGAGGGTGTCTTTATATGACTCCCGGTGGACATTTTCACGGCTGTCCTCAAAAGCTCTCCGATGAGTTTTCTTTTGGGCTGTAATGTGTGTTGTTGGGCACGATGTCCGACGAATCGCTTTTCGTGCCGGAAGCTTCTTCAGAAACTTTAGAATGAGAGAATATTATGGCATGTGGAGTAAAACATAGGACATGAGGCCAAACAACATGCAAGGGTGGCCCATCAGAGAACCGTCTTGATAATATCAGCAATGGTAGGAGAAGAAATGTACAACATGGGTTAACTTTATTTATTCTACATTTTTATCTATTGATTTAATCTAGTTGCAAAGGTAGAACAGTTATACTTATACTCTATGTTATATAACAATTTTTATTTTTGGCTATGGTGTAATAACATCAAACTCCAATAAAATAAATGTTAACTTAATACACCTTGTTGTGGAATATATATTCAAGCGTTGGTATTTGCGTTGGTATTTTCTAATTTTATTTCATTAACTTTTACTGTAAAAAAATATTAAACATTACATTGAAGTAAAATTCTGGGCTTACTTTAATAACTAGCAAGGACATTGTAATTCTTTCAGATTTAATGTGTTCCATTTTTATAATTAGCATTTGTTTTTTTAAGCAATGGTGTAATACTGCTGGGGAACTAGACCACTTGAGCTTGTGTTTTTGCACGGTTTACAATTAGTTTTCCTTATTAAGTTCACCGATGCATGAATATCACAGCAGTGTGCAATTTTACTGCTTGTTTTACAACATGCTGCTTGGCCGGCAATCTAAGATGAACCCAGAGGCAACGATGAAATAACAATTTGTGGAACACCTGAGCTTGTAACCATCGTATACCACGGCAGGCTGTGTTATTTATTTTGAAAGTTTGATTAGCGTTATTTTTAGTGCTATGACAACACCTGATATGATTGTGTTGTTTACAATTACAAAAAGAGCCTTGAATGGTGCACTCATAGATATCTCCTTTGTAGGATGAGCTTTAGTTTATAGTTGATATTTTTAATTATCCATATGTATAGGTTACAGATTAGAGAATATATGTGACAGATGTATGCTTTCCTTTAATTTTTAGAGTGGTGAAATGCAAATATGCATTTTTTTGTGTGAGGATTTAGATGAAAATCTTTTGAGACCAATGTGCAGACGAAGAAAGGGAATTATGTCTTCCCAAAATGTCATGTTGATTTGTAGCCTCTGTTATTTTAGAGGAGTGAAAATTATATTCCTTTTAATATTCCTTTCACGAACATTTTCACTCATCCAGCGCTTATCGTCCGATGGAAACTAGTACAGATATACGAATGTAAAAGAGTTTGACTTGTTTTAGTTTTGTAAGATGTTCAGCCATCCCTGCACAACCGTGTGATATACACGTTACTGCTCCGGTCAAAGGAATCGCCACAGCAATTTTTGTTGTGTGATAATTATTTGATACATAATGCAATGCAACATCATCCAAACTAGTTGTCACTTTCACGACAGAAAACGCAATATGCAAGTATAGTCGTGTCTGGTTCTCTAAATACTCACAACAAAATGCATCTTTGCATTTCACCACTGTCAAAATTGGAGGGAAAAAAATACATCTTTCACATATATTCCTTAGTTTGTAACACATATGCACAGATACTTAAAAATGTAAACGATAAACACAAGCTAACTCTACCAAGAAGATAACCATGAGTGCGCACCATTCAAGGCTCTTGGAACTTTATACACAACATAGTCATATTAGGCTTTGTCATATAGCACGAAAAAATAACGACGATCAAACGTTCATAATAAATCACAGCTCGCCATGCATACCACGTGTGCCATGGTGTATGGTCCAACTGCTTACTCACTGCATAGCACAGTGGTGATTCTGAAGCCAGAACAAAACTCTAGTGTGCCCTTAATACTAAGGTCCATTTACCCAGCTTCTGGAAAAGTAAATTTAGATGGGTACATTCCTGCACATTGAGGAATCTTGTCCTTTCTTTGCACAGAACGTGACCTTCATTGAGGCAATCGTTTTGGCATGCAGATGCGTACTTGTGTGTATTATAAATGCCTGCACCTGAAGCAATGCACATTAAAACCACATTAAACAATTGGTAAATATTGCATTGTCCACTTAAAGCATGGCAGCAAGCTGTTTTTCGTTAAATGTGTTTTTTAAAAAGTCACGCTTGTAAAAAAAAGTTGGCTTTTATTTAATATTTTATTTAACTGAGCAGGCAATGTTTAGCACAATTAGGGACTGATGTCTTATTGATCGGCTTGCATTCAAGGAGTGCTAATGGTTGTAAATTTAGATGCTCTAATACACTTAGCTTTGTGTAAATTCATTTATTCAGCGTGCTGGATGCAACTGATCATTACATTTTCTTACAGATAAATATTATTTTATTGGAACGAGAAATGAAGTATATGTAATTCATTTTTAAATCCTTTATATTAAGTTCGCTTGCTTGCTTGCTTGCGTGCTTGCGTGCTTGCTTGCTTGCGACCATGCAAATCTTTCGGTCGTTTTTTAACCCACTTCCAGTGATACAATCAAGCTGACATTTTCCACAGACTCGTTGTGCGTGACAATTAATTTTCGTGAAAATATTTTTTCCAAAATTTTACACTGTTTAGGGAAATTTTTTAAAATATTTAATTACCAATTGCTTAATGCTGGCAGACAATCATCTGACCCATAGGTGGCAGCCATCTCAAGCCAGAGGACGAGAGGACTCTAGCCGCCACGCATATAAAGGATGTATAGTGAAAAACTTTGTTTTTACGGGTTAATTTGTTTAAATCCTTTATATTAAGTTCACTTGCTTGCGCGCTTACGACCGTGCAAATCTTTCGGTCGTTTTTTAACCCACTTCCCGTGATCCAATCGAGCTGACATTTTTGCACACAGACTTGTTGTGCGTGACAATTTATTTTCCTGAAAATGCTTTTCCAAAATTTTACACTTTTTAGGAAAAAAAAAATTATATTTAATTACCAATTGCTTAATGGTGGCAGGCAATCATCTGACCCATAGGTGGCAGCCATCTCAAGCCAGAGGACGAGAGGACTCTAGCCGCCACGCATATAAAGGATTTATAGTGAAAAACTTTGTTTTTACGGGTTAATTTTTTAAATCCTTTATATTAAGTTCACTTGCTTGCTTGCTTGCACGCTTACGACCGTGCAAATCTTTCGGTCGTTTTTTAACCCACTTCCCGTGATCCAATCGAGCTGACATTTTGCACACAGACTCGTTGTGCGTGACAATTACTTTTCGTGAAAAATGTTTTCCAAAATTTTACACTTTTTAGGAAATTCTTTTTTTTATTTAATTACCAATTGCTTAGTGGTGGCAGGCAATCATCTGACCCATAGGTGGCAGCCATCTCAAGCCAGAGGACGAGAGGACTCTAGCCGCCCGTTTCAAAGACCAATGTGGGCTGGGTTGTGGCCCATTGAACACGTACTGTAATTTATTGTCTTGCTGTTTGTAAGAAACTGAAAACACAGCAAGGTCCTCCTGTCATGGAATGTAATGTAAACCAATCGAAAGCAAACAATATGTATTGCTGTTTTACAGTTTGTTCTCATTTGATGGATTTCGCTTCACAAAACTGTCACCATCGTAATGATGACGCAAATGTTGACTAACCACATGGCATGAAATCCCTGCCCCCACGCTGTACAGTGGAGACTATTTATAGAGCAGTTAAATTGAAGCCGCCAGGTTCTTGAAAGTGGTAAAACGGGTCAACGCTAGTGCCCTCGGGAATATACGGGGCATGTCAAGAGGTGATCTTACATTTTTAAATCCTTTATATTAAGTTCACTTGCTTGCTTACTCAAGAAAAACAGAAATGAATAATAAAATGAAACCGATGCCACGCATATAAAGGATTTTAGTGAAAAACTTTGTTTTGACGGGTTAATTTTTTGGGACATTGATTTATCTAGATTGGAGTCTGACGTTTCACGTATTAAAAAAAATCTATCACCGATATAACAATTTCACAGAAATACTATATATAGGAATAAAATCTACTTATCTCGGTTTCGTGGACACGTTGATGTACAGCTCTTGCTGCTGTTAGAAATCATTTGAAGTCTCACATTCACTTCCGGTCTATGCAGCACAGGTGTTAGATGGATTCTCTAGACATAAAATGAGAGATATGTCATTGTCTGCTTGTGTGTACACATAGTGTATCAGTTATTTATGTATGATTGTGATCCAAAGCCTTGTTTGAAAGACTGCTTTGTTTAACTATGCAGAGTGCAATCTGATGCCATATTGACATTTATCAGCTGTTCGAAAGGTTGCCTCTCAAATATCATCTGCACTTGAATGTACAACATATGGTGTCAACTGATTAATACAAAAAACCGAGACATTTTAATGTCAAAAGTGTCAATTTCACATGCATGTGCTGGTGGCAGTAATAATAACGTTGCCCCCCAGCATTTGGCAGCAATTAAAACTTCTATTAGAGCATGCACTTCATCACGACTTTCCACATTTAGCCTTTACGTTAATGATTCATCCCCTCTTGCAGAATGGTTATTGACCTTTATATGTTCAATTTTAATTATATGTTTGTTTAAAAAAATGTGCTAATGGATGTATGCAATGATATTTGTATTAACTTCGCAATAGGTCACATGTTTGCCTCTTGATCAGGATATACCACTTTTAAATAATGAGAAATATACTTTATTAATTCTATGAGATGAAAATAAATGAGATTTATCATGATTAATTAATTATATACTTGCTACCATCTACAATTTCTATGTGCTTGTCAAAGTGAATGACAGTGCGTTTAGATTTAATTTACCTAATATACATAACAAAAAAAAGAGATATTGTGGGTACAATTAACCGAATACTTTTGTTGATATGTGTTTCTCCTGTTTTGAATGTTCCAGACAATTCAAATCAACTTTGAGAAGTTCGAGCTGGAAAGGGATTTTGACATGCTTACGGTGGGTGATGGTCTCACTGACGGTGACCCTGAAACAGCAATTGCAGTGTAAGTATTGTACAATATCTGCAATTACCCGTGCCTATTTAGGTTTTTGAAATCATACGTATATTTATAGAAACAAAGACAAAGATTCCCCCCTCATAGCCTGGACAGACGTTTGGAGCAATGCTGTTAGCAAGCACCTATGAAGGCCGGCATGACAGACGAAGGGTTCGGTGGCCAGCACGACGTCCAGCCGCTTTGTCTTCCCAGTGACGACATTTACACACAACACCTGGTCGTCATTTGAAACCGAGTCATCCTTTAGGGGAGGCCCAGGACCGGTTCCGATTATCGTCACTGATGTTGGCCGTGAGTGGAAATTAAACTCGGGTTACCGGTTCGTAGACCACGGAGCTAACCGCCGCACTATCCTAAGCACCGACACTTGAGCTGCTAAAGTTAATAATTTATTATAATTTTATGAAACACACGCAAAAAAGCATAATATAAACTCGTGTACAGCATCACACACCTACCTACTCCGGTGATAACATCTATTGAATGTAATGTTTCTACACGTGAGAAGTCCACAAACTGCAATAAGCAATTAAGGCTATTTACAGGAATAACTACGAAAAATATAAGACGAAAAATACATTTATATTATTGCATTCTTGAAAAAATATGCATTTGGTGTGCTATTAAATAAATAAAATACTCTCTTTACCAAACTTTGACTAATTTCTCCCTCTTCCACCAATATATTAAATTCTATAATAATTATAATTGTTTTAAATGTGTCTGCATGTTGGTGTGTTTTGGTCACGTTGTGTACCAGTCTGACAGGAACAAATATACCAGACGTAGTTGTCAGTACTACGGGACAAATGTGGCTGCACTTGCAGACAGATGAGAGTGTCAATTCCCTGGGGTTCAAGATTATCTTCCAAGGTAAGGGCAGTCATTCACATTATTCACTGCGATTAATGCGTGGTACACGGTGCCACACAGCTGGGTTATGATCATCAATCTTTCAGATGCCACGTGCATTACCTGCTTGCTAGCTTCGTAATCGCATAACATTAATAGTGACCTGTATGATTTTATGATTGGCAGAAATGAAGTACAAACACAATGTTTAGAGATGCGGTTGCATGTCCACGTGTTATAAATCCAAAAATCGCATTATAGTCGGTCTTTCTATTCAACAGTTTAAGTATGGGTGTGTTCCTTCATTCCGCATGAATTCACATTCACCATTTTTTTTATATGCAATTCCAGTTTGTACACATTCTAAATCCAAATCTGTAATTTGTCTTCTGAGACAAGAATACACCAGAAACGTATGTTGATGGGTGCCAGTGAAACTATTAACTGTTATCAGAATTCATGAACATGCATGGCAAGCATTATGTGTTATGCAGATCCACTGCTGGATGAGGGCATCTCCATACTGCGTGGGTTCTGAGCATTGTTTTAACTTATCTTCACTACGTTGGTGATGGTGGACAGGAAGGGGGAGCATCGAAGTAATAAAACATTGGTATTTAAACAATGCGAAATATATACTCGTCACAGCGGACTCAACTAAGACATTAATGAGTAAATTTTTTTTACGTGGTTTTGTAGAAAATCAACTTTAATATCATGCGTACTTATGTTCCCAAGGTTATTGTTCCACGTGGGATTTTGCACGTGTTCTTTTTATGATCTGTGAAAAAAAACCCAGAAACAATTGTCTTAATCAGTTGATTTAAATGTCCTGGAGAGCACCACAAATTACATTCACTTTAACCACATTGCTTACAGCAAAATAACAGATGGTAGTGTTTGATATACCAGGAAGCCACTTTAGCAACACTGTTGCTGAGCATTTAAAATGTTCTAAAATGCAATTTGGTGACATTATTGGCTAAATTGCCACACTAAGTGAAGCTGTTTTGCAGGTTTTCACTTCTTAACGCATCTGCAGTGGCATGTGTGCAGGGTGTGTTTGAGCCGGTGCCAGGTGTCGTCTTGTGCAACGATATTGAGATATCTATTCTTCACTAAATTACACGGTATTGCACATAGATCTCGACTTATGCATTCATCGTGTCTTCTTGGTTCTTTCGGTAAAGTCATGTATAAGGGAAATAATAAAATAATAAAAATACAATTCTTACTGTGAGAATTGTATTTTATGTAAAAATTTTATTATTTTATTATTTCCCTTCTACGTGACTTTACCAAAAGAACCAAGAAGATGAATCCCTGCAGTCACGAAAGCTTTAAATCGACATTCATCGTGTTACCTAAATTATATTTGTAAAAAGGTTCATGTTTGTTGCTTCACAGGCCAGTACAAGTAAAACTAAATACAGTATATTTTTTTTATTACTGGGAGAAACACATTTTGGCATTTCCATCTACAGGACTTCAAAAGGAAGGTGGTTATAGTTCATTTTGAGGAATAATATTATGTTTGAGAAACCAATTTTTCTCTAACTCATGAACCAGGGATGCTGCCAAGATGCAGTTGAAACAATGATGCAAGTTTCTTAAATCCCCCTCCCCACCACCACCTCAATCCACTCAGCAGTATAAATGGATATACCACAGTTAGTCGATCACGTGTAGTGGGGTAAAGTGTGGGTTACTGCAAACTCTTTCAAGCACTATGGCTGGCGTGCAAGCACAGGCAAAATGTCCTCTAGAGGGGACATCTGGAGTTTCCTTGAGTGGAGGCCCTCCCGTCAGTAGCAGCTTTAATGTGTGGTGTAAAGTGTGGGAATTTCAGGACTGCCCCTTTACCTTTCATATATGAACTGTGACCTTATAGAAGTTGGCCAGTGGGCAAAAATACCACTGAATGAGATAATACCAAAGTTATCATTTATTTTTAATTAACATATGATTATCTGTTTTTGTTGCGTATGCGCTTTACGTTTTAATTAACTGTTTTGTTTAATTCCTCCATTTAAGCCATACAAAACTGTGCTGTGTAATACATGGCTTTAATTATGAATTTATGCAGCGAATTTATTAGTTATGCCATCATACCATTACTGGGACAGGACCCTGATAATTGTGTTAAACCGAGATAATCTACCGTAAAGCCAGACTGCTTGGCCAAGCAACTATTCTCGTTTGAATTTGTTCTGCAGTGTATTAGCACTGTATGCAATTGATGAAGAAGAAAACCTCACTTTAAAAAATGCATTTATTGTTGACAGCAAATGAGACGTTAGGTTTTGTTTGAGCAAACAATTATTTCATACGTTTCAATTTTGATTGTTTATTTATTTTACACGTGTTTTTTCATGCTGAATGACCCTTAGAGCACTCACTCTAGTTTAACAGCTCCAGCTTCGTGGTAGAAGCCAGTCCACAGCAACACGTTACATCCGATGGAATGCAGTTTGCAGTTAAAACCACTATCCTCACATGGTAATAGGTACAGCAGTGCTATGATAGCCTTAATTCTGTGCAACTCTGAATGTGTTGAAAGTAATTTTCCCCGAGCCAACTTAGGTAACGTGACATTTTTTAAATCTAGTATTGACGTTTATATATATACACATATGAGCAGTGTTTTTGTATGATGGTTCTGCTCTGATATTATCTTTGCTGTATTCTGTTTTATTCATCTTGTGACTCAGGTCACTCTTTTAATTTAGGGGCCGTCCATAAATGACGTCACGCGATTTTGGACGATTTTTGACCCCCCCCTCCCTTCCGTCACACGGCGTCACGCTTCAAATCGCTTTAAACTATTGTCATTGTAGTGCGTATTTAATGTGGCGCTGCACTCTTATGTTGTAGGAGAAAACATTTATTACAAAGTCGATTTAATTAAGTAGAACGTGTTGTCTATATTTATTTTAAGTTGCGCATTTTGATGTGACGTCACATTTCTCAACCCCCCACCCCTCCCATCGTCACACAGTCACAAATGTCTGACCCCCCCCCACTCCCAGGTGCGTGACGTCATTTATGGACGGCCCCTTAGACTATCCTGATCTCTTGAGTTGCACGATCGTTTCAACAAAATACTTTAACCACATGAGAGTGTGGACCTGAGGGTTAAGAAGATAGACACCGTGTGAACGATGTAGCCTCTAATGTTGCTGACCCTATAGTTTCCAGGTGGTGCGCATTACCTTCATTGAGGTGTTCCCCATTTTTGTAAGTACATAAATTGAGTAATAACTCAGAGGAATCTCCGATGGATTTAAAATATGCCTCTTTTGCAGCCGTGTTTTTCCTTGCCTATGGCTTTATCAGTCTTAGAAAACCTTCAGAAGTCACATTTACAAGTTAAATGTTGCCATTTTACCCTCAGGTAAAACCATTTACGTATCCACATACGATTAACACAATTCATGTGAAGCGAGCCAGGAAATCTCTTTCGCCTTAAGGTTTAATTTGAGAGTGTGATATAGTGATATAGGCAATCACAGGACACGATCAGTCATTAGAATTGCAGGGCATTGCAATCGCGCACCTCTGTGCTGTTGTAATTGTTTTAGGTAATAATCACACAAGAAGATCGCTATATTTAAATTTGAACAGGTTCACACTCCTAATTTTTAACTGATGTTTTTATCTCCCTATTATTATTTATGTTATTGCCTGAATTGTAAGCTAGGTATTTGGTGTATAACATTATTAATCTATTTTAAAGTAGAGGATTATTCAAATATTAAAAAAACAAAGTCCCTGGCACCATCTGGACTGATTAATCAAACATAATCAGAGACTAATACACTACCAATTGGAGCTACCACAAATATAACAAACAAGGCTTCCCTTTAGATTACACCAATTAATATTCTCATTCAATAAATGTAAGGTATTACATTCAGAGCGTGCACGGTCTTCCAAGCTTTAGTCGCTTACATTAAGATAATTTTTAACAGTCACTCGATATCAATATTACACTTTATATATAGTTCCATAAACATTGTTATTCACACACACTCATGACTATAAATAATCTTGTAACCTCGAATCAACTCATGAGAAAGACGTAATTTCATCTGGGCACACTCTGCACACCACATCCAGTATACATCTAGCGATTACTGTGGATACAAGTCACCTTCAGTCTTCCAGTGACTCACTGATCGCTCGCTTCGTTCTCTCTCCTTGCCTCTCTACTGCTAGCCTGCCCGCCACGCTCTTCTCGCTTCGCTCTCTCCGCTGCTGGCCTATCACTACACCCTCTGGTAGTTTCCCACCGTACGCTCTGCTAGCTTCTCCACTGCTAGCCTCTCACTATATATTCTGCTAGCTTCTCTACTGCTAACTTCTTGCTATACACTCTGCTAGTTTCTCTACTGCTAGCCTTCCACTATGTACTCTGCTTGCCTCTCTACTGCTAGTCTTCGCGCACTCACACTTAGGATTCCACTAGCCTCTCTACTGCTAGCTTGTCTTCCCTCACTTCTCCAACCTCCCCCTTGCCTCCAGTGGGGGATTAGCCATCACCGATGAAGAGGACGAGGTGTGGCGAGCGGGCCCCAAGACTTCTCTTGACTTTACCTTGTCTTCACTTCCAACTCCCTCCCTCACCCGTTCCGTATTTATCCTCCTCATTAAACGCCCTAATTAAGCTGGCGTCCTCCCGTCGCCTCCCGCAAGTGGCGTCTGCTACTATCGCCTCAATCTGCAGACTTCGAGGCGCCTACTCCTTGCCTGCATTTGCAGCCACCCAATCACGGCTATGCATCTTAATTGGCCGTCTCTCTCGCGTTGCTTTCTTTCGTGGCATCTGTTCGCCCTGATGTGTGACCTCACTGCCCGTGGCTCACATTTGCATGCACAGTTTGCAAATACCCCACGCGCGTTACTCCACTACAAATATACACTGTATTTGCTGAATTTGTATAGTGGTCTACACTTTTTTTACTTTTTCATTGTGGGCTAGCACTGAATGCTCATTGTTGTTTAGTGCAGTTCCACCAAGTTGACACTGTGGTCCTTTTAGTTAAAAATGTATCCTGTGAAGTGTCGCTGGGCGATTCTGCTTTGGGTAATTCCCATGGTAAAATATACATGAGTGAGCATCCATGTGTGCATACATGCGTGCGGATGTCTACGTGTATAAATACATGCACCAGTGTGCATCCAATCATATGGTAGTTCTGGTTATCCCAGTGGTAGTCAGAGTGGTCAAGGCGCTTCGAGTAGTAATGCCAATGCTCCCAGTGTTAGTCCCCATGGTCAGTGGTAATTTGGTCGTCCCAGTGATCCCATTGGTAGTTAAGATGGTCTTAGTGGTCCTGGTGGGTAATCTAAGTGGTAGTGTTCTCACAATGCTTGAATGCGGTGCCAGAATCAGGGTGGAATTGGGCCAGATATCACACATCAGACATTGACCATGCATTTGAATGGAAAAGCCAGTGATTCCAGAAGCCCACCGGTATTGACCAGTTTTACAATTATAATTTATAGGATTACGAAGGCATCGGCCATACATTTTAATGCCAATTCTATTTGGCCTGTGAAGCCACAGGCTCTCCACAGCCTGACTCCCCTCAACGATCCCATGATTGCAATCCCATTTGTATACATTCATTTCTAAGAATAAAATTATGAATCTAAGCTAGGCTTTATGCAAATTTTACCAACTATCCCATGACGTATGTTATTGATGATAATGGAGACAAAACTGATAAAATATGCATTACACTTTTGTACTTAACATTATTTTAATACCTCTCTCATTTTCCATCTTCCCCCCAAGATCCACCTGCACACCCACTCTAGATAACCCTCGCATTCAGCTCGGACCCGATTCTCCCAGCACGCTCAGTCCCTCCATATCTCAGCAATGCCCTCTTGTCTGCCCTGCTGTTCCATTGATTTCCAGGTGGCCCTCCGCCCCACTGTAATGACGAGTGTGTAAATGAGTCTTGTACAGAGGCCGTGACGGTGTTTTTTTTGGCTTGCGGTGTGTGCGCTCGCAGAGATTACGGAGAGGAGCTGCGGAGACCCCGGGGTCCCTCAGCACGGGAGGCGGGAGGGCTCCGGCTTCTCCCACAGAGACTCGCTGACATTTGAGTGTCAGGCAGCCTTTGAGCTCGTCGGGGAGAAGACCATCACCTGTCAGAGCAACAACCAGTGGTCTGCAAACATCCCCCACTGCATCTGTGAGTAAACTGCATTTTTGTTTGGTTAACTTTGCAAATTGATTGGCATTAGCTGAGCAGAATACAAATGTAACGTGTAAAGCGCATGAGTGTCAGTCAATACGATCACCCAATACACTCCGAGCATTTATATCCATCTGCAAAAGTGGCGTGTAATGTATCGGTGTCTGTCAGTGCAGGCCTCTATGTTTGGATACAAAATTTGCATATATGTGTATACTATATACTGTATTTGCTTGTTGCATTAATGTGACATGTGTAGGCATATGTCTGTAGCATTTCAGACAGGTTTGTGAATTCACTAGCGAAATGCAATATTTACAACAAAAACATGTAAACAATGTTCCACTAACTTTTTTTACATGCGCCAAGTTTATTTTTTTCAGCGTGTCACAGGATATCCATTCACTTTGCCTTTTACACCACAATTGCCAAAAAAGCTGCCACTATTTCTCATCAATGTAAAAAAAACGACGATGGTTTCCTTGTGAACACATAAGTTAAACCAAACACCAAGTCTTATGTCAAGTGCCCGTGCACACACACACAGCAGCAGATGCCTGACCGAGTCACTAACCATGCCCCTACTTGCTGGATAAATGCCTCGCTCTGCCGTGCATGTGTTATTTTACCATACTTTATCACGCGGATCGGTGCGGGCTTCTGAAGGCAGGGAAGCAAAAGACAAGGGAGGCATAGAAATACAGCACAGGCAGTCCTCAACTTACGAACGCCCGTACTTACAAACCAGCCGTCCATGAAAAAAAACATTAACATTGACTTAAAACACGAATTCGCAGTTGCAAACTGAACCACGGAACTATTTTGTTCAGAGGAAGTGATCCTCTGCGAGGTGTAACGAGTCGGCCTCGCGCTGGGAGTGAGTGTGTGTGTGCGTGCGGACACGTGTGTGTGTGAAAGTATGAGTGTGTGGGGAGCGGTGGTGTAGCGGTTAGCGCGCTCTGCTATGAAAGCGGTGACCCGAGTTCGATTCTTGCTCACGGCCAACGCCAGTACCTGGTGTGGTGTGTAAACATTACCACTGGGGAGACAAAGACGGCCGGGCATGGTGTTGGCCACCCACCCCCTCGTCTACCGTACCAGCCTTCATGAGTGTTACTCGCAAACGGCACTTGCTCCTACAGTTTGTAAAGGAAAAACGGGGGGTCTTTGTGTATGCATGTGTGGGGCAAGGGAGCGGTAGTTCGTCACCTAAGGGCTGCCCCTAAAGCAAATGTTTTGTCTTCACTGCCCTATGCTGCCCACAATGTAACTCCTACATCATGTACATCTGTTATTTTACTCCTAAACTATTTGTATTTTTCCATGTAAGGCCCACGAAGCTATTTATCTCTTTTTAAAAAGCGACCTGGCCACAATTGATAGCTCAACGAAGTTGGTTTATCATGTGCAAACTTATAGCAGCTAAATACTCTTAACGCAGGTTTTTAAATTTGGAGGGAAAAACCGGAGGACCCGGAGAACACTCCACTTGACGACGGGGAGAAACTGCAACCTCCAAATGTACAGCAGGTGTCAGGGTTGGGATTGAACACATGACCCCTGGATACCAGCCAAGGTAGTTAACATCTCGCCACTATGGTATCCAAGGTGGTCGCTCCTTCAAGCACCATCCAGGCCTCAGCCCTGTTATAACCTCCAATATCTGGAGAGGTCACACACATGTGGGTGCGTTTAGAGCAGTGGTTCTAAACCTTTACTGCAGCCTTTCACCCCTTTGGTTCTCAATCGTTACAAAAATGTATAATGTAAATAAATACATATGTTTGTAGTAGTTGTACTTACATGCCCGTGCTTAATTTGTGTTTTCAATTATTTACCTTCTAAAGAAATCTGACATGTCTTGCGCACCCCGGGGTGCGTGCACCCCAGATTAAGAACCACTGGTTTAGAGGAGTTGGCTGCTATACATTTCTACGTGATAAGCCACTTCATTGAGCTATATTTGTGGCATGGATTCGATCCCAACCCTGACACCTGCATATTTTGAGTTGAGTTTGCATTTTCTCCCCATGGTTGTGTGGATTTTGCTTCAGGTCCTCCAGTTTTTCCCTCCACATTGAGATTCAACATGCGTTCAGAGCATTTGGCTGCATTAAATGTCCATGTGATAAGTAACTTCGTTGAGGTTTCATTTTTGGCCAGGTCGCTTCTGAAAAAAGAGCTACATTGCTCAGTGGGCCTTACCTGATAAAATAAAAAAAATAGTTTAGCTTTAGTTTATGGTAATTTGGACACAGCTACTCCACCATGCACCTTGTTTATGGTCCAAGAGCCCAGATCATTTCGTTAACATGTCAGTACGACACGAGGTGGACATCTGTGAAAGATAGCTTTACACCTCATTCCAATAACTTTGTGTGGCCAATAACAGTGTACTGTATTATGCGATAACCATTTGGTATGAGAGTTGTGTCAAGTAATCCACTCTTATGGATGATGTAGATAAATATCTATGGGGCCTTTTTGCCAGTACAACAAGAACAGCCATGTTTGTTTGCACAAAATAGATACCTATGACACGGCATCAAATCTGCATTAACCACACATACTTGTGTCAAAACGTGCAAATAACGATGCTGTGATAATAAATGCATTGTCTTTGAAACGAATTGGCCTACATCAGAGACAGCCTTTTTTGTGACCTTGTATAACCAGTGTTGGACCAGATGAGAACGCCAAAAGGCAGATAGTCCAAAGACACTACACATATCAAAGTATTAAACGCTCGAGTTGAGCAGTTATATAAATGGGACTTTTTTCCAGTATCACAATGATTTAACCAATAAGAAGTGGCTTTACCCTTTCTGGCAAAAAGACTGCATATGTGAGCAGAGCATGTTTGTTTTCATGTTTTGCTACAAGTATGTGTGGTTATTGCTGACTTGATGCCTTGCATTAGGTACGCATTTGGTATTTGAACATCTTAACACCTGTTTTCTTGTCAGAAAGGGTAAAGCCTTTCATTGGTGTAAATAAATAATTACTACTAAATTTGTGCTATCTTAAGTGGTACCAATTTCTGCCTCTGGCCCACGGGTTATGTTGACACGCCAACACACATCACATCTCTATTTCAATACAGTCTCAGTTTTATTTAATGTAAAGCATTATATTAATAGAGTATAGAAATGTAGAAATTGTTATATATTTATGTTATCACTTTTTTTTTACAACTCTTATCAAAAACAGGATTCTATCACCCCAACATTGCCACATTTTACTTCCTTGCACTGCTGAATCACTTTAGAATTACGAAATCACCTTTAAAATGCAAACATCCATATTTCAAACGTAAATATGTAAAATATGCGTATAATATATACATAAATGTACATGTTTGTACACAGAAATATACCTACAAGGACACACGACTTTGAAGTTGCTGTATAATTTTGACATTTTTATAGTCAGTAAGGTTAAAGTATTCATATACTGTGGTATAAAATAGGTATGTCTGTAAAAACAGTTGTTTTGGACATTGAGCTACGTTGCTTTGTCGATATAGAATTTGGACACAAGCCCAATGCCATTATCCTTTATAGAGTGTACTTGCTGTTTGTGGCAAGTATCTGATCTGGGCTATCATTTATGGAAGGCTAATAATCTCTATTGTGTTGTACAAGGTTTCCATGCCAGGTTTCTGCAATAAAAGTCATTGAAAGCATTAGCTTGAAAAACAACCTCAATCCGATCCTAGATGTATTCAAATAAAATCATAAAGTGTATCTTACCTATAAACGTAATTTTTTGTCTGTATGTCTGTCTGCGTGTGGATGAAACTTGCTAAGGATTTGACTCGCGAACCGTGGGGTTTATGTAAAAAAAAAAGGACCCAGGTTTCTACGCCATAAGCCCCGTGGTGAGCCAGTGCTATTCGAATTTCGCATCCGTCAACTTTGACGTAATTAAATTAACAATTTAGTACTATTAATGATTATATTACACTGCTGAGCGCGCGCCAAAGCACGCATCTGTGCATGCGTGACAAAGCCGAGCCGTGGTTGCCCCTAGCAACGCACACGTGATCGGTGGGGGGAATTGTCATTCGCGTAAAAAATGCAAAAAAAAAAGACACAACGCTGAGGTTAATTCTTCACAGTGTCATATCCTCCCCCCACCAATGTGTGCACTTACTACTACAGAGTCGGTAGATGCTACTACTATAGGCCGTAGATACTACTGTAGAGTGGGCGGGGGGATGGTGAGTGGGGGGGGGTAGCAGCCCAGCCTGCCAAGGTGCCACCTCGGCTGGCTGGGCAATCTAGGCGAGGCCCGAGGCTCTGCACGGGACTAGGCCTCACGACGGCACTCTGTGAAGTTAGTAGTTAGTGCTATAGAGTAGATATATACTGTTATAGAGTCAGCATGTACTACTGTAGTGATAGCAGGTACCACCACAGTCAGTATGCACTGCTGTAGTCATAGGTACCACCACAGTCAGTATGCACTGCTGTAGTGAAAGCAGGTACCACCACAGTCAGTATGCACTACTGTCGTGATAGCAGGTACCACCACAGTATGCACTGCTGCAGTGATAGCAGGTACCACCACAGTCATTATGCACTGCTGTAGTGATAGCAGATACCACTACAGCCGGTATGCACTGCTGTCGTAATAGTAGATACTGCTATCGAGTTGGCAGATACTACTATAGAGTTAGGAGATACTACTACAGTCAGTAGCTACTGCTATAGTCAGTAAATACTGCTACAGTCAGTAGATACTGCTACAGTCAGTAGATACTGCTATAGTCAGCAGATACTGCTATAGAGTCAGCAGATACCACTATAGAGTCAGTAGATACTGCTGTAGTGTTAGTTGTTACTACTACAGTCAGTAGATACTACTGTAGGGCCAGTAGATACTACTACGGTCAGTAGTTACTACAGTCAGTAAATACTACTATACCGTCAGTAGCTACTACTGGCTCAGTAGATACTACTGTACAGTCAGTCGATACAACTACGGAGTCAATAGATACTACCATAGAGTCAGTAGATACTCCTGTAGAGTCAGATAATACTGTAGAGTCAGATACTACTATAGAGTCACTAGATACTAATTCTTTTGTATGTATTATGTGTAGGTATATACACCTACGCGGGGGTAAAAATGTTTTAAGGATGGGGGGGATTGACAATTTTCAGAAACCTTTAGATAAACTATTTACCCACCACTTTATATAACTTTTTGGACTTCTGAAAGCTTCTTATAATTTTGTTGGTGGAGAAATGGACAAACGGCCCACCGGGCTTTTCACATCAGCTGAGTATCTGTGTATGTATATGTTATGTTTTTAAGAGAAGTTTTAAAATATATTTTTCACCCGGGCAACGCTGAGTACTTCCCGCTAGTACTCTATAAATGGACAAAAAGCTGAGCAAAAACTGGTGTCTTGAGGTTAGTTGTACTTTTGTGTAAAATTAAGACATTTTATGAAGTTTTTAAATTACATTTGTTTATTGATTGTTGCAGTTATATTTCTTTTAGTAAAAGTTTCAGCATGTTGTAAAGTTTTTGGGACCATTACATTTTCTCAGAAAATAATGGTAATTTCAAAATGTTAAATGTATTTCTCAAAGTTGGTAGGCCATGCCTGTCTAGTCTTATGATTGTATGTGGAACACAGAGCTCATGCATTGTTAATGGCCTGAACCTCTGTACTCAAAACTCGAACAACTTGAGGGAGTGTTTGAAGTGTATTCTTGTAAAAGAACTAACACATTCTGCAACTTCACCAGCACGATGAAGCAACCAATCACAAAACGGCCAAACTTTCGACAAGTGTAGATATGACTCTACATAAAAATACTGTGCATTGTGTTCCGGTAGAACATGACAATCCTTGCTTATTTGTCCTATTTGATACGTGGAGAACAAAAACCATTGTGTTTAAGCAAAACATCGAAATTAACCTGAGCGTGAGACGCTGGACAGAAGCACACTCCTTGGGAACTCCAGAAATTGTCATTGCCTTCCCCCCCATCAGTGCAATATAACGATGCATTGCTTATATTATAACTGTTCACATATAAGGTGCGTTTATAGCCAACTTTTACTCTGTCTTTGCTACTATAAATAACTGTTATATGTTGCGAGAAAACATCAAAAGCCACTCCCAGCTATTCCAATGTTAAAAACTTAATCCTTCAGTGTGTGCAGCTATATTTCTGCAGAAGTCATTTATTTTGTTTTTTGTTTGTTGCGGTTGCACCCGATTCAAGAGCCAAATGGCTCACAGGGCTATACCTAATAAATGAACATGAACTTGAATGGAGTGATTAAGTGGAGAATTCATTATATGGCAGCAATGCCTAAACTTCCTATTGAATGACTAATACTTCAATATTTAGGGGTCGTGTGATTAGACCAGATTTTTCACTTGTTAGTACCACTTGAGATGGAATAACTTTAGGGGTTCTAATTGCTTTATGTGGCCAACAACATTGAATCATGTGATAACCATTTGAAATGAGTGCTTTGTCCTGCTGGCCTGGTTGTATGTATGGTGTATGTGTGTTGTATGTGTCGTGACGGGTACTGCAAGATCTGACCATGTCCGTCCAATCCTCGCTGAGCTACATTGGCTTCCGGTTGCTGAACGAATATCGTATGAGGTCACACTCATTACACACAAGTGTTTTCCACAAATGAACCACAACACCTTGCTGATCTCATCAAGGAGCATAAACCATCACGCGGACTCCAGTCATCCTCGCAGCAGCTTTTGGCTAGCCATCAAAAGACGGTCACTGCATTGCGCGCTTTCAGATGCGCTTCTGCAGCCATCTGGAACGCTGTTCTGCGGCCATCTGGAACGCTCTTCCTTCGGATATTAGGAAGTCACTGGAGCTATGCACTTAAAAATCTGGATTGAAAACTCATTTCGTTCGAACTGTGTTTTGTGTTTAGTTTGTTGTAGTTCCCCCGCAACTTCAATTTCCACGGTTGGCTATGTACACTGCAAAGGAAGTTGAACATACATACATACGTACATACATATGTTAAACTTATTTCACACCTTATGTAGCCAATCCTGATAATCGGAGGTGTGGGTGTCTTAGTTTTCTGTGTATTTTCAGAGTGCCAGACTTAAATCCACTCGTTTAGCACGCAGCCTTGGAGGAGACCCTAACCTTTTGTGGAGATCTGTTTGAGTTATTTGGAATATTTTGGAACATCAGCAATGGACATTAGTGTTTAAACCTGGATGCAGCACATTAACCACTGACTCACCTACATGCCCCACGGCATTTTATTAATTGCAGTTACAAAGTGTTTTATGGCTGTCAAGTATGTAGCTCAGCGGTGCACTGCATGTCACGACTGTGCAGACTCCTTCCCTTAGGATATGCAGATGATTAGGAATGTGGCTGCAGAATTCATACAGTGCGAATTCATGGAGGTTTCGCTTTTTTTGACATTGTGAAATTTGTACAGGTTGCAATTACCATATTGGAGATAACCTTTTATTGCTTAGATTAGTACTTCCCAACATTTGCTCCGCGGACCACTGGGTTTCTGCAAGGAAGTGATCCGAGGCAGATGCTATCGTATTTTTAACAACACACCATTTTCTTATGCTGCCCATGACATGATTATTGAGATCGTGTTCATGACTCAGCAAAAACAGCAGGCTTCTGGCTGAGTCCGCTGATTGCTGACATTGTTTATGGACATCATATCATCTGTTATCGGTGCATGGTGGGTTGTGAACACATTTGGAGGGTTGACTGTGGACCAAAGGTCCAATAATGTTGGGGACCACTGCTTTAGATAATCACACATTAATAGATCCCCCCCCCTCCCAAAAAAGTAAAAAAGAAATAGTTGACGATTTTGAAGTCGATTTAATGTGACGATATACATTTAAAAAATAATGATGCACCACCTAATAAAATGTATAATTGACATGCATCACCCAAAAGTATTTGAGTATATACATACACCTGAAGTTTTCTTAAATAGTTTACCATCTGCAGTGCTGTGTTTTATTGATTGCATGTGGGGCCGTTATGAAATGCAATGCTTGCTATGCAGCGTCATCACCATGCATGATGCCAGAATATCTACGGTGCATAGAAAATGGCCTGTTCAAAATGGTATGCACATAGGCCCATAGATTATTTAAGGTTGACCACGACTTGATGTATCGCATCGTTGCTTGCTGCATCTTACCACTTTGACAAGAAATAATGTTAATCACGCTATGCGCATTTATTATGAACACACGTAAGAGGGTGTGCATAATCAACCAATGTTGTGAACTGTAATATATCAAAGATGATATCTAAAATATTCATTCCATAATACTCATTGTCTATGCTTCTACTATGCGTTCTTATACATAATTGCGGTTTGTTGTGAATTGTGATTTTATTGATTCATGTATTAATGTATTCAGTTTATTTATTCTTGTTCGTCAGGTAAAATTCTTTTTGTAGAGGTTTTGACCTTATTTCAATTTTAAGGACGTGGTAATCTATAATTTAGGCTCACATCCAGTTTTCCTGTAGTGTGCCCATGATAAGTAATCTGCCGAGCACTGTGTCCTGCCATGCATTGACCCTGCTGCCAATGGGGCTGCTGAAGCCACGGTTTAAATTCCTATCTCACAGGGACTTGTGATATTCTTCTGCAGTGCAGATTTGTGACTTGCATTTAATGGATGTAGGGCTCACTGCACTCGAATAAAACATGGATTTTAAAGCAATAAGGTTTTTTTTGCTTTGATAAAAACAATTATCTGGCTTTCCTCCATGACTTCTAGGTGCCGCGGTGGCGAGATGTTAACTCCCTCGCCTGGTATGCAGGAGGTCTTGGGTTCAATCCCAACCCTGACGTCTGTATATTTGGAGTTGGCATTGTCTCCCTGTGGTCGCGTGGATTTTTCTCTGGGTCCTCTGGTTTTTCCCTCCACATTTACAAACATGATTTTAGAGTATTTAGCGGTTGTAAATTTCCACGCAATAAGCCATTTCGTTGAGCTATCATTTGTGGACAGGTCGCTTCTGGAAACGAGCTATATATCTCAGTGGGCCTTACTGGTAAAATAAAAACAGTTTAGTTGAAATAATTGAGTTTATTGCGCTCATCTGTAACATCTATTATAGCCATCGATGTGCACGGTACAACGTTGTATATCCAACTCGCTGGTAACTGACATATAGACGGATATGTGAAAAGGCTGGATATGCAAACATCTGTAGAACATAACAGTTGCACCATGCACAATTATGTTACTTGACCAATATGAAGTTCAAACTGGTTTAAAACATGCACTTTATAAGTAAATGTATGCAAGATTAAGAATACATGAGTATATGGGAAAATGTCTGATTTGTGAACATCTGTAAAAAATGGTCACATCGTGCACACATACTGCACGGGGTGTGGGGAGTTAATTGGCCATGCGACATTATATATGTTTTTCTCCTATTTTATGTTATATCTGATTGTTTTTTCCTCCTAAAAACGCACCCTATTGTAATTGCTGACGTGCAGACACACAGCAAGGGCCAATGCGGACATTGGAAACACACAAAACAGAATTACTAAAGCAAAGCTTTTTTTTACACCCTTGTATTTCAACAACAACCCCCCCACCCCCATGCTGTCATCCCGTTGCAGTTCCGTGCTATGTAAACTTCACTTCGCCAAGTGGAGAGATGCTCTCTCCCAACTACCCCGAGGGCTACGGCAACAACGTGAACTGCGTGTGGCTGGTGCTCGCCGAGCCACGCAGCCGCATCCACCTGCTCTTCCACGACTTCGACATCGAGTCGCAGTTCGACTTCTTGACCGTGAAGGCCGGGGAGAGGGCCGACACGGCCGTGCTCGGCACCTTCACTGGCACGGAGGCGCCTTTCCATCTGGCCAGCACGGGGCAGGTGCTGCGCCTTGAATTCCAGTCGGATCATTCCGCCTCTGGCAGGGGCTTCAACATCACTTATGCCAGTAAGCGGTGGGGTGGGGGGCACGGCTCACGATACCGGCAGTGGTCGCCAATGGCATGCAAATCACGCGGGGTTTGTGTTTGCAGTGATGCACAAACACAGACCATAAACGCCATCATTTTATACACACTGCTTAATAAGTGCCGTATAACTGTTATAATAATCTGTTATTCGAAGGTAAATTTACAAATGAGCATCAGCAATCAACATCTCCAAGCTTTTGAGTATAATAATATCGATAATGTGCCTTGTACTTCAATAAAATAATGATACATCTCCCTTTATGAGGTAGGTTTGATGGAAAGGTTATTATTTATCGTTTTCAAATAAATGCCAGTACATAGTTGACAGCTCTTCGTAATCCACTGCTGAATGAAGATCCCCCAATCACCATGTCAGTCATGGGGATTGTATAAGCATACTTCACCTTGCTGGTCAGTGCCGGGTGGGGTCAACTGAATATTATTTGTATCTTTATTATTCCTATTTAAGTTATTTTCACTAACTAAGACATTGAAAAACTTATGTCATAGTTATTATCTAATCAGATTCTGGTAATAGTTTTGATCATGACTGGTCATGGAAGCAGACAAATGTATTCTGTCGGTGTGTTTCTTCAACTACCAGAGGCTACCCCTGGTTTAGAATAAAGGAGGAGTGAATGAATGTTTTATTAATCTTCCCCCCAGTATAATTTCATGAATGATGTGCCTCCCCAAGCCTCTGGTGAGCTACAGTAACAATTATGTTTCTGCCAGTGACTCTGATTAATGTTTATTACAATCTCTTTATTTTTAATTGGGAACATAAAATATTGAAATGTTTTTTAAGCATGCGTTTTCCTTTGTACTTAGTTAAACATTCTGGTGCTGATATAATTTATTTATTGATTGGCCTATGTATTTCATGTTGAGGTATTTTCCGTAATTATTTTTGTTTTGTTTTTATCTCTATTAAACATGTTTGATTTACATTGCCATCTTAAATATCGACTTGGCATAAATTAAACGTATTAATATAATTAACGAGACAATGTGTCAGTTTTGTACGTATTCATTTGCAGACTATGCAGGTGGCTGAAAGTTTTATGTTTATTATTTTGTATGGTAAGGTGGGTTTGGTGAGGTTGGTGAGTAAGTGGGCCAGTGGATGGCTTCATGAGTACCCTTGTAATTTAATTGTTTAAATATATAATCGCCACGGTGGCGAGATGTTACCTACCTTGCCTGTTATACAGGAGGTCGTGGGTTCGATCCCGACCTTGAGGCCTGCATATTTGGAGTTTGCATGTTCACCCCGTGGTTGCGTAGTTTTTTTTCTCCGGGTCCTCCAGTTTTTCTCTCCACAGTTATAAACATGCATTTAGAGTATTTGGCTGCTATACATTTCCGCATGATAAGCCACTTCGTTGAGAAATAATTTGTGGCTCGGTCGCTTCTGATAAAATAGCTCTATAACTCAGTGAGCCTTACCTGGTAAAATAAAATAGTTTAGTTTGTTTCAGGCAAGAAATGACACTCATCTGTTCAATTTTTTGGGGGAAATGTATCGTAAAATGTTCAAAATGGTCTATGTCTCCAGTGTATAATTTGATGTGATAACCATTGCAGAATGCCAGCTTAGTGCTACTTATCAGCTGTCAAATGTTCCCACGCACGTTAAAATCAAATTGGGCCTGAATCAGGAAATGAAACTTGAAATTGTGATTCCACACCCATGTATTAAATGTACAAAGAATGTGTGCCTATGGTAAGGAAAAAAATATACAATATTTTTGTGATGGTATGTGTGCTTCTAAAGTCTTTAAATCAATCGACTTTATCACATTTCTCATGTAGAACATATCGTGATTACACATGGAAAATGTTATAAAACTTCCAATACATATTTTGCTTGACTTAAAGCTTTCGCAACTGCAGGAATGCATATTCTTTGGGTCTTTCGGTAAAGTAACGTAGATAGGTTCAAAGGTTCAAAGAAAACCTATCTACGTGACTTTACCGAAAGACCCAAAGAATATGTATTTTTCTACTTCGGACTTTAAATATGAATGGATTTGATCGCGTATTAATTCATATAACATATAAAATGAGCATTCATGAAGTGATTAATTAATGTTTTACAATGACTAATTACACAAAAATATGCAAACATTGAAGTAAAAGCAATGACATGGATGTCTTTAACAAAAAAAAATGTTGCCATTGTCTAAAAGTCTATGGTTTAAAATAATGATCTATGATATCCTCACATTCATCAAGTTCAACATTTTCAGTAGCATGATCAGTTCACCGATTGCTACATCATTCTTAACTTGCACATGTTCATGCATCTCAAGCCATTTACAAGACAAGTACATACTGGTGGTTTGCAGGAATGTGCACGGTTGAATGACCACAGTTCTATAACAGCCTCTGGTGCAGGTGAGCCACTCATCCAGTCAATGAGCAGATTGCCATCATCATAATCTGTTGTCCACCGGTATCCTTCTGGGTTTGGCACAGAGACTTGTTTTAAAGGCACATCCTCCAAATGTCAGCTTGGTAATTGGCACAGAGGACATGCTTCAAGAGAGAATCTTCAGTGCAAGGGCTGAAGAGAGTCCGTTTCTTCCTTGTTTGGAACTGAACAGTTGCCATCGCAGTGCATTGGCTTGGACGAAAGGTATATGCAACGAGTAAATTCAAGTAAATTAAAGTAAATTGTATTTTTGACGTAGTTTTGGAGACACCACCTATGATCGGCTAACCTGACTGAAGGGATCTTGGTCACTTTTCTTCGCTTTAAGATGTTTCAGGTGATTGAACGTACTATGGCCTGCAAACCACACTGACAGAGTCACAACCTAATCAGAGCCTCACAGGCACTGCTTCTGAGTGAAGTTCCAAGCTATCCAATGTCAAGGAACCTTGTACGGTTCTCTGTACCACACTTTTGGTACATAGAGCAATTACATTTATTTGCAAAACCAAGGTACAGTATTGTCAACATTTATGGCTGTGGCTTCTTTATACCGAGTCTCTGAAGCATGCAATGCAAGTAGAAGCATGCGGGTGCCTGCTTTCCTCTTGTATAAACTTCAATTCTTGAAGCTCCTCCCAGTAGTGATCCCTTGTAAACATCTGGCATTGTTCCTCAAAAGTCATATACAATGAATTATGTGTTGCAGATTATCTCTCTGTATTTAGACAGCATCCACTCTTCCACAAAGAAGTAGATTCAACTTGACTTGTTGCAGGGGCAGACAAAAACATATTTTGGACAGCTGGATGCTGTGGCCTTCGGGCAATTTTTTTGCATTTATGTCTGGTTTCTGAACCTCAGTTACATCTCTCAACATTTTTTGATGGACTTCTCCCAGTACACATCAAACACATTATTATCAATTCTATCATTCGGAGACAAGGCAGAATCTGCCAGCTGTGCAAATGTCTTGCTGCCTCCATTCATTTTCTGGACCAAGCTCATTCCATGATACATACTGATGGTTCAGGAATAACTTTTGTGGAGGACACATTCCTATGTAGCTCTCTGGAAAGTGCTGCTTTATTTGTCCTGCATAGAGTTACATCACCATTGGAGAGTGCCCCATGGCAGTGGTAGCTGTCTTCCCCGGGAAACAATTATTATTTGCTAAAGGAGGTTTCTGTGTGCTTTGAGTACAACTTCTGTAGCTTCAGCTGTGTATTGATGTTGACGGGTAGCCTACATTGCCTTCATCCAATGTGATATCATTCGCCAATGAGGATCTAAAAGCTAGTCCAGTGACTGACTGTCTGAGCTTCAACATTTGACGCGCGACCAAGAAGTTACAGAAGGTTCCTCTCCTCGGCATGCTGCACCACAGTTCATATTCTTTGGGTCTTGTGGTAAAGTCACGTAGATAGGTTCAAAGAAAATAACAAAAAATAACAAAAATAACAAAAAACTACGACGTTTCGATCACAACACAAGCGAACGTCATCAGGAGGCAAAAAAGATATGGGAAAGCTGCTGAAGCAGACTGTTTTAAAGGTTTAAAATGGGTGTAGCCCAAGGGTCAAACGAAGTGGGCGGGGCTAGTGATGTTAATGTGAGAAATTAGGTTAATGTAAGATCGAAGGGCGACCTCCACGATGCACGTGCGGTGGTGGCTATGTTAATGTGAGAGATTAGCATGTTAATGGAAGATCGCAGAGCAGCAACGTCGAGCTCGGCGAAGCTCGGTGGCTGTTAGTGTGGTAAATTTAACCTGTTAATGTAAATCAGAGAGCCGAAAATAACAACTAACATCGGAAGGTGGTAGGATGGGAACATCACAGCCAGTTATGACTTAAATTGGTTGATAACGTCCTTCCAATGATCGCTCAGTTTATAACCATCTTCTCGATTGAAATTGTGCCTATATATATGTGGATGGCTTCATGAACGAATCTTTGTTGATAGCCAGTGGGTTTGCAAAGTACCTTCGTCTTAGAGAAATACATTTCGTGTGAGCCCACCGCATTAAAACAATGATCAGCCACGGCTGAGGTATTGTTCCAACCGTGTTTCAGATCTGCCTTATGTTCACGAACACGGTCCGAGACATGTCGCTTAGTTTCCCCAATGTAACTACTGCCGCAGTATTGCATGTCAGGGATCACATCAGATCACGAATTGTATGTACTGTGTTACATTGGGGAAACTAAGCGACATGTCTCGGACCGTGTTCGTGAACACGTCTCGCCGAGCTTGACGTTTCTGCTCTGCGATCTGCCATTAACATGCTTATCTCTCACATTAACATAGCCACCTCCGCGTGCTCATCGTGGAGGTCGCCCTCGTTTCTCACATTAACATGCTCATTTATCACATTAACATCACTAGCCCTGTCCACTTCGTTTATGACCCTTGGGCTACACCCATTTGAAACCTTTAAAACAGTCTGCCTCAGCAGTTTTCCCCTATCTTTTTTGCCTCCTGATGACGATCGCTTGTGTTGTGATCGTAGTTTTTTACTATTTTTTGTTATTTTCTTTGAACCTATCTACGTGACAATACCGAAAGAGCCAAAGAATATGAATTCCTGCAGTCACGAAAGCTTTAAGTCAAGATTTGCACCACAGTGGTGGTGTCAACCTGTCTACTATGGGTTGCTGGTGGACACAATCGCTGCCCTCCATTGTAGGTGGGTAGCATTAGGCCTTCAGTGCTCAAACTTAGTTTCTGCATTCTCTTCACATATGGCATTGCTTTGTATGGCTCAGGTCCAGTGAATGTAGCTTGATTGGCAATTCAATTTACTCTATGGGATGTCCCTTGTCCACTGGCAGTTTCTTCAAGTCAGTCAATGTTGTACCAGGCAAGGTGGTAAACACGCCAGGAGGGATATTTTGCTGCCACAGCAAACAATGCCTGATAGTCAGCTTTTGCATGCACAGAGTGGTGTCAGTCCCTTCCATTTAAGAGTATGATACACTGACCAAGCCATTTTGTTCTGGCATGTTTATCAGTTCTACATTTCATGTCAATGATTTCATAGCATATGGCAGAATACTATGTTTGTTTCTGGCTTGTTTCTACCTCATGAAATGGCATACACTAATAACTGACCAAGGGAGCTGATAAGTCACTCGATTCCCTGAGGGGCATTTTTACAGTCCTTTGTTTTATCAGCATACGGGGCAAAGAACCCGATGACTTAGTCTGGAATTTTGGCTGTCTCTTGGTCCACCTTTGACATAGCGGGTAGCCACAACTCATATCTTGCGTCTTAATATCAGATCTATTCTGCATAGCTACCTTGTTGATAGTGCCCACAAACAACAATATATCTCGGGAAAAGGTTCTCATCCACTTAAAATGCAATATCATGAAACACCAAAAACATGAGGGATCGAAAAGAGACGTCTGTCCATTTGTAAAGGTTATCACCTAATTAATTTGCTCATATTGACCATGCATAGCCATTGCTACCCCTAAAGAATTGTCTGCTCAGGTGCTACACGATATCTGGTTTGGCCCATGGACTAATATCTGAAATGCTGCCGGTGAATTATCGAAGCAAGCAGTCGTGTTACTACGTGGTGCATGGCTTGATATTGATGACCACAGCTGCACTGTGGGCTATTCTTAATTGTCCATCGGTGTAGGAGATAGCCGCGTCGGCCCTGCCATGTTTGTTTACTGAGATAGATATCCTTTATTACGTTACATTTTATATCAGTAAATGTTGGGACAGCATTTATACACAGTACCGTGTGTATACCAATGTGGTAGCCTATCCAAAAAACACATTTGTATAGCGTAACAAACACATGTGCCTAATGAGAGCTTTCACATTTTGTATGTATGTTGAACTTCTTTCACACCATATGTAGCCAACTGTGCTTCAGCCCAGGTATATAACAGTAACATAACTGCAACCAAGTCCACATGTGCACATATAACGATAACAAATGCAACACTCATTGTGTGTCTTCTGTCTCTTTACAGCATTCGGCCACAATGAATGCTATGATCCTGGAGTCCCCACGAACGGCCGACGCTTTGGGGACAATTTCCTGCTGGGCAGCTCGGTGTCATTTGTCTGCGAAGAAGGTTTCATCAAAACGCAGGGCTTTGAGGAGATAACGTGCGTGACGCAAGGTGGAAGCGTCATCTGGAATGGGCAGATACCGACGTGCGAAGGTAACAGCAGCGGTTTAACTGTTTTGTGAACATGACAGTTTAATTACGGAGCTGCGGTGAAATAAAAAGTAGTCTGCCATTACGGCAGTTGTTTTTATTTATTTGTAGTGAGTCCAACTGAGTTGCAGACGTTGTGCCTTTTAGAGGCAACACCTTTATTTGTAACACCGTAACACAAAGGGGTAACTGCCCCTTTACCAGATACAACCTAGGGTGGTGATCACCCAGCTAACTACGCTATACAGGGGAGTTACTGCAACGAAGGGTCGGATCCTCGCTCGGGTCTCCGACCACGTGGTCCCCCGTACGATGAGGTGCTTTCAGCTGAGATGCGGAACTTCCCGCTTGTAGAACGAAGAGACCCCGGTCCCTCTAAGGGACTCGCCTAATATCCCTCTCCGGTCGGGGCCGCTCCACCCTCGGCCCTGCCCGCCTTCCCGAACATTCTCGTTCCCTCTCGATCCTTCTCAAGAGCTCTCTCCGGACACGTGATCACCCACTAGCCCCCCCCCTCACCTGGGGCCCCCTGTATGGACATTCCGGATCACGTGTCTACGGGGTCAACCAGAGTGCCATTGCCTGGGACAACCATGTCACTGGGCTGACACTCACCCTCCCCCTCGGGGGAGCCCCCACCACACGCTGTGCGTGGTGCCTGCACTATCCCAGTGCTCGCCAAGCCCTGCTAGGGGTGCTGTTACACACAGCCACCCACACGGTGCTGTCCATAATGTAGGAACATCGGACGGCACGATCCTTCCGGGCCGGCACCGTACAGTGACATGGCCGATGTCACTACATATTTACAATGTAACATAATTAATGTGGGTACCTGCATGACTTATTTACAAGTTAGTCATTATCAGAGTGGCTATAAAAAATAAAAGTAACAATCCAAAAGCTGCATATGCCCCTGAAGTTTCATTTCGGGTCTGAGTAAATTTTTGCAAGTATATACCACATCCAGGATGCCACGGTGGTGAGATGTTAACTACCTCGCCTGGTATGAAGGAGGTTGTGAGTTTGATCCCGACCCTGATACCTGTATATTTGGAGTTTGCATTTTCTCCCCGTGGTTGCGTATATTTTTTCCGGTTCCTCTGGTTTTTCCCGAAATATTTAGAAATATGCATTTAAAGGAATTTTGGCTGCTATAAATTTACACGTGAAAAGCCACTTCCTTGAGTTTTAGTCTGTGGCCAGGTCACTTTCGAAAGAGCTATATAGCTCAGTGGGCCTTACCTGGTAAAATAAAAAGTTAAGTTTTGTTATTTTATCACCTAATTGTATGTAATGGTCACACGTGATTGTCTCTCTTCATTGGTTTGCAGAGGATATCATGCACCGACGGTGTGCAATGCTGCACTCATTGCGAGCATTACAGAATAACTTACACATTATACTGGCAAGCCTGCTGTGAAAGTTCAGGAGATTGATAATGCTTGAGACTCGTGCAGTCAAACAATCAGAACCCTAGTAATGAACCAGGAATGATATTATGGACTTTAGAAGCAGCAGGCAGAACACACAGTGGACTGATGTGTGATTCCCACGCATTTTGAAAAATAAATAAATGCTGCACATAACAGTCGTAAAAAACCTAAACTGAGTCAATTACTCCATGCTAAATGTAAATTACAGAATTAGATAAATAATGATTTATAATAGGTGTGGGATCAGTAAATAATTTATTGTGAAGAGTTTATGTTTCGGCATTGCAGGAATAGATTACATTGCAATATAAAACTACACATAATCCAGTGATTAATAATTGCACATGTTTTTTTACTCCATTAATTTCAATGAACTAATCAATGCTTGCTACCATGTAAAAAAATGCAATACACTGATAATGTTGGTGTGGACCTATAATTGATCGCAACTGATTATAATTTGCCAAGTCATTGATAAAAGCAGCGACTCAAGGTCAATTCACGTATCCTTTTTTGTGTCGTGACAAGCATTGCGTTTGTGTCTTTCCCTGCGAAGTTTTGTTCGGCATTTATGCCGATAAATATATGGTTATTTGTTTTTACCCACAGCACCCTGCGGAGGGCTTCTTTCTGCACCTGTTGGTAACATCCTCTCACCGGGATGGCCAGGCCAGTACAAAGATTCACTTAGCTGTGAGTGGTTGATTGAAGCGCAGCAGGGACATGCCATCAAAATAAAGTTCGTCAGGTATGCACGAGTTAGCACGTTAAAAGTGAGCATTTTCCTTAGAGCGTATATTTTGAAATCTTCTCATAAGGGTTAATCACCCAAATGTTAATATCATTTATTTTTTCTTTAATTTTATTAATCAAGTTTTCACTGTTCGAATACATCTTGGTTGCCTCTCATATATATATATGAATAATATAGAGAAAATAGCATAACATGATGCATTGAAACCGTACACAAACAGATAGTTTTCTGACATTGAACAAAGGGAAATGAAATGAAGATGAATATGATCACTGTTATGGATGATGTTGTGGTGTCATAGTTATCCTACTGGACTTGCATTCCTTCCGATATTAGGAAGCCACTGGAGCTATGCACTTTAAAATCTAGATTGAAAACTCATTTTGTTAGAACTGCGTTTTGTGTTAAGTTGTTCTTCCCCCACCCCTCCAATTAGTACAGTTGGCTATGTACGGTGTGAAAGAAGTTCGACGTACAAACACGCATGACATTCAGATGTCACCGGTTTGATCTCCCAACGCGGCAGTTGGAACAATCCCCCCGCCTTTGTCCACCCAGCAGTATAAATGGGTACACCCTAGTCGATGAGCAGGTAGTGTTTGGTGGCCTAAGTAGATAGATAATCCGACCTATTCCAAGATATCTGGCCAGCATAGAAGAGTAGGCCGGATACCTTCTAGAGCGGATTTCTAGAGCTGCTTCTGGTGGATGTTCTTCTGCCACAAGTGGTGTGAGGAAGACATTGCAGGTGCTGCATCTTTACCTTTTTCTCAGTGTTGAAATATTGTGTATTGTTGACACGCGTGTCTGGGTTTAATGTGACTGATTTGCAGATTTCAGACCGAAGTAAATTATGATGTGCTTCAAATTCACGATGGCCGGACTGAAGGTTCTCCTGTTGTTGGCTCCTACCATGGAACCCAGGTTCCACAGTTTCTGCTCAGCAGTGGCAATGCCCTGCTGCTGATATTCACGACAGACAGCAGCCGCTCCAGCTTTGGCTTCCACATTCAGTATGAGAGTAAGTGATGTCATTGTTGCAATGTCTATCTGATCCAGCACTCGCCGATTTATTCCAGTCGCTTGCTCATTGGCAGTTAGTCATCTCTGTATCACTCGTCTATCGCTACTACCGTGGTTTCTGTTCTCACAAACTGTTCTCCACTCATATTGAGGACTCTATTAGACTGACTATTTCATCTCATCCACGCCACAGGTTTAAACACGTCTTTCTGCTTCTTTCCTCACACTGCTCCACTTTGACATTTCCTCCCATCGTCATTGGGGCACCGCGAGGGCGAAATGTTACCTACCTAACTTGGTATACAGGAGGTTGTGTGTTCGATCCCGACCCTGACACCTGTATATTTGGAGTTTGCATGTTCTCCATATGGTCGAGTGCATTTTTCTCCTTAGTACTCAGGTTTTTCCATCCACATTTAGAATCAATATGCGTTTAGAGTATTTGCCAGAGATACATTTCAAAGTGACAAGCCACCTGATTGGGCTATCATTTATGGCCAGGTCGCTTCTGAAAAAAAAAAACTATATAGCTTCGTGCGCCCGCCTTACCTGGTAAAATACAAAAAAAAGCTTACGTTGTTTTCTCCCGAGTTCTTATGACCTTGCTCAATTCAATGAATACATTTTCTTATTGATTATATGTTTAATATTGCTGTCTGCTGTTGCCCACTTGATGCATTGGGCCTTTGAACCTATGCACAGAAATTGTGATATAAACAAGGAGGAAAACTCAAATACTGCAATTGAATTATTGTTGACATTCTAAGACAGAGAGCGTAGCATAATAAAATAATATTTAAGTGTGCTCATTGTTCTGGGTATGGGTGAAAGTGGATGATGACGTCTTGTTACTTCTCTGTGTTTTTTATTTGCGAAAAATATAAAAAGTAAACGCTCAAACATTGGCTGTTGTTCATCTTAACCCTTTCCCGTTCCGATGATGTACGTCATCGGAACGGAATTGGAAGTAAAATTCCATACAGGAGGGCGTGTGGCAGTTAGGCGCCAGCTATCATAGAGTGCGGTCGTGTCACTACACTTCTCTGCGGTGAGTACAATATCTTTAAAAAACAGCGGCACTCAACCTCTCTAAATAAAATTCACGCTGAGCCGCTTGCATCTTCCGAGAGTTAGCTGTGAAGAGGACCCACCGTGCAACTTACAGACGTTTCGGAATGGGAAAGGGCTTGTCATCAATCATTGAAACAATGGGCAGAAATTGCCATCACTAATAACAGCAGTAATTTTTTTCTTTCTCTGTAAGACTGTGGAATTCTGACAAAATACTTATCATTTGACTGGAATGCATTTCCTAATTTATTATATAGTAATACGCCTGTTTACATCGGGGATGCATTTCTCAAATGCGCGACAAATATCGTAACGACGTAAATCAAAGCAATTTTTCCAAATCACCAAAATACTAAACTTAATTTGGAGCTTTCGTGACTGCAGGAATTATTCTTTGGTTCTTTCGGTAAAGTCACGTATAAATTTAAAATAATTAATTAAATTAAATACTAGCATACGACGTTTCGATTGCAACACAAGCAATCATCATCAGGTATAAATTAAATAGAAACACAAATCTAGTATACTTAGAAATGTAATGTAATACTGTACGTAAATAATAAATTGTTCTTTATAGTACAGTACATTTCTGTATGTGTAACGCAAAGTAGGTCATGTACAGGGTAGGTGGAGGCAAAGGCCAAGGCGACAAATCCAAGACTAGACGGATGCTGTCACAGACGTAAGTGTGGGGTTGGGGCGACGCACATCCGGTAGCGGTTTTAATAATAACATGACAACGTATTCGTGAAATGACGTATAAGGGGGAGACATACCTTTAATCCATTATACCTTGAATATAGTTCTCACTTTACTGGCCATAAAGGGATAATGGGAGACTTGACCATAGCAGGTATATGGATACATCATATGTTCCCATTAGAAGATTGATTTTATAGTAAGTGAACTCTACCTTGGCCATTAGTTTTAATATAACATCTTACTAGTAATTAAAGTAAAAATAATACATTAAATGATCACATTTCATGCTAATTATAGTCAATGTATTTTCTTAGACGTAGTTTGTTGATTTTTTTTAGTTGAAAAGTTAAGAAAAACTAAAAATAATTTTATTTTTTTGCAAATAAAAGATACATTTTCTTCTGCAGTAATTTGTCATCTTGGAAGACATTTAAAGATAAGTCTGATAATGAATTTAATGGTCTTCATCACTAATTATGCATATGAGCAGTAACATTATGTCATATGCGTACTATGCAGTTTTTTTATCGGCAGTACATTTCTGTATGATACTTGAAATGCACTTATTCATCTGACAAATTAGTCTTTGGAGAAAATGACTGATATTAGTTTAAAATATGTTCGTGCAGGTGGTTATGAATCTATTTATGGTTACTAAGAGTTACCTTGTTTTAGGAATGATTAAAATTTCATGCCACAACTAATGAGTAATTTTATCGCTGTACCGCATGCATGGCAGTAATTTGGACAGAATGCCCAAATCCGATCTAAAAGCCTCTTGTGTCACACGTTTATTAATTGACCTGAGGGCAGGTCTATGCTAATAATACTACTACTACTGATTTTCCACTTTGAGGAAGGTGTAAAAGCTTTGTGTGATAATATAATCTCGAGTGTGATGCTCCATTCAGTTATTTCAAGACTGCTTACTGAATTTCAGCAGGTTCATGTCAGAAATGGTTTGCTCTCGCTTTAAGCCCAAAAGGAGAGATTACTTGGTTGCATGCGCTGTTCCTTTTGTCTGACGTTTCGGTGTGCATGTAAGCGTGCTGTAAGTAAGGGAGTATTACATTTTGAATGTGCCGTTGCTGTCTTGTTTGCCTGCAAGGTATCCCCGTGGACCGGCACTCTTGTCTAGATCCAGGGATCCCTGTAAATGGACAGCGTATGGGCAACGACTTTTCCATACAGGCCACCGTTACCTACAGTTGCCGGCCTGGCTATGCGCTCAGCCACACCAATCCATTGCGGTGCGAAGCAAACAGACGCTGGAACCACCCCCTTCCCGCCTGCGATGGTATGTTATGATACATTATTCATGAGCTTATTGACATATTTACTACGAGCCACTTGTTTGTTCTTATTGTTGTTCTTGTCAGCCTGTAATTTTCCATGTTAGGCAATGGCTTCTCCCATGTTCTTCAACTCCTTCCATTACCTCGTCGCTTCTGTCCAGTAGCGGCTTCCGAACTCTGTAATTTCAGCTCGCGGTCTCTTCCGCTGTCATCCTCCACCGCATTTTTTTCTCTTTCTCTCCTTATCCATCTCTGGTCAGTTGCACCTCTCATTAGCAGCGTTGACTATGTATGGTGTTAAAGAAGTTCAACCTACATACATGCAATTTCTCTCATGACATGTCGTGCCCATGTTTGTTTCATGCCAATTGTCTTTGTTTTATAAACTTAGTGCCATACGCGATAAATGTGTAACTTATTTATGACATGTACAATTACAATATAAGCCGTTAAGTTAATCTATTCTTATGTTCTTATGAAGGGAAAGTATTGCAGGTCTGCACATGCCACAATGTATCTATCTAGTTATTTATTTATTATGCCAATTGTTGTTTTCACTTTCTCACGAATGCAATTGGATATTTTTCAAAAGCTGTTAACAAAATTTACGTAGCAGGTGTCCTAATGAGTGCTGTCTACTTCACAATGGACATTCAAGATCCCGCAAAATTTCTTAAAAATAAGTAGGCCCACATGTGCTGGCATTGCAGTCCAAATTTGTCAAATTAGAAAAATTGCTGTCCTTGCAAATAACGTTAATGGCTTAAGCTACATAGCAACAATGCCACCGATTGTTAAACTACTGCAGATTATTATCATCTGTGAAAACATAGGTGCCTTCACAATCGCCTTTCGCTATAAAAATTGCACCAAAATACCGTATGTACTGAACGTCATGGCTTTTTTCTTTTGTAAAGTGATCTATTGTACTTATACATTTGATTATTTTTGAAATAGGAGCCATTTAGGCACCTTCTTTATGATTCAGCGAGCAGACCACAGCTAGAGCCTATGTTGCTCAGGGTGATTCTCCTGGGTGACACGAGGTCATGCTTTTGTTTAACCCTAACCATGCTTCCCACCTCCTGCGCTCGCACCACACACTACGCCGCAGAGTGGGGATGCATGTCTAAATGTGGATGAACAAATATAATGCCCCATGACACGAAGCCGTTTAATAATTGTATGCCGTATGCACGTCCCCGTGTGCTTGCATAATATAGCGGATTTACCAAGTGCGAGATGCACGAGGCATTCCTCGTAATGAATTTAAAGCATACGTGTTACATTTTATAATACAAAAAAAGGGGAATGTCAGTGCATTATGCGCCCAATTCGTCCGTCATGCCCATGTCATTGCTCATGACATCCCTGGCAAGCTTTGATGGTTGTAGACAGCATTTCTTGAAAATGCTCAGGGACCAGAAAATATTACCCTGGCTTGTGGGTTAAATGGGCAAATGTCAAAGCCATGTTATACCCAAAATATTGGTCCCCTCAGCTTCATTCTGCTCATTCTTTTCTCTCTGTGGACGCTCGTGCTATACTGAGTCAACAGATGAATTCCCATACCCACTTAATAATGTCTGTCGGGAATCGCCACAGGATACAATCAGGTGTAAATTCATTTTGACACCATTTGCAAGAGTAAACTATGGTATAGTAGAGCCGAGCGATCCCTCCAGGAATCATATTAAACTCCTCCACCCTGGATGTTGAATGCAGGAATCGTGATTATTCAATGGACGACTCCCTTTAATTTGAATGAGGATTCTAACACGGATTCTGCCATGGAAATCATCTGGCAATGAGATGAGATTCTAATTTAATTCTATTATGGGTCTGGCTTAGCAGAGCATTGCCGACTCCAGCTGAGCAGAATGGAGATTTTCGGATGATTTTATTTTATTGGTATTTGCAAAGCCTGGGCTAGCTAGCACAACTTTTAATCAAATAGTTTCCAAAATAAACAGAGTTATAATTGCTTGTTCGTGGATTTTAGTCAAGAATTCCATCGAAAAATAATACAATTATGCTTGCGCATAATTATGCTTGCGCATAATTGTATTATTACAGATTAACACGGACAATTTAAATGTGTATGTGACTCACCGAAATATCATAAACCAATATGATGTATACTCTTAGGTTTTTTCGGTAAAGTCACGTAGGTAAAAATTTAAATAAAAAATAATAAAAGTAATAATAGAAATAAAATGAGATAATAAATCACGACGTTTCGGAGGCAACACAAGTCTCCGTCATCAGGTGGGACCGTCACAGCTAGATTTACTGTATCAAGTGAGCCTCACTTGAGGCTCACTTGATACAGTAAGAAGACTAACTTCTCGACAGACCTGTTCTCCACCTGATGACGGCTGCTTGCGTTGTGGCCGAAACGTCGTGAGAATTATTTTATTATTGTATTATTTCCATTCTACGTGACTTTACCGAAAGAACCAAGAAGATAGTGCATTGTGGTTAGGAAGTCTACATCCAAATCACCTATGGGGGGACTACGTGGCTGTTTCATATTCTGATTAAATTATCATATGGGGAATGCAAACTAACGAATGTCAAGTTTTTTTAATATCCACAACTGTCAGAAAATATATCCCATTTTATTGGTGCAGCGCCAAATGAATTTTTTTAAGAACGTATAATATATTTATAAATTGGGGGGGAGGGGGGGGAGATAGGGTTGAAAACTTGATTTTATTAACATGCATGTGAGTTCAGTTATCTAAAATATAATTGAGCAGCCCTACCCAACTGGCCTGGCATATTTTATTACAACAATAATAATACTAATTTATCCCTTTGTAAATCCACTGCTGGACAAAGGCCTCTCATACCATTTCAGTCAAGGGAGTTGTTTAATCACACTTCCCCGTGTTTGTCGTGACACAGGCTGATGAAGGGTTGGCCTCGGACAGGTTCACATATCACTTGCCACTGATGTTATCTATGGCTGGAAATCAAACTGAGGTCATTGGGTACATAGCACAGTGCGCTAACCACTGTGCTACTCTCTGCCATGTTTAGCTAATTTTAATTTTAAAAAAATTCCCATGATCACAAGTATGATGTGATACCTTCACTTTCATGTCAAGATGGTGCAAGCATGTGGAACTGCAATGTACTGCACACAGTATATAGATTGGTACACTGTATGCATATAGTTGTATTGAATTATTAAGGAAAACACGATTACAATTGTGTGGTGTGATCTTTAGTCCGACCAAAGGATATCGATGTTGCTTAGTTGACAATACCAAGCCAACTGTTGCCAAATGTCGGGAACTTTCAGTAATGCATGACCTGTCAAGTATCTGATAAGTCCCCACTGGGTGCAAACTGGAAATGACAGAATGAGAGAGTTGACCAAACTTTTTCTCACTCGTAGCTCAGAGTCATGCGAATGAGCTGTGCCAGTTGAGATACTGTTCTAGTAGCTATGGGTTCCTAAGTGATCTATACCCAAACAGGAAAACGTGTTATGAGAAAAGTATGTATCGAGAGCTGCTCGTTCTTCTTTACCCATACTTCTTCGCTGTGGAATTCCCTACTTGCACATCTGCTGACACCGCTGACCCTGCTGAAATTAAAAAAAGTGTATTAAAACTGCCTGTCCTTTTCATCAATACTTCTTCTGACACCTCCAATGCAGTTGTTGTTGAGGCTCTTCACTACGCGGAATTGATTTTCTTTACGATTTTTTTTTTAAATAACACGCAAGCTGCAGTGGCACACCTTTTGCTGGCTGCATATCTAAATGAATGACGAAGTGTCAATAGTGAACACCTGAACAGATCTAAATGAAGTCTTTGTGCTCCATTTTAGATGTTGGTTATTTGAACTACATCTTTCATGACCGACAGCTGCTTGGATGAGACACAACACAACCAGGAGTCATCCTTCAGCATCAAAGCATATTGTTCAGGACATTTCCAGAGATCAGATTTTATATACCAAACCAATCTCCAAACACATGCTATGTTCCTAAGTTAATTGAAAACATGTGTATACCTACATAAGCTTTTCTTTGTGGAGTGCAGGCATTAATAGTTAATGTAAAAATAACGTGTTTTCTCCTACATTTTCAAACCTACTTTTCTCTGCTATCATGTTGAACATTCTTAATATGTGTGTGTATATACATTTACGTCCTTTACAATGTACAAATGCAATGTTCACACCTGCATTGTATGTATAAATAAAGTGACAGGTGGCCATACAACGCCTTTGAAACAATCAATATGAGGAAGCGTTTGCTTCAGGGCTGCCAAAAGATAGGCAGATTCCACCACTGTGCACAAGGTAGTGTCAGTGCTGCATTGAGTGATGGAATGTGAGTACACCCACAAGGGGATTATTCATATCCTTCAGCTTAATTACACAATAATTGCTATTATTCTAGAATTGCTTAGCAAAAGTGCTGCAGTTATAGAGCTATTCTTAAAATAAAAATAGCTCGTGCTTTTGTATAGAGCCTGCAAGCCTACCCAATTATGAATTAAAGATCAATAGTCATCCCTTTAGGTTAATTATTTAAACACGCAATGATTAGAATGTGCAGCTTTGATTTGAATGCTCTTGCACGCTGCGAATGTGTGAATACAATTTGTGAGATGCACGTGTTCTGCAAACAACTACAGCGTTTGTGTGAGCACCTTTAAACAGAGCGCTGATCTGATACAAGCAGTCACATAAACGAGCCGCCAAACTGAGCTTATGCGCACAAACTTGACAAATGGGTTTATGATAGTGTTATGAAGTATGTTTTGTTGTTATATATATGTGAAGCGTGGCAGTTATTGCTTCCAGGAAAAAAAAATATCCTTTTGTAATTGCTGGAGGTTTGTATTAATGTGCAACATCCGTACAATATTGCAGTGTCACTAAGTCACTAAACATGTGTAGCCTCCAGAGGTATCTGGCGATGTGAGCGGGGATGTGAGCATTGATTATAGACGGGTTATTAAGCATCACGCTTCTGAGTGAGCCTCCCAGGTCCAGTTCTGCCGTGCATTCACTGTGCTCTTTTCATCCCTTTAGCACCATGCGGAGGGTACATCCAGGGACACAGTGGAATAATCCTGTCACCAGGTTACCCTGATTATTACCCCAACTCCCTGAATTGCACGTGGACCATTGAAGTGTCTCATGGAAAAGGCAAGGTCTATTATCTATAGTGGCTTCAATAAATGCACTCATGCACGCATGCCAAACATTCACGGCGCACACTGTTTCAACCGGCCACGTGTAAACCTGAATAACGTTGACAATACTCCACATTCTGAAGACTCATTACACGTCTGGGAGTCTGATAACATCTCCTCCCATACTGGGCACATTGTCGATATCACACCTCACCTCCTTCATTACATAATGATGGTTGTATTAAAAAAAGCTTTTCCTGCAAATTTATATTTTCCATCAGGCTAAAATGTCAGGTTTCCTTACCTCTGAATTAGTGGAAATATGTATGAAAGTACATATACCAATTTTCAGCCCTTTGTCAATCAACTAGTTGGCGGTCGTTTGACCATACTTCACCACGCTGGTCAGTGTGGGTTGGTGAAGGTGAGCCCAGGATAGTTCAGAATCACTCACCACTGATAATGGCATGGCCGGGTATCACACTCATCTACAACCCGCATGGCATAGTATACTAACCACAAAGCCACCGTTTTACATGTAACATTTATTTAAAGAAACCTACACCGATAAAAAATAAATAACATGATGCAATCTTCTTGGTTCTTTCGGTAAAGTCACGTAGAAGGGAAGTAATAAAATAATAAAAATAAAACATAATAAAACAATTCTCACGACGTTTCGGCCACAACGCAAGCAGCCGTCCTCAGGTGAAGAACAGGGCTGTCGGAAAGACAACGTTCTAATAAAAATAAACATAAGTTAAGCTTAGCAGTGTTCATTAGAACGCTGTCTTTCCGACAACCCTGTTCTTTACCTGAGGACGGCTGCTTGCGTTGTGGCCGAAACGTCGTGAGAATTGTTTTATTATGTTTTATTTTTATTATTTTATTACTTCCCTTCTACGTGACTTTACCGAAAGAACCAAGAAGATGAATCCCTGCAGTCACGAAAGCTTTAAATCGAAACATGATGCAATGTTCATGCAACACTCCCCTGCACTGCTATCTTCATTTCTATACGTCCATTGACCATGGGCACACATTGTGCTTTTCTACACATTTCTGCGTTTTGTTAGAAACGTATGTTGCATTGTTGCCATTGCATTTTGTGTAAACCAAACCTCTCCCTGATGCAGGGGTCCAATTCGTGTTCCACACGTTTCAAGTGGAAAACCTGCATGACTACCTGCTTATCACGGAGAACGGCAGCTTCTCCCAGCCTCTGGCTCGCCTCACAGGGTCTACGCTGCCCACTGTGCTCCACGCCGGCATCTACGGCAACTTCCAGGCTCAGCTGCGCTTCATCTCCGACTTCTCAATGTCCTACGAGGGCTTCAACATGACCTTCATGGGTGAGGAGCAACGCACAGCTTGTAGAATGTTGTGCTCGGCAGCATTAGGGGATGAGTGTGGCCGGACATCTTGGACGTTACCCCACGCTTCACCTTTCCACGTGCGACCTGCCTTAGCGACTATTTGTGTTGAACCCCTAGGTTGACAGAAGCAGGAGGATTAAAAAAAAAACGTACACCATTCTTTCAACATTTAGGCTGTAAGTCCAGTGTGCTGACCATTACACCACGGAAGAGAATTAAATACCTCGCCGAACGTGGGGGTAACGTTTCTGGAAAATTCCGTGTGTTGCATTTCTGGCTGCAAAATTATCACCTCCCTCTTTGTTAAACGAATTCTCCAAGATGTATACCCTTGTTATTGAAATAAAGGATGCTTCGTCGCTCTCCATTCCTTGTGTGTGTGTACACTCTTTATCTTTCAATTTAACCTCAACACAAAACACCTAGTATGCATTTCTCTTCCCCCACCATGGCACTCACGCCCAACGCTCGCCCCTAACACGGTCACCTGAATGTCCATTTGACAACCATCAACGAGTGGTCAGCTAGGTGTATGCGACAATGTGCATGCACATTTGCGTTTTACGTGAACGAGTTGAGTACAGGATGTGTTACATTATCACGTAAAAACATACGCAACAAACATACATGGTAAATAAATCATTCTCACAGCCAATTCATTAATGCCAAAGTACATTCCAATGGAAGGCAGCACTCTCACCTCTCGTAAGCATATCTATCATCTATCTTATTAGCAATCTTAGCAACGTCGAAACCATGTACAGGTGAAACATCATCCCCGCATTCCAGAAAACAGACCTCATTAAGTAATCCGTGCAGAGCCCGAACCATGCGTTCTATAAAAAAAACGCATTCGATAAGCTATTCCTCTAGACTAAAATAAAAAAATTTTGGCACGTATGAGTTGATCTATTTTCCATACAGCCTCCCTCTTCTGGACACGTTGGGCCGCTGGTGGCAAGATATTAACTCCCTTGCCTGATATACAGGAGGTAGTGGGTTCGATCCCGACCCTGACACCTGTATACTTCGAGTTTGAATGTTTTCCCCGTGGTCGCATGGCTTTTTCTCTGGGTCCTCTGGTTTTTCCCTCCACATTTAGAAACATGTGGTTAGAGTGTTAGGCTGCTATGCATTTTCACACGATAAGTGCACATCATTTAGCTATCATTTGTGGCCAGGTCGTTTCTGAAAAGAGATATACAGCTCAGTCGGCCTTACCTGGTAAAATATTTGGCTGCTATGAATTTGCACACGATAAGCCACTTTGTTGAGGTATCATTTGTGGCCAGGTAGCTTCTGAAAAAAAGATATACAGCTCAGTGGGCCTTACCTGGAAAAATATTTGGCTGCTATGAATTTCCACCCAATAAGCCACTTTGTTGAACTATCATTTGTGGCCTGGTTGTTTCTGAAAAAGATATACAGCTCAGTGAGCCTTACCTGGTACAATCCAAATAGCTATCTCCTACGGTGTTAGTAATAACCTGCTGTTGTGTATCATGCAGAGTACCCGCTGGAGCCGTGCGAAGACCCAGGCACACCCACGTTCAGCCGACGGAGCGGCCGCAGCTTGGATGTGGGCGACGTCCTCGCGTTCTCCTGCCTGCCTGGCTACCGTCTGGTCGGGGCACGGGCCCTCGTGTGTCTAGGTGGCGGGCGTAGGCTCTGGGATGCCCCGCTCCCAAGGTGTGTGGGTAGGTGGGCACATTATTCTCACCCATTCTGTGTGAAAGTGATTTGCAATATAATAGTAAATATCGAAAAACTACTCACTTCTAAATCTTTTGTAGTAATGTTTGTATTACAGTACTTTTGTACAAATACATGTTAATTTTGATTCATATGTTGTCATTTTTTCTGACTTTATGTGAACGAAAAGAAACAAATTTGCCCGTTTTCGAATTGAAAATAGGTACATTTCAAAATATCACTGTCCTGGTCACAAAAGCAAAGTTTGTGGGGAACAATAGCTTTTGAGGCGTAAGCAATTAGGAAATAACACTTACTACCCAGGAACAAAAAAATAATTGTTACAAAGTGTAATCATCAAGCCTGACTGTACTGATGAGACACTGTGTGTCTCAACCGGTCCAGAGTTTGCTTGCATAGAACCAATACTGCTGATATTATATATTCCCAGAAGGCCTTGTGGTTGATGGAAAGTGTAAACAATTCCGTAATTTTTGTATGTGGAGGGACAGATATATGAATAATATATGTTGCATGTTTACTTTGTGACTTTCCAAAATAGGGTTTCTTCTCTTTCTCTCCGTGGTTCTTGGAGCACTTTTCAACGTTTGTTCTATATGTCCAATTGTAGAAAAAAACCTTTCTTGAACCCTGCTGCTTCAGGGGTTGTCTAATTTGTTCCCTTTTCTATTCCCAGTAATCTTTGTAAAAACATTTCTAGACGTGCGATGAGAAGGGTATGGTTATGTAGTTTTTAAGTTGCTTTTTGTCTCCCGTTTTGAATGAAATAATTATCGAGATATCATTCTGTGCTTTCAGGATTTTATTTATCTCTAAACACTTCATGAACAAGTCTGCAAATGTTGTTTTTTCTTCCAGCTGATTCGTCCTGCTTCTTTGATGATGTCCACAGTTATACCATTTGGTCTAGGAGCTTTCCCCTTTTCATACTGCAGACAGAGTTGACTTCAAGTTTAACATATGGAACTTTTTTCTCTTCATCTGAAAAATGTCCTTATTTCTTAGCTATGTGCATATTTTATTACTATACATATCTGCATTAAATTCCTTCACTATTTTTAATTACGTAGTTAATATTTATCCATAAGTGCTACCCCTGTGAATTGGCTATCATTCTTATTTTTTGCAGCTTTCATACTCCAATTTCTTGCTATAACGTCTTCAGCAATGTTTGTCTTATGTTCTCTGATTTCTCTTCTCATTATCTTCCGAATCGTTGAAAAAGTTTCTATGCATTCAATCTTTAGCCACGCATCCCTGTCTCTTTTCATATTTCTCATTTTCCTCAACAGATTTTTTGTGGTTTCGGACAACTTTGTTCTCTGTTTGCTTCCTAACTTTCATTGCACTATTCCTGCCGCGTTGAAGTACAACTTACATAGCGCCAGCCTGTGTTTGCTTTCTTTGTTGAGTTTGTTGAGGACAGAGACGCTGCTGTTAAAATGTTGGGTTTGTCCAAGTCTCTTATACTTGCTGACATCCCTGAAAATTATCTACTGAAGGGGCCTATCAGTTGGATACAACTCTCTATTATGCAGCCCTCAACAACACCTCATACATTAAATTGCTCTGAAACAATCAACTTCTGGGAAGCGCAGTGGTATAAGCCCTATTATTATAAAACTATATCTGACCTCTCGAGGGGAACTGTGATAAAATGTAGCCCATTGAGGGACATTGAAACCTTTGTTGTTGGCAGTTTTTGGCTCAATATGAGCTGTGCAATATTTATTTCCACAGAAAAAAAATCACACGTTCGGTCTCAGCAACAGTTTATCTTGAAATATATATATAATTGGTTATATTGAGTCTTCATTCAACGTCGTCTCAGAATGAGTAAAATTTCTGTGTATGGTGCTTTGCAATCTAACTATGATATAACTCATTAAACGGATGTTGGGATAGATTTTGTGTTGTAGCATTCACGAACTGCACCTGGTACTGTGATGAAACCTCTTGGGTAAAGTAACAATGATGACTGTTTGCCATTGGTAAAATAAACACACAAAAGAGTAAATCCGCTTTCACTCAACACAAGGTTGATTTGAAGCTTTCGTGACTGCAGGAATCCATACTCTTTGGTTCTTGCAGTAAAGTCACGTAGGTAGAAATCAAATAAAATTAAACAAATCACGACATTTCGATCGCAACACAAGCGATCTTCATCAGGTGGGACAACCACAGCAAGAAAATGCTGCAGTCGGCGGGAGAGGTTGAAATGAGCTAATCCGTGGCTTCAATGATACAGTGACTCCTCTACTTATGAACATTCGACTTACAAACTTTCAGAGATACGACCAAACCTGCACATATGTCCAGTTGCCTGTTCAGGCCGAGGCATAAGTTCAACTCCCGAGCAATAGATGGCGTTGGTGGCATCTACATCTGCAGAACATCAAGAACCAGTGGCATCTATGTCTACAGGAGATTATACAACTTTTAAATCCATTCCTCTTGTTTAGTGTACATGCCATACAACATGTTTGGAATCGACAGGATTAACGTTGGACTTACGAACAAATCGACTTATGAACAGACCTCTGGAACCTTACTCGTTCATAAGTCGAGGAGGCCCTGTATATGTAATCATGTAATACATTCATTTAAAATAAGTATTATAAGATGGGACAAACTCATTTTAAGTTACAATATAGGAAAATCATACTATGCTATGGTGGTGATATCTCCTATCAATGCACATTTTCAGGAAAATGTTTCCCCATGTTTGATGTCTAACTTTCATCAAACCATGTAAAATGTATTGTTGTTTGACATAATTCCTGCTTAGCCAAACTCAGTCCATCATTAGTCTCGACCAACTCAGTCCATCATTAGTCTCGACCACCAGCCATCATCCCTTCTAAGCGACTGTCCTGCTCTAGCCTGCTCACTTTTAGTAAGAGTGAATATTAAATGCATCATTTGCATATTTTCTATATATGCATGTATGTATGTTGAACTTTTTTCACACCGTACAGAGCCAACCTTGCTAATCGGAGGTGCGGGGAAAGTTAACAGCCCTAATTTATGCATGCCTCTTTCTCTCTTTGAATGTAATTCTAAGCATGCGTCTGTCCGCACTTCATTACGTGACTATTAAGTATTTCTGTTGATGACCATTTTATAGGTTAGATTGTCGGTTTCTGATCCATATGTCATGAGCAGGTAATTAAACAATAATTTAAAATGTTCGTCTTTAGAAAATGGAATGTTACTTTTCATTTTGAAATTCAAAAATAACCTGCACCTGTCTGCATAATTATATAATAAATTCGGATCCTGATCCGATGCCGATAACTGTGCTTCGTAACATATTCGCGTGTGTTTCCAACTCCTGTGCCTCTGACTGATATCTTTAATTGCCTAGGGGACTTTTCTATACGATATTGCATGCTTCTCTATTAAGATTATTAAGTCCCTCTGACATTTCCTGTAGTTGCTTACAATGACTATAGAGATCAATTGAGAATATTGAAATGTAGTGTGTTTTGTAAATTTGGATTTAGTTTATTGCTATAAAAATAAATAGAGCTTAATACAGGTAGGAACAACAGTTCCACACTGCCCACCAGGGATTATTTGTCTGTCTGTCTGTCTGTCTGATTGGTCGGCACCCCCGAGGCAATGGGAGGGCTCTGGAGGGGTGGGGCCATGCACGACAGACAGACAGACAAATAATCCCTGGTGGGCAGTGTGGAACTGTTGTTCCTACCTGTATTAAGCTCTATTTATTGTGATGTTCAGCAACATTACACGCAAATATATGTATTATATATATAGTACTTCAATGCTGTTTGTTAAAATATACACTCTATAAATGATCAATATGGATAACATATTTTTTAAGTATATGTAATGATTTTATGTATACATTTTTCTTATATATTTAGCTTTATCTCACATAATTTGAAATTTAAGACTGCAGTACAGTATATTACTGAATAATGACTGGTGAACTTGTGTTGTATATACATTCAACGCTTAGATTTCTCACCCTGCATCAGTTGTGATATTGAGAAAAAAACTTATGAATTTTGAAAATCCTTTGTTGATGATAATGACGACGATGACGATTGTATGTATTATTGTCATTACGTTAAATGGCACTCATATTTTTTTACATTTTTCTTCCATGCATCCACTGTTTTCTGACTGCTATTTCAAATTTTCCCTTGCATACAAAAATAATTTTAAAAAATTCCAAAAGTAGATTCGGGACAGTTTGAAAATTCAGCCCCATTAATTTTCAAAATGATTGCAAAGTACCTGCAATTTATTCGTAAACATTACGTGTGTTTTTCCTCAAATTGTGATTCATGTTGCTGTGTTTGTTGCCGCTGCTGCTGTTGCCGTTGCAGCTGAATGTGGGAGATCGTCCACAGCCAATGAGGGGGTGCTGCTGTCCCCCAAACACCCGCAGAAGTACGACGACAACCACGAATGCATCTACAGCGTGCAGGTCAAACCCGGCATGGGCATTCGACTGACAGCAAGAACCTTCCGCCTGGGACCTGGAGACTCCCTGAAGGTAGCTTAATAGTATGATTGATATTGTTCCTAAGTTGTACTGATTCATAGATAAGGGTCTTATCTACCTTGGGAATAACAAAGGCAGTTTTTTTTTATTTCAAGAGCGTTAATGAATATCAGTTGCCTCCCACCTGCTTAAATACTCACCATTGTATGCTCTCACATAACTAATCAATCAATTGATATTTTGTTAAATAATCAGTTCAAACGATATTTACTCCTTACCTCTTATGCGTCTGAGTTTTTTTTTATACAGTTAATTTCATCATCTTCATAAGCAGCTGTGATCTGGCTATGGCTGAATGAAGGCCTCCCCAAGCCATCGCTCTCGTAGCTTTGCGATGAGACAATCTGCCTCGCTTCTTCACGCGATCCAATTTAATCGCTCCACCTCGCCAGTGAACGTCCTCTCGAGCGGCTTCCGTCCTTTGGCTGCCACCAATGTCTGACATTTGTCTCGACTGCCCGCAATTACCCAAACTAGAGACATATCCTGCCCAAGTCCACTGACTTTTCTTCATGGTCAATACAATGTCCTTAATTTGTGTGTGTTCTCTAATGCATGGGATACTTTCTTCCCGTGTGTCTCATTGTAATTCCAAGCGTGCACATCTCCATGATTCTTCATTCGCTTTGTTTAATTTTCTTTGGACTTGTCCATGTTTAAGATGTATGTCACAGCAGGTGATATACACTAATTAAACGTTATTCTCGAGGTACATTAGTATCATTTGTATCCTATTTTTAGGTATACATACTCTAGATATATGTACTTACATACTTTGTTATCCAGTTGTTGTGTCCCTCCAAAAATGTATGCAATTATTACAATTTTGAAGGGTAACTGCTGGGAATGTAATGTCCACAAGCTTTTATAGAAGGCGCGATGAACTGGCAACGCTTTCACACGTATTGCCCACCAAAATATGTTTTGTTTAGTGGAGCAAAAAGGTTAGTATTTTACCATTATGATGAAGCAGCGTATATAATGTGTGGCGCACACTATTGAAGGGTAGAAATATCAATTTAAAATAGGCATTAGCTCCGTTAAATGTTGATAATAAAAACGTATTTCACAATATAAAGTATATGATAGTGAAAAAGGCTGTTTGTAAATAATCTGCAGAAATCCACACTTGTATTCAGTCCTTTAGGAAAGAATTGGATACAAAATATACAATTTTGCAAGGGCAAGATATGAGGTTTGACAAATGTACTTGCCAGTGTTATCACAATGTCGTCACACTGAAGTGCGCCATACCAGATGCTGTGTCATGCACAGCATTTATTTTTGAAATACCATTTCTGTTAAAGCTAAATGAGAAATGTAAATGGGGGGGGGGGGGGGAAACTGATATACACCAGCGCCACACATGCTATTTTCACTATTTGTCGTGGATATACTTTAACACTTTACAGATTTTTGTACACACAATAATATTATCCCCTTTGTTGACCGTTTCACACGTATATAGAAGGACAATGTGTTTCAGTAATGGTAATATGAGTTTGCCTGCAAATGCTAAGCTGCAGCCCTGCAATTGCTTGCTCATATGCCATTGATTGTGGAAGGGCCTCCACTAGGGGGAGCTCTAGAGCGCCACTCCAGAGGTTATGTGGCCGACACTTTCATCCGATTTATCTGTGCTGATTGTAATCGATGTTCGTTCGTTCGTAGTGAACAAATGAATAAAATATTTTAGACAAGTAAACTACCCTTAAATTGGACAAACTTTACATATTTTTCCCCAAATGGTATATGTCAGAAATGCCTATTAAGCCCATAACTTGATATGTACTGGCTCAGCCAGAATATGCATTTGTGTTTGTTGAGTTATAATTACAAAACTATTTTCAAAATGCTATACAGAGTAACTAGCCAAATTATCACACCGTTTGATGATTGTTTGAAGGCGTGTTTAAACAATGCTGTATTGCTCATTCGTATTCTACTTAGAATATAACGCTTTTAACTTTTTTCGTCATGTTTTAGATTTATGATGGGAGAGACGGTTCAGCGCGTTTGATGAACGCCTTCACCACATCTGAGTTGAATGGAAAGACCATCAACAGCACCTCCAACCACCTTTGGCTGGAATTCAACACTGACTCTCAAGGCACAGACATCGGATTTCAAATACTGTACTCTAGTAAGTTGGAATGTGAATTATGTTAACAATTAAGTAAAGGCAAACAGTTAAGGTGGGGGCCCTGCAATTTCTTGCTCACCCCACTACTGCAGAATATACGGCCTCTTCACACTGGCCAGACGCCCTCGAAGAGTTGGAACTACCCACATTTTAACCTACCACATGCTACCTGCCGATTGACTAACTTTGGTATTCCCATTTATACTGCTGGGTGGATAGCCGGGGAGCTCCTTCTCATAGAGGTCATTCCAACCGGAGCATCACAATCAAGCAATTGTAGGGACTGCACCTTTACCCTTGAGTTAAGGCTTTTTTGACTGCAGGAATTCATATTCTTGGGTCTTTCGGTAAAGTCACGTAGATAGGTTCAAAGAGAAAAAAACTACGACGTTTCGATCGCAACACAAGCGGTCGTCTTCAGGAAAAGGGGGGTTAGCTTTCAAGGCAAACTGTTTATAAGGGTTTGAAATGGGCGTAGCCCAAATGTCAGCAGCCAATGATAATGTAAGTGGCGGGCAGTGAACCCAACGGTGGTTGGTTTTTCACCAATCAAAGGGCTGCCAGGTGAAAATTAGCATGTTAAAGAGAGATTAGCATGTTAATCTTTGTTGATAGCCAGTGGGCATGCTAAGTACCTTCGTCTTAGAGAAATCTATTTCGTGTCAGCCCACCGCATTAAAGATTCGTTCATGAAGCCATACATATATAGACACAGACACAATTTCAACCGAGAAGATGGGTACAAACTGAGCAATCATTGGAAGGACGTTATTAACCAGTTTAAGGCATAATTGGCGATGATGTTCCCATCCTTCCGATATTAGTTGTACATTACTCCCATTTCAAACTTGCGCTTTCACAGGGTTCACACTGACACAGTCACTTCGCGCGCCAACCCCTTGGATGCGGCTCTGCGATCTTCCATTAACATGCTAATCTCTCATGAACATGCTAATTTTCACCTGGCAGCCCCTTGATTGGTGGAAAACCAACCACCGTCGGGTTCGCTGCCCGCCACTACATTATCATTGGCTGCTGACATTTGGGCTATAGCCATTTCAAACCCTTATGAACAGTTTGCCTTGGAAGCTAACCCCCTTTCCTGAAGACGACCGCTTATGTTGTGATTGAAACGTCGTAGTTTTTTTGTTATTATTTGTTATTTTCTTTGAACCTATCTACGTGACCTGACCGAAAGACCCAAGAATATGCACATTTACCGTTTACATGGGTGATGTTTATGCTATTGTTGTACATGTGCTTACGTTTCTCCCTCGCTCGCCATGACCCATATGCAGGTTTTAAACTCACCCAGTGTGAGGATCCAGGCGTGCCAGAGTTTGGGTACAAGGTCCGAGACCAGGGCTATTTTGCTGGAGGCACCATCACGTACGGCTGCAATCCAGGCTACACCCTGCACGGCAACAAGCGGCTGACTTGCATGAGCGGCGAGCGACGAGCCTGGGACCACCCTCTCCCTTCTTGCCAAGGTAAGGGTTTCCCAGGTAGAGCACCACAAAGGCATCAATAATTAATGGTCACTCCATGGAAGGTTGATGGTCTGCCTGAATAACAGAAGAAGGGCATGTCACTCACATCCTGATAGGAGACTAGTGTTAGCGAGCCAATCGCGTGCGAACAAACGCGCATGTCAAGAATTTCCCCAGCAATGGAATAGTTAGACATGAAAATAAACTGGAATTGACGTTGTGGTGAAGGCGAATGCAAATAGAGAACAAAATATAAATTAGTTGTGAGGAAGTGCTCCGTGTGAAATTAAGGTAAACAGGCTTGTCCAGAATAATATGACAAACTGCCCTTCCAAATGAACAACACGCTACACAGGGCTGCAGGCAATACAGAAGGGAATAGGTTTGATCATGAAGTAAAGTTAGATTGGCTAATTTTTTTAAATATAATTTTTTGGACAATTTGCATACGTGATGCGTTGAAAGGGATATGCATGATAATACATGTATTAATATTTTTTTTATAAGTTGATTTCTAGATAATTTAGCGTGTAGCAAAATATCTCAATGCCAGATGCAGAATTCAGAGTAATCCGGAAAGGTTAAAAATAAAATTAATAAATAATCGATAAAAATATCATGCAAAAGCTCCCATCGGAACAGTTTGCACACTATTAAGCTGTGTGCGTGAGGATGCGGGGTTCTCCAGTGAACACATCCGCATCAGCTTGCCATGCAGCTTAATGTGTGTTAATCATGTTAGGAAATGTCACATTGTTCTTGTCAACACTTGGAAATAAAAGTTGATATCCCTGACCCTTGTGAAATGTACAATGGAAGTGTGTTTATTCACAAGACTATCTAAAAGATACATACTTATCTTCTGTATGGAATTTGGTGAACCATTGCACTTGGATGCCTCAGATATTCAGGTGGCATAATGTTTTAAGTTCTTTTCAATTGTCCAGCTGGTAGCATTTGCGTTATAATTTGGGTTGTTAAATGGCTACTGGTAATCGTTGTCAGTCTATTACCACGTCTGAAAGTCATCAGGAACCAGCAACAACCACTTCCAATTCATATTCTTTGGTTCTTTCGGTAAAGTCACGTAGATAGAAAAATAATAATAAAAATAAAGTGAATAAATGTTTAAAATAAGAATACAAATAAAATAATAAATATTAATTAAAACAAAAAACACGAATATAGACTGTAGCCTGGTTCTTAATCTGAGTGAGTGTACTGGCAGTTTATAATGTAGACTGCCAATATTTTTTATTAACTTAATTTTTATTATTCTTTTTCTATCTACGTGACTTTCCCGAAAGATCCAAAGAATATGAATTCCTGCAGTCACAAAAGTTTTAAGTCAAAATGTAACCACTTCCAATGCAATTTTAGCAATTATTGCATTGATGGCCATGTGTAAACGCACACACCAAAGAGCAGCATACCGTTTCTTAGTTAAAGGGCAAACGTGCAGCCCTGCAATTGCTCACTCACGCCAAATGCTGGTAGAAGATCCTCCACGAGAGGAAGCTCTGGAAGGTACTTGGTCTACCTTTCCACAGTGACTAGATATTTATAAGTGGTGGGCATACCAAAACTTTACCCCACCGCATGTGACCTGCTGATCAAGAGACAGACATTTCTATATGTGTGTGCGGTAAACCGGAAATAATTGTTTTTCTTTCCCGTGCGGTTACCGGGAATGCAAAAAAAACGATTTACAACCCCAGTTATAAGACAATTATTGGATGATGCTGCATTGGCACTGACACCCCAAGCACAAATAATGATCAACCCAAACGTTTGTCAATAACACTGTGGCCTTAAAAGGAAAATATATAATAGGGGACATTTTGGGCATTGGCCTTCCTTCACAGTTGATAACAATAGGGCCTATAGTAGTAGGTTTTTACCCTTTTAAACTGGTACAAAACTGACACCTTTATTCAAGGCATCATGTTTGCAATAACCACAACACAAGTAGTCAAAAAAGCAAACAAAAAGAAGCAACTCTGATAATGATAATAATATACACTGTCCTTGAAGTTGATTGGTCCACACCCGAGACGGCTTTCTTTAGAGCCTAGTCCCCATTGGTGTTGGACCAGATGACACCAGAAGGCGTACAACTCAAACACAGTGCAAAATCAGAGTATTGAGAGCTCGGGGTAAGCATTGTGCTATTGAGAAGGGCCATTGCCCGAAACAACATATATTATATATTTCCTTTCAAATGCCAAAGTATTATTGACAAACGTATGAGTTTAAGTCTCAATGCAGGTTTATATTGAGTCACCTGGAGTTGAAGAGCTTTTAAGTAATTTTCACTCGAACTAGAAGTATAACCAAGCACAAACACAATAAAATAAATATGCAGAGTGCACTACAGATTCATGGGTAACTAATATCGCAGTAATTATCATATAGTGCAAATGTATAAAGTATCATATGATCAAAAATGATATTGCGGCAACACGACATGTGTTGTTTTTATATTATTTCCGTGCTTTTAATATGCCATTCCATGAACATTTCACACGATTGAAAGTACAAAAAAATATTAAGTTGAGGACTCTCAATTGATTGCTTTTCTCCGCATACTCCAAAATTAGTTACAATGTGTGTCCATCTTGGTAATGAATGTTGCGATTGCTTCTGTTCATGCGCAGTGTACAGGAACATTGCAATTCGTTCCTCTTTTAATGTAATTAATTAACATGTTTAGGTGAACATGCTTGCATGCTGATGAAATGCATTAGTCGCGCGAATGAAAGTACGCACCAGCAGTGTCCGTGAACTCGTAGTATAGTTGCCGAGCGAAATCTAAGCTCATACAGTGCTCATTTAGTTTGTATTACTGTGCATTCGTCCAAATAATTAAATGAAGTGTCCATATAAGCATTTCCTAAGAAAGTCTGAAGCTATACACTGCAGTCTATGAAGTTCATTGGGAATTTATACTCCCAATGAAGATAAGCTCCCCTTCTTGCTTGTCAGTGGCATGTTGGCCTCCGTTTAATCAACCTTTTCCTCTATTTGTGTTACCAAAATTGATTCAAATCACGACGCCAATACTTTTGAAAGGTAAAGGTGCAGCTCAGTAATTGCTTGCTCATGCCACTGCTGGCAGAACGGCCTACACTAGAAGCAGCGCTACAGATCCTCTCTCGAGGAGTGTTTTAGGTGAGTGTTTTAGGAGAAGTGGGAGCACCCACACTTTACCCCGCCACACATGACCTGCCGATCGATTAGCTGCGGCATGTCCTCGTATTCTTGTGCTCGGGCAGAAGCGGGGGTAATTAAAAGACGTGTCCAATGAGTGTACCTCCTTCAGAATCGGACAGAATATGTATTTACACTGGAGGAATCCGATGAGCTATAAAGCTCTTTTCACAGATGTCCAGTAGGGGCGGGTCAGAACGTTACAGCAACAAACAATGCAAAAACACGATGGGAGTGCATGGTATAGGAAAGGTAAGCAAATCACCAAAAAAATATGCTCACCGAAGTTTCCAGATGCTCACGCAACCACTGACACGCGGGCATGTTTTAGTGCTTGTGGTTTACAACCAGTAAAAGATGATGCTATGGTACAGCATTGCTGTTTGGTTTATGTAAAAACACGTTTCATTAATCTTGTTTGAGAGCGCATGTTACAAGCTCTGTAGTTTTTGTGTACAAGTGGCATAAGAAGGGAAAGTATCTGCTTTTCCTCACTTAGTGAGCCACTCAGAGTTAAATATTCTAAAATGTAATACCATTGCCAAGATTTAATTGATGGTTTGGGATACAGACATGTGTGTATAGATAACTGGACATAGACAGTTGCTACACCTGGTACCATTGAATTGCCTTTGAGCATTATGCAACCTGGACACTTTTCAGTATTCCTTTGCCAGAGGAGCCAAATTAAGTTACCCAGATTGCTGGGCATTGTAATCTAATGTGGGGTCTTAGCCTGCTGTGCTGCCTTGCCATATGTTACTGAGATGTTTTAAATACTTCAGTGAACATTGCTTGAGGGAAGTGAAACCACTGATCTTGGGAAATCCAGCTACTCGTTGGGCCCACTGAGCCTCTAACTTTGTTGTATTCATTCATAAATATTCCATTTTCCAATGTCTTCCTTCAGCGGAGTGCGGTGGCGAGATAAAAGGTGAATCATCCGGTAGAATCCTCTCACCAGGATATCCAGCCCCATACGGACATAATCTCGATTGCTTTTGGACATTGGAGGCCAAACCTGCGCACACTATCAGGTAAACTATTAAACAACGATGGGCATATTCGGCAAACTATGCTCTGCATAATAACATCACATGGAAGTTGTATTAATATGTATATTTCTAAAATAAGCCTGATAAATATTGCGGGCATTATGTGCATACTAAGTTTTGTTTCTATAAAAAGGTGGTATAGTTCTCTACTGTTACCATTACAACTGAAAGGGTTGTGACGGAAGCCAAGGATGCTGTCGATGGCAACGCGTCCTGACTATCCCCAGATTCAACTCCTGACTCGCACAATCGCACAAGATTAAATGTAATGGGGAATTGCCCTCTTCTTTATTGATTTGGCTCACCAGCCACCGAAACCGGTTCATTATTTGTGCATTTCGTTAATTTTTAGATCATCATACGAAATTTGTTTAGCAAAGCCTAACTTTGTTCACGAGACCCAGAAGTTCAAAACAGGTCCAGTATTTGTAATTTTAAACATATTCTGCTTTATATTGGTCTTAAAATCCGAGAGGCTGATGGACTAGACAGATACGTATATTTATATGTGGAGACATGGATGAGAGTTCTGCTTACATTTGTGTTTTTTAGCCACAGTGCAACATGACGATGCATAACGAGGTTGTTTGTTTAATAAATCTAGATATGGGCTTTTACTTTGATGGGTTTCTGGGCTTCAACTATAATATTCATGAGTTTACATTTCCTTTGTCTGGTTCAAGAGCTTCAGTCATTGTTCTGACATTCTATGAGTGGGGGTTCTCTATGTGAATGTTAATAAGAGTTGAGGTGAAAGTGGGTGGTTCAGTGCTGCTGCCTCACTGTTGAAGCAAACTTCCACTGGAAGCTAATGCACAAGAGGAGTTGCCCTGCTCAATTTTAAATTAGATGTTGCTTCTTGCATGAGTAAGTAGCATAATCAGTTTTTCATTAGAGCAAAATATAATTATAGTTTATATTTCTTAGGCTAATTATTGGATGGTATTAATTCACGCTTCAGAAGCTTTGAATTTTTTGGGAAATAATTATTTGATTATTATTGCATTTTTAAATGCCTCCTTGACATATACGGAGTAAGGTTTTTGTTGTTTATGTGAAATGATTGTTATAGCATTACAATTAGGGCTTAGTTCGCAATGATAAATGAGTATAGATTAAATTGATATGCCCATGGTTTCTACAATATTATCATACCTTAAATGGAACTGCATTTTTGGATAGATATTGCAATTAGAGAAAACAACATTTTGCAACCTTTGAAAAGACCTAGAAGGATCTATTTTGGTATGAATAATAAAACACTGTAAATGTCAATGGCCATTTCACATTGGGTCATTTATTTAAAAAACAAAGCAGCAATATTCAGTGATATGTCCTTATACATCATCTAAATGTGCAATTCGGGCACACGCTCTCCAAGCCATACAAAAAAAACCAGGACATATCATGGGAAGAATATCTACAATACCAGAAGAGTGGAGAACTAAATGTATTGTATTGAGTGGTGCACTGCTATTATTGTGCAATTAGCAAGTAGTGGGACTTTGAATTTTTGGAAATACTTATACATTTATTCTAGATTTATAGATTACAGATTTCCAAGGACAGCTTCCTCAAAATGAGGACAATCCTGGGAAAACCAGGAGAGATGGCAATGGACGCCCTTTATTGCACATATCAATGATGTGGATGGTGGCTGTCGTGTGCTCTGTCCATGCTCTGTGTGTGCTCTGTGTGCTCTGTACTTGTGCTCTGTGTGCTCTGCACGTGCCCTCTGAGTGTCTGCACATGCTCTGCACGAGTGCTATGCATCTGCTCTGTGTGTGCTCTGCCTGTGCACTGCTTGTGCTCTGCGTGTGCTCTGCACGTGCCCTGCACTCTGCGCGTGCCCTGCGCGTGCCCTGCGCGTGCTCTGTGTGCCCTGCGCGTGCCCTGCGCGTGCGTGACTGGATGTGTGGTGGACCCCACGGGTGCAGCCTCCACTTTGTGGTGTTCGACACGGAGGCGGCACACGACCTGCTCAAGGTGTGGGACGGGCCCTCCGTGCCCTCTCAGGCCGGGGTGCTGCTCAAGGAGCTCAGCGGCTCCGTGCTGCCCGACGACATCCACAGCTCCCAGAGCTCCCTCTCCCTGCACTTCCAGTCAGACTTCTTCATTAGCAAGACCGGCTTCGCCATACAGTTCTCGTGTGAGTCTAACGTGGCAATATAGATGGTCACATTTTTTGTGGAGGAAAAATCATGTATACGCATGGATTCTGTAAGTTTTTCTAATAGGTGTTGTATTCGGAACTATGTGATGAGCAATATGGAATCCCCAGAGTAACTCTTAGGGCAAAACACGTTGTATTATTTGCAAATAGTCCTTTATGGTTTGTCTCCATGTCTTGATATATCTCCTCTGATATATTAATTTGCTTGTTTCCTATTGGGCAAATACTTATTGGCAACACAACATTACACAAACATCTTGTTCATATTGGATCATTGTTAGACCGGAAGAGCATTAATGATTTTACCATTAAAACACAGCTGTTATGACCATTTCATAGCATGCCAATCATCCATAATGTCAGTCTGAATATACAATCTAATTTGATCAGTGAGATTTAATCTCATGGGATTATGACCGTGTCTTAAATATGAAGTTACGCATTTTACATAATATATTGTTATAATTCATGCTCGCTACGGTTAATAATTTAAAATAGTATCTTTCTGTTTTATAATTTTTGTAGTGACATTTTTGTCAAATGTCAATTATCTTTGTAGGTTATAGTACAATTACATGTGTGTGAAATGTCTACACTGGACACCACGTCAATTCACAACAACAACGAAAATGGGACAGCGTTAAATGACAGGATGTTACAAATATCTTTGCTTTGTGTTAAATTGGATCAGTATGTGAGTTGGGAGGCGGTGTTTAGAATGCATTGCGATTCATAATGTAGTTCTCTGCCTCTTAGAATTTTGCAAAATGACTTGCCAATTCAGAGCATTTGAATTTCTGTGGCACAAATGTCACTCGCAACTGCTCCTGCAACTAAACATTTTATTTGTTCATTAAAAATTATCAGTAAACACAGCATGCGTGAATGCAGGGTATACATATATACGTATCATATATATATGCAGGTTAAATGTACATTGTATACTAAATAAAGGAATTAACTTTTCCATTTATCCAGGTTGATGAGTACAATGCTCACGAGCAATTACTGCTCTCTGTGCGACTGAATGTGCAAAAAATGCCAAGCGATTATATACCACTCTGTTTTGCTTTGAGGAATTGTTGACATTACCAAAATAATAAAGAAGGGGGAATAACGTCATGCGTTGGAAGCAATAAAAGTGCACCGCCGGTGTGCTTCTTGCTCAATAATGAATGAAATTCCATTTGAAAAGTTAGTGCTCCTCTGGATTGTTTTATTGATCTCAGTGATGACAGGCAGCTTCAACCAAAAGTCGTGTTCCCCCCTTAGTGTGAACTATACCTCTTTTTTTTTAATTACTCAATTTTGAAGTCATAAAGGACAAAAAAATGTCTTTCGAGCAAAAAAAATTCAGGTCCGGTACATTTGGGAGTGGGACACTTTGTGAGAAAAAAAAGATCATAATAGGGTCAGGGTGCCTAATGTGTTCTACAAAAGTTACTTTTGTTGCAGACTAAGCCATGTTCAATTTATCAGTAAAAACAAAGCGATCGTTTGATGAAAGCAGACGTGTTTAGACACACCTTTGTTTACGCACGTGCAAACTTGTAATTACGCATACCTCGAGGCGGATTTTGGCTAGCCATCGAACAAAGGCGGTCACTGCATCGCACACATTCAGATCGGCTTTCTGCGGCCGTCTGGAATGCTCTTCCTTCTGATATTAGGAAGCCACTGAAGCTATACACTTTTAAATCTAGATTGAAAACTCTTTTCTTGAGGACTGCTTTTTGTGTCTAGTTTGTTGTCCTTCCCCCGCACCTCCGATTAGCACATTTAGCTATGTACGGTGCGAAAGAGGTCCACCATACATACATTCCTGCATTGATGGTAATCGCACTAAAATTGGAATGACAAAAAATTCGTTACTTAGCCCCGGATATGATTTAGCAATACCTTCGACCGAGATATGCGGTGTACAGTATGACGATGCCAAATCTGTGGAAAAAGCTATTAATATGTCGAAGCACTGTCTCGTTCGGCGTGTGATAAATAGTTTTATGAGCTCAAGTTTTATTGCGGGTGAAAAGGGGCGTGCTCCCCAACTGCGGGCAATACATTATCAGTGACATTACCGCCGAAAGATATGATTTGTCGCCCTGATGTCTCGGGCAGTTTGCAAAAGCTAATCATTCAAGCATCTTTAAAGGTTAACACTTAAAATGGTCTCTCCTGTTTTCGAAATCCTTTTTTCTGTGTTTTGACTCAGCACGTGGGTAACCCTTTCAGACTTGGATCCAATGTTTACGAAGAATATATTTACGTGCATATATATTGCGATGCTGCCAACAATGTAAAGGTTAGCATACTGGACTCCCTTCGACAAATTACCAAGGAGCTTAAATGGGCACACCAAAGTTTGTCGATTTACAGGTCATGTGTGGTGGAGCAAAGTGTGGCCATGCCCATCTTCTAATACGTCTGACCAGAATTAGAAGAGTAGGCCAAGGACATCTAGTGGAGGCCTTTCTGCGAGCAGAAGTACAAGGAAGTAATTTCAGGCCTGCACTTTTGCTTCTTCATATACATACTAGTATTACTGTGGTCCATGGTACATTGCCACGTTACCGGGTAGGAGGTGTAGGACTACAGCAACCACATCTTTTATGGTCGTAAACAAGAGTTTATCGAATTTAAATTTCTATTCCTTGCACACCTGCCTTCCAACATAAACCCCAGCACTTCGCTCGTTTATGCTTGCCTGAGCACTATTTTTTGCAAATAAAATAATCTCTCCTTAAAGTTATATTGACAATGCTGAGTTGGCTCTTCACATAAATGTAAACCAAGCTTTCCAGCAATAAAGCTGTCCAGAACAGCATATATCTGTATACTGCACACATAGCATGCACCAGAGTGCATTGCTTTTCTAATAAAAATCACTCGTTGCCATTGCCTTGAATAAAACATATATAATGTCAGCACTATGCCTATTGATCATTAGTTTGAAGTAATTTGCCCTTTTGTGCAGTAAAAGCGATGGCTGTGCTTACTAGTGGATTCTATTTGCCAAGGGATGTAAATCTAGCGCCATTGTGCCTACTGCTTGTAAGCATATTTATCAACACGCACAAAGCTATTGACAGCGGTACCACAGAGGCCACAATTGTCTGTGGTCTGCACCAAAACTGCACCCTGCCATCCGTTTAAACACTGCTACTGACCGAAGTCATACGTTTTGTGCTGCTGTTGCTTCATGCGTTGCTGAGCATCTGATACAGGTGTGACCCATACTCATCCTGTCTTTGCAGTGATCAATGGCTCATCCTGAGACAAATAATCTGTTTTGTCTTGGGATCCATTCTGAAACTCCTTGCCTTTATATTCTGTGTTGATTGCACCTACCTACCACCTTGAAGAAATATATTTTCCATCTAAAATGGGTTTGACTGTTGATAGCCTAAGGGTATTTAGCTTCATCCAAATGCAAAGTCAGGATTGGGTTATAGTTTACCTACTTTCTGTCAACACGACATAGACTAGCCTGGTAGCAAAGCTAATACATGAAATGTGATGCATTAAAGTCGCGTTTTAGTTTTTTTTATTTGTATGCAAGTTTTTTTTATATAAGAAATGCAAAACTACTTTTGGCTCTCCAAAAGGGCAATTGCAATCTCAGATTCCTTATCTTGTGTAATAATTATTACGTGTTTTTTTACGTGTTTGTTTGACATTATACATGCTACAGACTTTACCAACATGAAAAATGTTGTATACATAATTTCCAGTATATGATGTTGTTTGTATTATTACATACCAATTAAAACATTCGAATATTCATAATGTTCTACTAAATATGAGCATAAGATAAACAAAGCACTCTACACACACATACCTCTGCAAGACACGTGACATGTTGAATCCTCTGATAATTATTTGAGTACAGTTGATACCAGAAAACCTTGAATAAAACTCGTAATGCACGGGGAAAATGATGGCACATGTGCTTTGTTGATTATGTCAATCGGTGCTAATGGATGACATATGCATTTGGCCACAATATCTGTGGTTTTTGATCAATCATGCGTAGCCTTCCCATGGACAAGGTTCTTAGAGGTTATGTGGAGTAAAGTACAACACTAAATCAGTTCACAGCCTGCACTGCTGCTGAGCTGGCTGGCAGTGCTTATTCGACGCTAGCCTGTTTCCTATGCATTGCGGCGAGTATTGCCCAAGGCAGAACTAGATTGAGGGCATGATGCTAAATAACCCTTTTAAAAATGGAAGGTACCATACATCACGGCCTGATAAATAAATGCAGCATTGCATAGACTGGAGACCCATTGCGTTTCAGTGGCTGCAAGACGTTACTTGAAATGTGCATCGGGTGTGTCGTGATTGGGTACACAATAGTGCGTTTATATTTCATGGGTTGTCACAAATCACAATTAAAGGGTTTTGAATATTCCTTTGAAGACATGGGGCACGTTGATTCGATCTTCTGAATGCACACTGAATGTGTGTGCATTACTCGAATGTCTTCAGCCTTATATGCAACTGTTGCACCACATGCGGGCTTGAGTGTTAACCAGAGAGAAGTGAATTCTGGCTGTTTGTCGGGGTTATTTAACAATTTGCCCTCTTCATCCGTTCTTGCGTTCTGCTCGAGACAAAACAATTCAACCAAACAAACGGCCATATATTTTATTTACCAACTTCATACTGCTGTGTGTGTGTGCATGTGTGGGGAGGGGTAGTGCAACGGTTAGCATGCTGCGCTGTGAACCCCGGGACCCAAGTTCGATTCCTGCTCGCAGCCAACACCAGTGACGATTATCTGAACGGGTCCTGGGACTCCCTTAGGTCGACTTAGCATCAAATGAGTACCTGGTGCGGTGTGTAAACATCACCGCTGGGGAGACCCCATCCCCTCGTGTGTCATGCTGGCCTTTATAGGTGCTCGCTAACAGCATTTGCCCCAACAGTCTGTTAAGGCTATACGGGGGATGTATGTCTTTGTGTATGTGTATGTATTTCCGACTTGAATAAGTGTTCACTAAGGGCATTTGTCCCAGCAGTCTGTATGTAAATTTTGGTGGTCTTTGTTTTTGTACTTAGTTACCTTCTAAAGTACAATTCCTGCTGATGTAGAATAACTAAAATAAGGTTCTTGTTCTACTCTTATGACTTGTGTTTTTATTCAACGAGCTGCAAATGGGAATGTATTTATTTTAGTAAGAAAAAAACCTTTCAATCTCCCGGTGCCTCTCGCCCATTTTGTTACCCTTCCCCTGACGCTGTCTGCTTGTGCAGCGGCCGTGGCAAAGTCTTGCCGCGACCCCGGTGTGCCTGCAAATGGCACGCGGATCGGAGTGGGAAGAGAGGTTGGCGAGAGCGTGTCCTTTCAGTGCCAGCCAGGCTACGAGCTGCAGGGAGCTGCCACCATCACCTGCATGCAGAAGCAGAACCGCTACTACTGGCACCCAAGCCCTCCTTCCTGCACTGGTAGAAATGCATGCCGTGCAGCCGCGTCATGAACACACGTCTTTCTTCACCACTAGATGAGAGCCCATTGCCTTTAGAAAGAAATATATACCCTAGATTTTTTTTAAATCTATTGTACCTATGCCCTGATTGTGTTCCTGAATCGCAATATGTGAATATTGCATGAATAAATTATCCATTAATGTGCATAGGTGTATGCGTTTCATTGTCACGTTTCGATATTCTCCAAAACACTAACACTTGCTCTCACTTGCTACTTGGGTGATCCTGTTTTTATCGCAATCCACCTGCAGTAATTGCCCTGGATAAGACTGCTATAAATTGCCCTGTGATAAACCACTTCGTTGAGCTATCGTATGTGGCCAGGTCGTTTTTGAAAAATAACGAGATAGCTCAGTGAGCCTTACCTGGTAAAATATAAATACAAGTAGTAGTAAATACTGTTTTATATTCCAGCTGTGTCCCTCGAATAAGGGGTTTATTTTGTTTTTAGCAAGCTTGTATTTTATTTATTTTTTCCTTATATTTATGCTGAGGCCAACATTGCTCCCTTATGTATGGAGTCTTTCAATCACAAAGTTTTTATATCATATTTCTGTAATTTATTTTCATTTGGCCCTGTATTGACCATCATCAGAAAATCTGAGCTGGTTAATACTTTTTTTCCAACATGCCAATGCTGCCTAAAGAAGAACATGTTCGGTGGGTTTATGAAAACAAAGTTGCAAATACAAAACAATGTTTTGAAATGTTATTTATATTTTCAATTTATGCCAATCTGCAATGATTGTTTCAACGTGCTACTGACATAAGGTATTTGTATTCAATGTAAATGGTTGAATATTTCTGATTATAAACCCATGTCAGAATAATTGGTGAGTTATCAAAAGAGAAACCTTCATTCTTTCTTGTTAACTTGTTTATTCCCTGTAGATCACTTCTATCCTCATGCATATATGTATTGTGTGTAGGGGTTTGATATGTTTTTATATATATACATACACACAGGTGTTTTTACATCCACCAAGATAAGGATTTGAATTTATATGGCACTTAAATTCTTCGGCAACTCAAAGTGTCTGACATTTCGACTTAACCTTTCTAATGCCCTGCTATGGCCTAGCCAAGAAAACTAGCCAAGTGGCAGCTGTCCTTGTGCAATACAAGCTAATACACAGCACTCCGCAGACTACATTAGAGGAGAATGAGCATGTCTCCTTGTGATATAGTTTTAAAAACAAATTATGCTACTTATATTACTTAAATAACATTAAATAGCATTACTTTAATGTTTTTGGTGTTTATAATTAAAAGTTCATAAAAAATACGGCCATGAATGACCAGTTTCTTCTCTCCCGAATGCTTGCTTAAGTAAAGCAATTGCATTTTCAGTTTGGAGGAACGTCGGGTCAAAACGTTTCCAGAAGAGTACTTGACAGATAATGCAGTATTTATTTGTATGTCTATAGTTTGTGTGCGTTTGTTTGTGTCCCCACAGCCCCTTGCGGTGTTAACTTGACGGGCCCCTCCGGGATCATCCTCTCACCTAATTATCCACTGCCCTATCCACACGGGAAGGAGTGCAATTGGAGAGTCACTGTCACTGCGGAATACGTTATTTCACTGACGTTCATCAGGTATGACAGCTCACACTATGCCTATTGCACGCCTTAGTCCAGATTTTGTATTATGCAACCGTTGGATCAATTGAAGGTGGGTGGGGGATGCTGCTGTCAGGTTTAACTGTCATCCTTGAATCACTCAATCTAAATACACATCGCCTGGTGTAATGTTGTGCGGGCCAAGTGTTTTGCATTTGATAGCTTCCAAGCATTGAAGGGGGAGAGATCCAAGCAGTAAACAAATCCTGTTCAATGCAACCTTTGTGTGAAATATGTGCATAATGCTGTTTGCATGGACGAATTGCCAAATAGGAGCTCCATTTATTTTATACAAAGGTTATTATACAAAATATAAAGTGTGCATATTGTACTTTTAAATTTGAAGCTTCTCTGTTGGATTCTGCCATCTTGTAATGGTCAGCACACTGGACTTGCAAATCCAGAGGTCGTTATCGCAATCTCCTGGCGTGGCAGTTGCAACAACCGTAGAGTTTTTAGTTTTTAATCCCCTCCCTCCTGCCTCTCCCCACCCAGCAGTATAATTGGGTAGTGCACAAACAGTCGACCGACAAGTCGCTCGTGGTGAGTGAAGTGTGGGTACTCCCATCTCTGGCCAGGTGGTAAGATCTTAACTACCTCGCGTGGTATACAGGAGGTCCAGGGGTAAATCCCGACCCTGATGCCTGCATAGTTGGAGTTTGCATGCTCTCCCCGTGATCTCATGGATTGAGCTATAATTTTCGGTCAGATCACTTGCGAAAAAGAGCTCGTAAAATAAAGTATGGTTTTTTAGTTTAGTTTAAATGAACCCTCTCCTAGAGCTGCCTCTCGCGGAAGCCCTTCCACCAGCAGTAGTGAGAAAGCAATTGCAAGGCTGCACCTTTACTTCTCTGCTGAAGAGTTTCTACTGTGAATGCAGTTAAATTGTTGCTTTGTTAAATGTGTTTATGACATTATAATTTACATGAGATATCAAATATATCAATGGTCACTTCAGGCTAAAACGAATAGAAACAAGTTTCCAAACTAAAAAAATGTGTTTGAGCTTTCCTCTAAAAGTATGTTTGCCATACAAATATGTATATATCCAGTGACACCTATTGCAGAATGAAGTAACATTCCAGTACTTGCAAATTATAACTCACGCAAAATATATTCAAGTACATACTTTGGCATACATATTACACGTCATATAATATATAAATTAGCTTCACTTTTTGTATTGAAATGCATAGGCAACATGTCTGAGTATGATTATTTACATACAAAAAAACGGTTCATATATCATTTACCAGTATATTTTTAAGAACACTTGAAAGAAAACAAACAATTGTCGTATGAATTTCGATTTAAAGCTTTCGTGACTGCAGGGATTCATCTTCTTGGTTCTTTCGGTAAAGTCACGTAGAAGGGAAGTAATAAAATAATAAAAATAAAACATAATAAAACAATTCTCACGACGTTTCGGCCACAACGCAAGCAGCCGTCCTCAGGTGAAAACCAGGTCCGTCGAGGCGACAGAGTCTGAATGAAACAGCACACGAGCTTGGAGCATATATATAAGCTGGGCGCATTGACAAAGGAATTTGCATATCAAAAGGAATTTAGCATATTTATGGGAAATGCAGGAATGTGATTAGTACTGCATATGCATGTGCATTATGCAGGATTAACAGCATCAAAGGGAGCTGCAGTTACTGCTGCTGCAGCAGTTGCTGCTGCTGCTGCAGTTTCTGCTGCTGCTGCAGTTGCTGCTGCTGCTGCAGTTGCTGCTGCTGCTGCACTTGCTGCTGCTGCTGCACTTGCTGCTGCTGCTGCAGTTGCTGCCTTATCCATTTTAATATAACACTATGTATTATTCTACCCACCCTAATGTGTATCATACTGCTATATGTTTACTGTACAATTACGACACCATACATTACTCTGCACACTGCACCATGCCAGTGAGTGGAACGCGGTCTGAAAGTCACCGTTAACGTGAACACAATCAGTCAATTGTCGTATGCACAATGAGGCTCCTCTAATTCTCTTCTTTGCTCTCTCCTCTAGGTTCAACATGGAAACCAATTATGACTTCCTGCACATATATGATGGCCCGGGCTCTTCCAGCCCACTGATCGCCAGCCTGCAAGGCTCTAAGCTGCCCGGGCGGATTGAGAGCACTGGAAACAGCATGTTCATGGCCTTTCGCAGCGATGACTCCGTCAGCACAAACGGTTTTCATATTGAATACAGAGGTATTTGTCCGAATCTCAGCCTTGTCATGCTCCTTAAAATAACAACAGCATACTGATCTAATATTGGTACCTGCTGTGCATCTTTTATAGTAAAATATAGCTTCTACGAAATTGAGAGGTACTAAAAATTAGAAAACTGGATTCTGAAAGTGACGAATAAAGGAATAATCTTGTTGTGGGATATAGTCGGACAATGGAATACACGTCGCCAGATACACAGGTTTTTAACAGAGAGCGATAATAGGAATGGATGCCAAATGTGAGTGCATAAGAGGCGAACTTGAAGTTGATCCCGACTGTAATTCGAGGTATGATGGATGAAACACAGGAGATGTGTTGTCATGTCGCGAAATGGTTTATGGCAACAAAAAATATACTGGAGTTTATTTCTAGCAAAGCTTCTGTAAGTGCAATGAATGTATGAACAGAGAAAAAAAAAACATGCCACCATTGGCTCTGCCAGCCCTCAAATGATGTTGACAGAAACTAGCAAAATTAATACAAACGTAGCGATGCCCGTTCAACACCGGACATTCGTGTCACACATTAACCTTAGAGTTTGAGCAATCTCCGGTTGTCGATTAAAAACAAATCCATATCACTATATTTTTTATTTGTGGTGCACATACGACTAGATAGTTGCAGGAGTGTAGTATTCTACACATAAACATATGGCCAGACGCAGTTGCCTCTTGCTTTAACTTGCGTTCTGCAGATGTATACAATTTCATGCATCAAAACCTCTAATGCCACACTGATTTGAATCCAAGAAGTGCAGAGATACACTGCACTTGATTAGATTATAGTCCTGACTGCACAAAGATGTTCCCTAGAGGTGAAATAACTGCCAAGACTAATTGTAGTATGTTGGTTTCTCTGCCCGTATTGATAGCTTGTGATGTTAGTGAAGAAGGCATGGACAGGTCAGTAATTAAGCTCGCGGTACATAGTAGTTCTTTACTGTGTTTTGCTGCCAAGCTTATGACATTTGAATATAAGCATCTAGCGATCATGTGTAATAATAAGAATTAGTATAGCCTTATTCTTAGGTTTTTTCGGTAAAGTCACGTAGGTAAAACATCAAAATTAATAAAAAATAAAATAAAATAAAGATCACGACGTTTCGGAGGCAACACAAGTCTCCGTCATCAGGTGGGACCGTCACAGCCAGATTAGCTGCATCAAGTGAGGCAATGATTCAAGATGTAATCCTCCCCCCTCAACTCGCTTTTAAGGGATTACATCTTGAATCATTGCCTCACTTGATGCAGCTGATCTGGCTGTGACGGTCCCACCTGATGACGGAGACTTGTGTTGCCTCCGAAACGTCGTGATCTTTATTTTATTTTATTTTTATTAATTTTGATGTTTTACCTACGTGACTTTACCGAAAAAACCTAAGAATATGAATCATTGAAGTCACGAAAGCTTCAAATCTAGAATTAGTATAGCCTTAACACGAATTATTAGAAACCAATTCAATAAAGTATATTTATAAATGTACGAAGACATGTGTAAGATAATAAACTCATACAAATGCAAATACGCTGACTACATTTTATAAAACAATAACATTTCATGCGTTGATATGTCATTGCAGAATGTTATAGTCTTAACATATTTGAGTAATATCCTACTATTTTTATTTTATATGAGTGAAAAATCGATGTGCACACATACATTTCGAACAAGACCCAGTTACCACATTCCCATAGCAGTTAGAAGGCTGCATTCAATCAAAATATACCAGCCTACACTACTTCCCAGAGTAGTTATAGACACACATGAAAACATATGCTTCGAAAACCATGTACAAAGGCTGTTTTGTAATACATTGATTGTTGTTGTTGTTTTTCTTTACTTATTTATTTGATTGTTTTTTTTTTCTTTGATCAGAGAAACCACGGGAGTCTTGCTTTGATCCTGGGCATATACAGAATGGCTCTCGTATCGGTACGGATATGAAGCTTGGCTCTACCATTACCTACTTCTGCAATGCGGGATACATCATACAGGGCTACTCTACCCTTGTCTGCATGATGAAAGACGATGGGAAGCCCGGGTGGAATCGGCCCACCCCAGTTTGTAGTGGTAGGTTTCTCATTCATTTACCAGCGTGCATCGAGTGGGAATGTGGTTTTTTCATTAATGTGTGATTTGATTTGGCCAGCACATGTTTCTTGTTAGTCCAGATGATTTATATGAACTTACGTGAACTGGAATGACATTGCTCAAACAACCTATGCACTCAGAACTGCTCAACTTTAGAGAGAACACACGATGTGTAACCACAAACACTAACTTCTCTATCTTTAATGGATTGCTATACGCATACAATGCCGTATGTTGGGATATATAGTGTTCGGTTTTCTCAAATTTCTTCATAGGCAGAGCGGCCAAATTACTTTTTATCAGTATTACCTCATGTTGAAATTGAATTATTTAAAGAACGAAACAAGTTTAAAACGGTTAACATGTGAGCAAACTCTGTATGACAGTGCATATATTAAATGCCCTTCCAGTAGTGCTGCTTTATGACTTTAACCTGTCAAACCACATCTTTGTCCTGTGACCAACAAAGCGATGGTAGCATCACTCATGAGCAACATAATCTTCGCTATTTTTCAGATATGCTGTATTTGCACTCTGATGTGCTTCCAATGTTTGTGAATGCTATCGGCTACATTTCACGATGACCATATGCTCACCGTCAGAATGTGCACGATTTCTGCTGATTGCAAGTGCACATGCATGCATATGATACCACTTATAGATTGCTTCATATATATTTATAAAAGTGCAATGTAGGCTGTAACCTTTGTTCTTCTGTACGATATTCAGGTGTGAAGGAACTTAGATGATCAATTATCCGATGAATTGCGTTGCTATTTACTGCTTCATTTTGCATCGTATCTGCCACCTGGTGGAAATGTTTCTTACTGCACGTTGCCTAACGCGGAGCCGACCTCCATCATGTGAAATGTCAACATCTATGGATACAACATTTATGTCTATAAGCAAAGTAGAAATTATTATTTTTGTCCAAGTATTAGGCTGTTGAACGTCATTTACATGATATTTTTTGGCAATTTATCCAGTATGTGGAGCTGAACAAAGATGTATTATTAATATCCTCTTTACGAGAGGGCTAATTGTACTTAATAACATGTGGACTGCTAAGTTGGAAATTCACTCCGTTGTACTCAGATTGGTCATCAATAACATGCTATGGTGGCTTGTTGCAATTTTATTATTTTATAAATCAGGAGCTTTGCCAGAAACAGTTCGGATCTGTTCGTGTACCTTGTACATAGGCATTAGATAGGGCATTTTGATTCTTATAGTGATGCTACAATTGTACAAAACTGCACAACACAATCACGACAAGCAATACATGGCATACTGTGAACAAAAATTACATGAAGGGTTTGGATGGTGGGGAAGAGGTGCGAGGTTGAAAGTATAGATAAACAAAACATCTGGTCTTGTTTCCACATATAAATACATAAGTATGCCCGTCAGCCGTATTGGGGCTTTCCAGACTAACGTTATGAAACCGAATTTTTTTCAAGCAAGCAAAGTTCTGGTTTTGACTTTCTGGGTCTCATCAGTCGAGTCAGGCTTGTGACACAAATGCTGCTGGGTAACCGCGGATGCGATTGGGAATAGCACTCAATATAAAGCATGGGACCATATTTCACTGTAATAGAAAAAAACCCCAATGAGGATCTTGGATGTGACTTGGCAACACCAAGCAAGCGTATCTCTTTTTTTTTCCCTTGGCCTACTTTGTAATGCAAATCCGTAGTGTCTTGGCATTAAAGTATTTCTGATTTGCCATTACAAGCCTCAAGCTGGCTGGCCCTTGCTATCCCCTTTTTAGTTGACTTCTGAACTGCCCTCAAGTAGTTTTTTTGCCCTGTGTACTTTCTGCTTTTGTGTGTTCTTAACATCACTTATCACCCGCAGGGGTGTATGCTTGCCACATCAAGATGCTGTTAAAGATTACCACCTACACAAAACCTCACAGCTATACAGGACATAATATCACGTGAATTGAACCTTCATGTGCACTTTTTTTGGTGCAGTTATGTAACCGAATATGTCTTTTGTATGTGTTTGCCTTCACACGAAGTGTTATATAATTTCTATTTTAGTTTACAATTGGATATGAAATTTTAACTACGAAAGAGGAATAATGCGGGCTGTTGGTTCAGCAGTAGAGTGAATCAATCGCAATCATAGGGTGAATAGTTCATGTCCTTTTTGGCAGTTGACTCAGCCCATCATTCTCCTGAGGGTTTATAAAATAGGTACCACTCTGATCTCCACTATAGTAATGTGGAATTTCTGTCAATGGCTCATAGCTGTAAATAGGAGTGGAGCACTACCTCCACACTTATTTGAGCAGGAAATTACTTTGACATTTTTTTACAGGAATAATTGTGGTCATAGCTACTTAACTTTCATTTGAAAAAAATGGTGCATTATATAACTAGGTCAACCGAATGCTCTGCTTGCTGTGGTTGGCTTTGTGCAGCATATTTGTAATGTCTGCACCCAGCATTTACCAATTTTAAGGGTGTTCTGTAGACTATGCAACACAGTAAAAATTGAGCTTCATAAATGGCCCTGTCAATCAAGCTTTATCATGCAAAAGCCACCCAATTGAGTTTGCAATCACTCGTGTGTGGGTGCTTGAAATTTTAATGCACGGCTTCTAAATTTGGCTGCAATCATATGACCTACACGAAGCCTAATCATTGTGAGATTTTCTATGAGCTGTATTAAAATGGAGTTTCCACCAAACCATCAAGTCTATATTCCATCTGAATGGTCAGAGATAACAAAAATAATACCACTATTAATATACGTCACTGTTTTTATTTTTGATGATTTATTTAAAACATTATTTCTTTGCATTTAAATGTTATCATTATAATACAAACGCGTTACTATGATGAACTTGTCTCATATACCCATATCCTGATAAAGATAAATAACGTTAACGATGTTAATTCCAAGGTAACATAAAACATACATTACAACATACATATTCAGCTGAAAGTGTTGTATGCATATAAATATATTTGAGTATAATATTTGTGAAAATATTTGCATTCGGTGTCATTTGTGTGTGAGATTTTTTCATGTTATTATATATCAGCAATAGTTAAATGTCTTTAATCTTATAATTCAAACTTCAATATTAAATTTACAAAGCTCATTAAATAGGTAAGCCTCTCTATGACCCTGTTCATAATTTCCACTCAACTATAATCCACTGATGGAACCCCACCCCTTTTAAAATGTACCACTTAAGCTTTTCAATAACACAATTTTAACTTACATTTATTATTTGCTGAATAGATTTAAGCCACGAGTGCATGCTCAATCGATTGACAATGGAAATACTGTGTCATATAATTATTTAAAATCAAGTGCAACTGGTATTGAAATTATTCTCAGCCCCACACCCTGGCCAATAAAATGTAAACAAGCAACCGCTAATGCCCTTGAAAAAACTAAACACTCTAGGGAGTTGAGTGGTTAATTTGTGAAAATGTATCGTTGAAGTAAAATGTGATCATGTCAGTATATAGATTGAACCTGAAACTCATAATTAAAAACAAATCAAACAACTGCATGTTTTTTTCTTCCACCTCATTCGAAAAAAAAATGTTATTTTGTTGACTGCAAGTGAACGAAAACTGCATTTCTTTGAAAAAAATAGTTCCTTCAGAGCTTTCTTGTAAATACTATTATAACTCTGGCACTTGGAGTGGTGTTCATGCTCGAAGCTATGCAGCAGTGAAAACAAGCAATTAATATGTTAAACAGAACTCCACCACGGTATGCTTTTTTTTCAAATCGAGTATTTGTGCTTCTGAAAACATCAGGAGGGCCGGTGATTGAAAAAAAAGATTACAGTAGGAGTGCATTTGTGTTATTTCCCCTCACAAACGCACTAAGTGTAAACAACATTTGTTTCAGAACTGTAGTGCATAAATTACATGTTTTATCTTGACTTAAAGCTTTCGTGACTGCAGGAATTCATGTTGTATATAGAGTATCACACTTGTTTATACAGGAAAGCCTCACCGAGTCTCGAGACGCTGTTTTCGTGAGGGTCCTGCGAAGGCAACGATTGCCCTGTGTTTCCCAATTAAGTAATTTGCGAGTATTTATTTTTATTTACTTGCCAAATCGAGTTCATTTTATTTGCTACACAGATGGTTCCCATTTCGTCATTTGCCCGGCTATTTTACAAGGGAGATGCGTGCTACCACGCAAGCACAGCAACAACCGCGAAACAAAGACAAAAGCATCAACATTGCAGAGAACGAACACAGGGTTCTTAATTTGGATCATGACTCTCGACACACAATTGCATACGCTTATCAGAATGACGTCATTGCGATCCTTTAACGTTCACGACAGCACCTGTTATTGTTAATTAAGTCAAAGTGTTGACCAGGGTGGCCATCTAGTATTGAACCGCTAACCTCTGCGATAAGCGGCAAATGCGCTGAGCCCATACACCAATGTCACCGCCATTCGCATCCACGCTTCAAATAGGACCTGTCCTCTTCTCTGACTAGTACATAATATCAGGCTTCTAATGCAACGAGTAGTGACATATTTGAGCATCTAGCTCGCTCTCAAACAGTTGTGACTGCTCAATGTTTGTGCTGTTTTTAAATGGTAATCGTTACCTTCATCAAATCAGTCAAAGATTAGTTAATGGTGCATATCGTGACAGGCGAGTGCACTCACCACATAATCTGTTGAATGGAATTGTTTGGTGTATAATTGTATATTAATCACAGCATTTTGTCTGTGGGTGGTAATGCACACTGCTTTAATTAGAACAATATAAAAAAATCATTTCTATACATATATATTTTTATTTTTCAAATATATGTAAAAGTTGAGTTGATTTATTTCGGAAGATTATTTTTTACTTAAAGTGATAAATACATGCTTGTACATTTAAAACAATGCTGCATGTGTGCATTTGCGCACGTTTTAACATTAAAAAAGTATCTGTCATTTAAGAACATTAATCATTTAATTCCCAAACGTATAATGTATGTATTCATATGATGCACACAGTCTTTACTTTGACTAATATATCATACGTTTTAATCATGTTAGTTGCATAAATTATTCCTAAAGGTTTAAGTAAGCATTTATTAATATGGTGATGGAGTGGTTCATACTCGGAGCTATGCACCCACATAACCTAAGTTCGATACCTCGCTCTGGATAATATTGCCTCCTCTCCTTCTTCACCAGCTCATATTTACGAGCATGGTGAAGTATGGTCAAACATCCCCCATGACTGACAACAGCATAGGCGGGGCATTAGTTCAGGATTGAAAAAGGACTGTAAATAATGGATTTTTATCATCAGCCAAGCTGTTTCCATCGCTCACAGTTCTGCTATGCAGCAAAAGACACAGATTATTTGTATAACCTTAACAGACTGTTGGAGCAAGTGCTGTTAGCGAGCACCTATGAAGGTTGGCACAGCACACGAGGGGGTGGGTGGCCAGCACCAAGCCCAGCCACCATTGTCTCCCCAGCAGTGATGCTTACACACCGCACCAAATACTTATTTCAAGCTGAGTCGACCGAGGGGAGGCCTAGTACCGGTTCAGGAATTCGTCACTGATGTTGGCCGTGAGTGGGTATTGAACTCGGGTCGCGGGGTTCGTAGCACAGCACGCCAACTGTTACACACAACTGCTCCCCATTGCTATGTAGCAATCCACCTCGCACCTATGTACAAGCGTATGTCATCACTCCATCTCCTTGGAAGATGTAATCTATTCATTGTATTGCAAATATTATCGGGTTCCCAGTTGCTGGGTTTCTGACATAGCCTTTGTTATGTGGCTCATAGTGCACCGATTTGTCTTATTGACACCAAATGTGGCTTTGTCTTTTCTACAGCTCCTTGTGGAGGGAAGTCATCTGGCTCCGATGGAGTTGTGCTGTCCCCGAGCTATCCAAGCAACTACACTGGTGGCCAGAACTGTCTCTATTCCATTTCCGTGCACGACAATTTTGGTAGGGAAATTGTGATGTGTGTCACGGATTAATTTAGATTCATACGAGGCTGGTGAATCAAAGCTATTGGCATGGTCACCGTATAAATGTGTTCTGTGGGGAAACTAAAAAAGGGGTTAGTCTTAGAATTGATTGGTCATTTATATATATTTAATCGAGTTTTCATCCAGCTTAAGTTAATTTTATATATTTTTTTCAGTCAAGTGTAATGTCTCTGAATATGTGCTTGATTGAAAATGCAATAACTTCCAGTGCACATAAGGATTCACATTTCTGTGGGTTTATAAGGACAACTCTGTTTGTATTGGAATAAAAATACTTGGCAAGTGTTCAGATTAGATATGGCTTTTTATACTCACACCATTTACAGTTACATTTATTTTCTAAGGTGAAGGAGTTAGATCACTGTTAACCTTGTGCCGTTTCACCTGCAGTGGTGTTTGGGCAGTTTGTGTATTTTCAAACATCTCTCAATGACTTTGTGGAGGTGTATGATGGACCATCTCAGAAGTCTCAGCTTCTGAGCTCTTTGACTGGCTCCCACACAGGTAAGACCAGTTTTTGTATCATACGAAAGTCGACTATGAAGCTTGCACATGATGCATTTCTGCTTTAATGATGTTCAATTCGTAAATCATAAAAACGTATTCTTGCTTTGAAGTCTAAGCATTATCTATTGCCTTTGTTGGCTGAATGTATGATTCTGTCATTGAAGAAAGGTGACAAGCAAACTACTTCTTAAAGGATAAAAGTGTGGGCGCAACGACATATTTCAACATATCTGCCTGGCATGAAACAATCTACTTTAAACTTTTAAAGAGTGGGAGTGAGCCTTAGATTGGCAGGACAACTGCAGACCGCAAATACATTTGTTCTTTGGTTAATTCTTTCCAAATGTAATTGAATATATGTGCAAAACATAATGTAGGAGTAGTGGCAGAGTGGTTATTTCACTACACTATGAACCAAGAATCCGGAGAAAATGCACGTGACCATGGGGAGAACATGCAAACTCCAATTATACAGTTGTCAGGGTCGGAATAGAACCCACGACCTCCTGTATACCAGGTGAGGTAGTTAACATCTCGCCACCGTGGCGCCCAATCAATTGTAGGATGAAGCCCCCCCCAGCTATGTTAGTCATGTAGATTATTTGACCTTATTTCACCATTCTGAGCAGTGTGGGTTAATGAGGAGGGGGCCCAGCACAATTTTAGCTGGAGCTAGGAATTAAACTCAGGCCACCAGATGTATAGACCACTGCACCACCACTCTGCCCCTATTTAAAGTAGCATATTGTATTGTGATCCGTTAACTGTTTCTCAGCATTAGTATACCTTAATGTAACAAAAGGCTAGCCAATAGTATCTTACAATTATTTTGTATTGTCACATACCAGGATTGTTGCATTATAGCAAGAGAAAACTGGAGCAATGGCACCCACTTGATGTGTTTTCAGCCAGCATTAGATAGGTACTGGCTAGTGATGATGATGCACTAAAATATAAATGCATTATTTAAAGTAATAGGGCAGTAATCGAACGTTTGTGTTTACAGGGGAGGCATTGCCTTTAAGTACATCACATCAAATTACAATAAATTTTTCACCAAACAAGAACACAACAGCTAAAGGATTCCACTTTATTTACCAAGGTACTGCCAATTTTGTCGTAAATATGTTTCAAAAGTACCAGACTGATTGTCAATTAACTACAACACAGTGTGAATGAATGTTAATTAATGCTTAGGTAAACGCGACGTTTTAATAGTGGTAGATTTTATTTGGAGAGAATGCTTTCTGTTCCATGTTTTTTTTCTTAGCAACGGTGGTCTTTGCTTATTTATTCAATTAGGTATAACAGGATGATGATGATAATAATAATTCTAGATTTAGCACACAGCACTACTATATAACACGATATTCCGTTAATGCCTATGCCGTTTTAAATACAATTGTAGACGCTGTACTATTATTATTTAAATTTTAGTTCATGCAAATAGTGTTTTATTTTCCCTGCAATAGACAACCAAGTGTGAACGGTTATATAGTCACATACATATTCATCACATGCTTATATTGCAGCTGTCCCGAGAACGAGTTCAACGCAGTGCAGCTCTGTTCCTGAGCCCAGGTTTGGACGGAGAGTCGGAAGCGACTTTTCGGCCAACTCTGTCGTGAAGTTTGAATGCAGTCCCGGGTATGCCCTTAATGGGGTGAGCGCTGTGAAGTGTACCGTGGTACCAAATTCCCTAGCGCAGTGGAACCATTCATTCCCCACCTGTATAGGTGAGCAAGTTTCACATGCAACACCATGCTTCTATTTGCAATACACAGGTTTTATACAAACACGACTCTGTCACTCACATTAAGTACAGTACGTACCAGAGGTGGGACAAAGTCATTGTTATGCAAGTCCAAGTCGAGTCTGAAGTCATCAAATTCATGACTCGAGTCTGACTCGAGTCCAAGTCACATGACTCGAGTCCACACCTCTGGTACGTACATATATTTGCGGTAGCTGCATGAACAAGATTATGATTTTATCGCATTCCCAAAATGGTATAAGTTGACAATGCATTGGTATTGACATATTGTGTCTGTATGTATACATTAACCTTTGGCATTTGTCCTATGAACTGTCATAACGCCTTTACAGCTGCACATGGCTTTAAATTGCACCTAACCTCGGGACACAAGTGTCCATATGACATCATCGGCACATAGTGATACTTGGCCATTGATGTCTATGTGTATACATGCAAATGCATATGTATATATTGCAAAGTGCCTGCATCCATGTGTTCATCGGATTTAAAAATGTACATTGGCTCTTGTCCACAATACCAAAATTGTAGAACTCAAGACAAAACCCATAATTTTTCCATTTAACCATTTTGCATGCAATCAATGTAAATACATTTTACTTGCTGTCTATCTACTCATTAAATTGTGGGTTATTCAGCAGCTCTTGCAGTAACATATGCAAGATAAGTTACCACCTCATGTCCTTGAATGCAGTTTTCTTTTACATCAGCTGTCCACTGAATATCAGGTTCCAGACATCAATTGAAATTCCATAAATATATATAAAAAAATAAATAAAAAAATATTTATACACTCTTCATTAGTATGCCATATCAATCCACTGAGATAGACAAACGATGGCTATCTAAAATTAATCCCAAATATATTTTCTTTAATATGCTAAAAACAAAAGCTAAATGCCAATACCGTTTATTATGCATATTTATATTTCCAGCACAAATATGTTTCGACATTTGCATGGATTAAAACATGCTCTCGAGGTGTTACTCGGGCTTCGTCTGTCCGCCTATCCACCTGTTTCTGGATCACTGAGCGAGTGTTGTGAGTGAACATTTGATTGAGGTCACTTGCGCACAGTTGGGGTGGATTACTGGGACGCCTGGCTGGCTTTATCCACTCGTGCCACTGAATTTGAGGACCAGCCGTCTCGCAGAAGGAGACCTTTTCCTTGTGTCGAGGCCAAGTAGAAGCCGATTTGGTGCCAATTTGGTCGTGATTTTAATTGTTTTAATGTCGGTCTGGGATTTAAAAGTAAAAAGTATGACTGTTGTACAGAATGCTAACAGCTCGATGTACGTTGGTCTAAACTATGATATTCTCGCTTACTATCAAACTAGGGGGCTGCAAGAAGCATTTGTTGAGACTTTAATGTCCTCTAAGTATGAAAATTGTTAGTGTGCGGAAACCTTCATTTTTCAGGTATACATCTTCAATAATAATCAGACTACGTAAGTTAGTATTGTCATCATTGTTTTTTTCTCGACATTGATTTTCTAATGATCAGCAGTGACACTGTGGGAAACTGCATTCCTCCATGCCAAATAAAAAATAATGTGGCCTGTATAACCTGGGTGGATTCCTCTCCAGGGTGCAGCGCTCCCACTGTGCATAGGAGAAATATGCAGGGCTAGAAGAGGGATGGAGGAAGACACAGAGAGGAGATGGATGGGGAGGGAGTGAAAAAATCATGCAACGGTGTGGAAAGAGAGGGAGCAAAAGAGAACGAGGACAGCGGGGGAACGTGAGAAGTACAGTCCAGTAGTGGGAGAGAGGATTAGGGAGAGGCAGGAGCTATGGGGACAGAAAAGGGAGAGGTGGGAATGTAGAGAGTGAGGGTGAACGATGAAACAGGGAGAGAGACGGTGAGGGACATGGAGGGTGGAACTGGGACAGATGGATAAAAAAAACGATAGGAACAAAGACAAAGCACGAAATCAAAATGAATTGTTATATACAGCACAGAGAAGGCAAGAGAACATTGGAGAGAGACAGGACTGCTTATACGAATACAAGTTTTGCTGGCTGGTTGGGAGAGAGGGACGGATGGTCACATCCAGATGACGGGCGAGTCGTTAGTATTTGTACATAACAAAAATCTACGAAGATTTGTTCGTGGATAAAATCCAATATGACCACGATTTAATCTTGATTTGAAGCTTTCGTGACTGCAGGAATCCATACTCTTTGGTTCTTTACCGAAAGAAGCAAAGAGTATGACCACTATTTGTTATGAACTAATCATTGCGGTTACAAGGTCAGTCAATAGTGCTTCCTCTTAGGGTCATGAAGTGAAAACGTAAGCAATTTTACCATCGCATTAGACGTTTTAACAAGCCTTAATTAGGTGTTGCCAGGACATTTTATTTAAAATCTAATTGCTTTGCTTGTGAAATGCAGTAAAGGGTGAATCATCTGAATGAATTGCCTCATGTATGCCATTGAAATGCATGCTAAACAGCACTACAGCTTTTGTCTGCTGTTACTGTGTCCACTTGTAGATTGTGATTAATAATGCAATCATAGGTTGACTAAGAGCTGCCACTTTGTTGTAATTAGAAGTTTCCGAGCATTGTCCGGGATGGATGAGTGTAAGCGGTGATCGTTATTGTGTCCGTGCTCCTGGCTCCTCTAGTGCCCTGTGGGGGTAACCTGACAGAGCGCAGTGGGACCATTTTGTCGCCTGGTTACCCGGAGCCTTACGACAACAACCTGAACTGCGTGTGGCGGATCCTGGTACCGGAGGGAGCAGGAATTCAGGTGTGTCCTGTGTCACACATCGTGATGTCTGTCGTTTTTTTTAAATCCTTTATATTAAGTTCGCTTGCTGCTTGCTTGCGTGCTTGCGTGCTTGCTTGCTTGCTTACAACCGTGCAAACCTTTCGGTCGTTTTTTAACCCACTTCCCGTGATCCAATCGAGCTGACATTTTGCACACAGACTCGTTGTGCGAGACAATTCGTGAAAAAAAAATTCCAAAATTTTACACTGTTTAGGGAAAACAAATTAAATATTTAATTACCCATTGTTTAATACTGCAGACAATCATCTGACCCATAGGTGGCAGCCATCTCAAGCCAGAGGACGAGAGGACTCTAGCCGCCACACATATAAAGGATTTAGAGTGAAAAACTTTGTTTTTACGGGTTATACTTATTCTTCGTGAAAATAACAGAAAGGGAATATACATCATACGACTATGTCCCGACTAAAGCACATTGAGCCAGCAGGGAACGTATTTTCTTCTTTTCTTTTTAAATGCAGGGTAAAATGATGTCAAAATATGATGTGAGATGTATCGTGAAATTTTGATTAAAATAAACACTTTATATTTGAATAAATATTATCATAATATTGTGTCACATTACAAATATATTATCCTGATGTTAAAGCAAACAAGTTTACCGTGTCTTAAAATCCGGTAGATGTGTCTGTGTGACCAGATTCGTATAACTTTATTGACAGCGGGCACCAGTTTGAGGGCGCAACTTACTTTCCAGAGCATCTTCTAAGGGGCCATCAATTTAGTACGACGCAAAAATCTGTCAAAACTTGAAACCCTCCCCCCCTCCCTGTACGCACGCGTACTTTTTACCCCCCTGCATGCGTATGCTTGACGCACCCCCCCCCCCCCCCGAATCCTATAGAACGGCCGATATTTAATCCACGCAGAAACGATCAAGGATTAATAATATTAACGTGTTTAAGCAAACAGATAGTACTGTGTAATAAATGTCCCTGGGTAGTAAGTGTTATTTCCTAATTGCTTATGCCTCAAAAGTACAGAAAATGGCTATTATTCCCCACAAACCTTACTTTTGTGACCAGGACAGTGATATTTAGAAATGTACCTATTTTCAATGAGAAAACGTGTGCATTTGTGTCATTCCTTCACGTAAAGTCCTGGTCACAAAAGCAACGTTTGTGGGGAATAATAGCCATTTTCTATACTTTTTAGGCATAAGCAATAAAAAAAATAACACTTACTACTCAGGGACAAAAATCTTATTACATAGTGTAGTCCACCGCCGGACTATCTAACTAATTTGAAGGCCAATGTAGACAAATTATTATCGAGGCTTCACCCCCCTCCCCGCCGTTTCCTATGCGTACGTACATTGTCAGTAGACCCCCCATACACAAGCGTACGCATTTGGGTTAACCCCCGCTCCCCGCTCCATGCGTATGTACTAAATGGATGGCCCCTAACCACACATACTTGTGGGGAAGAGTTTTACCTTTTAGAGAAATGGTAAAGCTTTTATTGGTCGTGCAATATCTTGATAACCCAGAGAGGATCCCATTGCTAGCTTTGCTTACCAGAATTAATTTGTCTCAAGCATTAAGGAAATTAAGAAAATTACGTAGGAAAATGCATTAGAATTATATATCTGTCCTTACCAGAATATAACGTGCCATTTCCAATAGTCCTTGTTTTTGCTAAATTGAGTCCGTAATATACAATGCTTTTCACAAGATCTCTTGTTCCACGATATTATAAATTACGGCAACATATTTATTCATTGAGCTAAAAAAACTCAAAGTGGTGTTTAAATGAATGGAACACAATTCGTTTCCAACAGGCAGTTGAATTACTTGTGCTCTTAAAAAACATTATCTAAATTAACTGATGCCCATGGGACACCTATAAACATTTTATGGTATGAACTCTAATTATGTTTCTTTTGGTATCAGCCCGATTTGAAATTAAAGGCAGTGACTGTTATTAGAGTGCAGCCTTTTAAAATATGACTAAAATAAATGCGATACAGGCACGGCCAAGAAGTATGCTGCATTGTATTAAACTGTGCATTGTTGAGTGGTGCAGAATAATATATCACGGGACCTCCTTTGCCAGTACCAAAATATGAGAATAGGTTTTCCCCTTTTTTTCTGGCAACAAAATAGGTGTTAAGATGTTAAAAACCAAACTGAAACCTTTTTACAAGGAACCACGTCTGCATTAACCACAATGCTTGTGGTCAGAATTTAAACAAAAAACATACTTGATAATATATGCATTGTTTTTTAAACTGATTGGTCCACACCAGAGACAGCTTTCTTTCGAGCCTGCTTGCATGTGCTTGCATGCGAACCAAATGATAATACTGGGCCAAAAATTGGGAACAGGTCGAATGTTTTTTGACTTATAAAGATATAACTGTGGCTGTTGAGTAATCGTACCAAATAGAAAGTGGACTACACTTATGTCTAATCACAGATATGAAGTAAAACCCAGACTCGGTCCACTTAAAAGTTACCGTATTTGTACATCTATGCTATATGTGCATCATCGGCTAATGCTATACATGACAATGCATACATGTTTATTTTAATGTCTAAAGCATAGCCTACATTTTAAGATATACCAGCAATCAGTGAGTTATTCCTGACAAAACGATCAGCTGTATTTATTGGGCTTAGAATGGTGCCTGTATGAATTGTTGTTCATGGAACTATTTTAAATATTTATGAGGCAAATAGTAAATTGTCTTAGATATTTTTTTGTATCTTCATGAGGTTGAAATGTTGTTAAATAGTTGTATGGTACAAAACTGACACAATCTGTGATGTAAAGACAATTACATTAGCGAAATTGGTCAAGCTATTGTCGGGTTTTATTGATATATTAAAAATCAAATATGGTCTTGTATTCCCACTCTTTCAAGGAAGGTATCACTAAGGTGTCAGTGATACAGTTTTGGTGACTAATATGTAAATATAGTCTCAAAGGAGTTTTATGATACCGAATTATAACAAATGGTGTTCTATAAGCCACAACACATTGTACAACTATTTTAGCTGCACAGTGAAAAACATCTTCACTGCATAATATGTTAATGAACACTATATAAGATTGGATAATCCAGTTTTCATGGATGGATCGAATCCTACGACCAGCAGTCACGATGTGGGTCAATTAATATCTAAATAAGGAGTCTGCTGCAGGAGGATGTGAAAAACTCCAGGACTAACATGTAAATTATCGGAAATTGTGTTCCATTGTCAAGAAAAATGACGCAGTACTTGAATATCGTTATAAGGGGCCGTCCATAAATAACGTCACGCGATTTTGGACGATTTTGACCCCCTCCCTCCCTCCCTCGTCACACGGCGTCACAAAAAGTCAGACCCCCCTCAAATATGACGTCACAAAATTCTCCCCCCCAAAATAAATCTATTATAACATGCTTCAAATCGCTTTAAACTATTGTCATTATAGTGCGTATTTAATGTGCCGCTGCACTCTGATGTTGTAGGAGAAAAAACATCTTAACAAGTCTATTTAATTAAGTAGAACGTGTTTATATTTATTTAAAGTTGCGCATTTTGATGTGACGTCACATTTCTCACCCCCCCCCCGTCACACATCGTCACAGATGTCTGACCCACACCCCCCCCGAGGTGCATGACGTCATTTATGGACGGCCCCTATGTAATATGCAAACATCCAGCATATATAAAATTGCACGCCTCTGCCTTGTGTTCGCGACCCGCTGTAGGAATTGTGTGCTATAATGAGACTTGTGATCATTCATGTTTGTTCCTTCTTGCAAAGTTGGCCGGGGTACAAATCTCCACTACTTAACAAATGATTGATGTACAATTAATTTGCGATGCTTTGTGAGGAGTGGTGGTGCAGTGATTAGCACACCACGCTATTAACCCCGCTACCTGAGTTTGATTCCGATTCATGGCTAACATCAGTGGTGAGTGATATCAGAACTGTTCCCGGGCCAACTTCCCTTCATCCACCTGTGCTTAGGAGTAGGTGAAGTATGGTAAAATAACCTCCACAACCAAACTACTTATTAATATTTAAATGTATAAAGCGCCCTTAAACTAACATTAGGGACATCCCCTGTAATGTGGGGAAGCTTTCGGCGAGAAGTGGATTAACAAAGGGCTGTAAATTACAACTCCGATTAGCATGGTTGGCGACGTACAGTGCAAAAGAAGTTCAACATACAAACATATTACTGCACTATCATGGAAATAAAACCCTCTCAGAAACTGCATTGACAACATATCATGAACACCAACCAAAGCATATCCTACCACTATTTTTAACACTGCCTGATAATTATAACAAACTAGCTATATACCCGGCATTGCCCGGGCCAATTTTATTTTCAAAACTACTCTTAAAAATCTAACAGCAGTGTGTACTGACTGTGGTGGTACCTGCTATGATTACAGCAGTGCATACCGACTGTGGTGGTACCTGCTATCACTATAGTAGTACATGCTGACTCTATAGCAGTATTTATCAACTCTATAGCACAAAGTACCCAACTGACAGAGTGGCGCGGTGAGGCCTAGTCCCGTGCAGAGCCTCCGGCCTCGCCTAGATTATCCAGCCGGCCGAGATGGCACCTTGGCAAGCTGGGGCTGGGCTGCTACCCCTGACCCCCCCACCCCAGCCACGATCTCCCTGGCCGCTCTGCAGTAATATCTACGGCCTAGAGTGGTTGCATCTAGCGACTGTATAGTAGTAATAACTGCACGCATCGGGGTGGGGGGAGACATCACACAGTGAAGAATTAACGTCAGCATTTAGTGTATTTTTATAGCATTTTTAACGCGAAAGAAAATATCCCCCTAACTCCCACCGAAGGCAGGCGACTTGGCATGGGCCGTCCCCCCCACCAAAGGCACGTGAGTTGGTATGGTCGTGCACTTGTCATTAATAAATACATGATAAGCGCACAAAAAGCGCACTAAATCGCTAATTAAACAAATTTAAAGTTGACGGATGTGAAAAAAGAATAGCGCTTGCTCATCGCAGGGCTTACGGCTTGGTACCTGGCTATTTTTTTTTCACGGAAACCCCACCGTTGGAGAGGCAAATTGTTCGCAAGCACGCGAACAGACACAAACCCACAAACAAACCCACAAACAGACAATGTTTAAAAAAATTCTAGAAGAAGATAGAAGATATATGCTCTTCTAAATTAACGTTAAAGTAAAAGTTGCGTTCCAGAACAGAAAAAGGTCTACTGTATCGACCTTATATAACAATGATTTTGTTATGGTTTTTTTGTAAGTGTTGTACCAATAACAAGGTTTTCATGTCCAGGCAACTTCTCAGTGTATGTTCTTTTCTTAGTGTACGAGCTAAGTAAAGAGTTATACAGAATCAATGGTGTAACGGATTACGGGAGCCTGACAGTCACGTACACTCACCATTTGTCGGCAGGAGTGAAAATCGATGTCGACAAACGCATCACTTGTAATCAATTCTAATTATTGCCGAGCGTTATTTATAAATTGAAAGTGGGTTAGTTAACTGGGAATTGATTTGTGGGGCTAATTTGCTGCCATCTTAGTGAACTGAATAACTGTCATGGCCACGAGATAGCGTTCGTTGCTGACGGTATGTGTCTCTGCAGATCCAGGTCGTAAGTTTTGCCACAGAACACAATTGGGACTCCTTGGAGGTTTACGATGGAGCCAATGCTGACTCCCCCAGGCTTGGAAGCTTTTCAGGTGACACTAGACCTGCATGTCAAATACGGTGTGCATATATTGCCTTGCATTTTTTTTACAAATTCAATGGACTTTAAACGTAAGCCAATATTTGTAATATTTTCTATGTTATTGAAATGTTTTACCATTGTGTTCTTGCAGTTACTGTTATCTTATGGCATCACACCAATATATATTAACTGTTTTTGTTTCAAGTAATGTTACGGATCAAGCTGTGAAATTAATATTCAATTTGTTTTTTTTTTATAACTTTTTTTCAAAATGTGGAATAATTTGTCTTCAGAACTCCAGTCATATGGCGAAAATACTTCTCTTCACTAAGCTATTACTTTATACTGAGATAAAGCACACCATTTGCTTTGTGTTTGGCATGTTCTTTTTTTTTGCAACTTCTGCTATTTGAATGCTACAGTTGCTATTAATGGTAGTGTTTAAAATAATTTGATTCGAAGCTGTCCCTTCTGCCTAGACATCGAAATGCTTTTGAAGCAATGCCTCTAGTAGTCGATTGCGATTTGGAATTTAATGTGTGCATAATTCCAACAATATGATTCCTTAAGCGAACCGTTAAAATTATTTAATAAGGGATAGGCAACTGCCAAGTAGCAAGATCGGGTCAAATTTAGTGCAATAGTGCATGTGTATGAATGGCAGTCACATCTTTGTGCAGTGTAGCTTTTAGAACAATTGCCTGTTTCTTGCATAGTGCATATAAGATGATATGCTCTGGAAGATGTATGAATCCACCAATGGCAAGTAGTGTTAGGTTTGAAAAAGCAAATGTATATGGAAGTGACTAGATTGCTCAGTGTGAAGTCCATGCCACAGGACTGGGCCAAAATCCTTAGTTTAAATCTGGGCAAAATTGTGAAGTTGTAGTGTCTTGAGTTGATGTGATGACCTCATGACTCTCCAATGACAACCACAACTACAAACTTCATATTATTTTTTTTATTATGATTATTTTAATGTTTTTGTAGCTTTCAGAACAAAATGTGTATTTAGATTTTACTGCTATGTGATGAATCTCATTATAGCAGAGCATGTGAGAACATGCAGCGCTTATAGTGTGGATAAAAGGCAACTAACTGAATGAAAATCAATAGTAGTTCTGTGATATTACCTTCAAAAGGGTGATCTCGAACAGGAGGACATACACTCCCTTTTTTGCAATGGTTTCAATCGCAATATAATTTTGAAAAGGACATAAAAAAACTGTCCACAATTTGGAAAATATGACCCGAGCATGATTAGAAATATAAGTAAAAATAATTCTCTACTTTTTCCTTTCGGGATTTAGATCTTGTCTCTGTAAAAACCGTACAGTCGATAAGGGCTATATTTCTTTGTCAATTTACTTTTTTAAAGTCTAAAATAATTCTGGATGGAATAAGGATGACAACTGTTAAATGTGTAGATTACATATGAATTCATGTCTAAAGTATTGCAATTTAATTGAAATACATTGATGCCTGTAAATTATCCATTGTTAAAGGAATACAAATGTATGTTATTGTTTGATATTTTGTAGGAACGACACTCCCTTCATTAATCAACAGCACGTCCAACCAACTGTACCTTCATTTTCAAAGCGACCTCAGTGTTGGAGCAGCTGGATTCCACCTAATTTACACAGGTATGTTGTTTTGTTAAATGGGAAAAAAAAGTTGTTGTTTATCTCAATAAAAAATTGTTGAAAATAACTGCAAAATTTCCATTTTACATCGTTGATGAGCAGCCTTTCTGAGCTGACTCATGGATCATCATCATCATATCGTTTTTTTTTCAAAAGTGCATTTGCGCCATATGTACAAAATACATTTAATGTGATGTGTAAAGTGGGGAAAATGTGATGAATTTAACTGATTGTATTAGACTAATGCATTTGGATGCTGAAAAATGTTATGGAGTATAGCTTAGTAATGATGTAATTTTCATTATATTTAAGCTCATGTGCTTCCATATTAAATATATGTATGTTTGTATTATTTACTATGATGTAATTATGCTATTCTTGTCAAAGAAGTTCAATGTTCGTGACATTCAGTTACAATTCTGCTTGTCAACATCACAATTAAATTCTGGTCAACTCCACATGCAATGATCAGGAAAGTCATGCAGCATGAATTAATGTGTTTCTCTTATACATAGCAATTATTCAAAGTGGAAAATGGGCTGCAGAGCATTCAGTTCAATGTAATTGGTGCTCACATATGTTCTCTGAATTTCTTATTGCAGCAATTGGTTTGTCATCGTGTCCGGAACCCGTCGTACCAAGTAACAGCATAAAAATAGGGGACCGATACCTGGTGAACGACGTTGTGTCCTTCCAGTGTGAGCCTGGCTATACACTCGAGGTAAAAACGGCCGAATGCAAAACATTACATGTTGAATACACATTAAGATACACAAACATGAATGTAAATATACGTAACATTTACAAGGATTGTCGCCATTGTCTAATTATATTATGAATGCGCTCAGACTGCCAATACAGAGGTTGTCATTTCAATCCTCCGGCTTAGCGGTTAAAGCAACGGGCAAGTTTCTTGAATTCCTCCACCTCTATCCACCCAAAAGTATAATGGGTACAACAACAATTTGTTGATCGGAGGTCGCATTGAAGAGAAGCTGAGAAATATGCAATGTAGTATGCACCATTGCTTGGAATCACACTGAGAGACGAAACGAGGAACATGTAGATGAGAGGACATTTGCAAGTTAGAGACGTCATATTGGCTCTTGTGAAAAAATAGGCCTGAGCAGGACAATGTCCTTGAAGGGATTATGGCGATGGTATACGACAAACAATAGAGTAGTTGTCAGATGAATGAACACAACAAAGTGGAACTCTCCTGAGGAGATGAAGTGATGAAATCGGCTCATGTGCGGGAGTTAATTGTTACTCCACCAGACAGTGAGAGATGGTGATGCCTTGGGAAGTTATAAATTCAGCAGTGGATACCTGATGATGATGAATCACATAAACAATACCAAACTGAATAATGTCAACCTTAGTAAAGAGATACTATTTTCATTAATAACCCCATCGTATTTTACTTAAAATGCAAATAGAAATCGCCCGACAAAATACGGATGGCTGAATAAACATGCACATTATATTTTTTCCGCCTGAGGACGACCGCTTGTGTTGCGATCGAAACGTCGTGATTTATTTTATTTTTCTACCTACATGACTTTACCGAACGAACCAAAGAGTATGGATTTCTACAGTCACGAAAGCTTCAAATCAAGAATGCACATTCAAAGCTAACTTTTTGAAATCACATAATTACTTTATTTCCCCTCTGCTCCCTATTTGCTTACATTTCCTTTACTGTTCCTGGAAAGCTATTTCCCAGTGATCTAATGTGTTGATTTTCCTTGTCCTGTTTCACGCTGTCCAGGGGCATTCGTTCATTTCCTGCATGCCTGGCCCGGTCCGGCGTTGGAACTATGCCCCTCCTCTGTGTATTGGTCAGTCCTCCTTGAAAGCATTTAAAGCTGCTTGTTTTGATGCATGGGTTGTTTTTTTTAAACAGTAAACTAAGTACTGGCAGCTCAAACACATTTAGCCAACAACGATAAATCTGATTCTTTTTGTTTCAAAGAAAAAAAAAGTTTGCTTAATTACACACAAAATGAAAAGTTTTCCATTTCAGCGACTAGCGATTAAAGTTGATTTAACGATGCTTGTGTTAATTTCAGCTCGCTGTGGCGGAACGTTTGATGACTTTAATGGTGTCGTCTTAAGTCCTGGTTTCCCTGGGAATTACCCCTCCAACCTTGATTGCACATGGAAAATTAACCTGCCCATTGGCTTTGGTGAGTGCTTTAAGAATTAATGAACGCTTATAATTTTGCAAACATTTTAACAATGTATCACTTTTCAAGCAAACGTTTAAAATAATGCCTTCATTTTCAACAGCTAATTATTTCATAAAACATTAGTTAATCTAAAAAGTATTGTTTGGAAGTGTTTTTTTGTATTAGGAAATATGCACATACATTTTTTATTGAATTGTTGTTTTACACAATAATGTAATGGATGTTCTGCTGCTGCTGCTGATAATAATAATCAATTTCCCTTCTCCTTTGACATGTGTTGTGCATATTATTATAGGAATCTACTTCACATTTCTCAACTTCTCCACTGAACCCATCCATGATTACCTGGAGATTAAAAGTGGTCCTGCTGAGGCTGGCACAGTCATCGGCCGCTTCAGCGGTCCCTTACTCCCGGCCTCTCTTATTAGCACAATGCATCTGACAACGCTGTACTTCCACAGTGATTATTCCCAGAACAAGCAAGGCTTCAAGATCAGTTATGAAGGTAATATCAGTGATACTTAGACACACATGTGGAATAAGTTTACAGGTTGTGATTCATAATTGGATTGTCACGGTCAGATCACATATGTAAAAATGTGTGTCGTAAATCCTCCTCCGTCCGATACAACCAATTATAAAGTTGTCACGTGAACAAAAGTGACGATTTATTACTTCTTCAGCAGCAGTGGTTGTGTAATGTCACAATATTTAACGATTGGTGATGATGTTCCGTTGATCATTACAACATTATCAGGCAGTTGTCAGATGTGTGAAAATATCCTCCAGACTTGGGCCTTAAATATGGGGTGTGATGTCACCAATGTGCACCCACAAGGGAAGTACTTGGGGTAATTCAACATATTAGACAAAGTTAATTAGTTGAACAAGATGGCTGCTAGATTATAATATATTATGTTGGATATGGTAATGAGGTGACCATTTATGTAGTGATACTGGTCAATCATAGATAATTAGGAATACTAAATGGTGAGTAATATTATAATACTGCTATGTTAGTTTCAAATAACGCAAATACACTTTGTTGTGAGATTGCTCTCCAACACACTGGTGTACTGCAGCAGTAATAAATTGGCACTTTTATTCAACGCAATAACTTTATTAATTGCCTCTATCGGGTGTAGGAGGGTTTTACGATGCACATTGTACTCACGCGATCTGACCCAAAAATGTATTATCAATCAAATTATTGGTCGCAAAAGCCTACGTGTTCAATGTTTACAGGTTGTCCATGAAAGTAAAAATGTAATGTTCCAGTCCTGCAATTGCATACTCATGTTACTGCTGGGACAGGGGCCTCCACTAGAGGGAGCTCTAGAGATCGGCTCTAGAGGGTATTTAGCCTCCTCCTCCACGCTGGCTCGACATTTTGGCTTACCCACACTTTACCCCACCACACGTGACCTGCTGATCGCCTTACCAGTGGTGCACCCATTGAGGCTGCTCGGTGGACAGAGGCGGTAGGGTTTTAAGAACCATTACCCCCCCCCCCCCCCCCATTGTTTCAATTGCAGCGTCAGCAAACACTAAATTACAAGTCCATTGTGCTAACCATTCCACCACGGCGGCTATTTCTATAAAGGTGACCACAGTTTAAACAACAAAGTGTATTCCGATCAACAACATTGAGTAATCCGCACTAGCACATAACAAAACATTCAAAATACCTCAAATTTATTTCATAATTGAAAAATTATACTGTTATGAGGTCATCCTGAGTGTGATAACCTTTGACTTTACAAGTTAGTAAGGTGCTGAATAAGGAAATAGACTACATACCCAACGTGTTTTCCAACACGTTTGCCAATATCTCGAGTGTGTAGTCTATTTCAAGATATGGGAAAACATCTTGGACTGCCTCAAATATCAATATTGTGTGCCAATACCATGGCAGATATGTCAATGTTTTAGAGGGATGAGACTTGTGATAAATGCTTCATGCCACCAAGTGACCGAAATGGAACTCCTGCCTACTTGTCATTCTTTAATAATGGATGCTTATTTTAATAACGCACTTTGTAATGTTGTGGTGCAACAGTTCTCCGAATTAAAGCACAACAGGCAGTTTACTAATTGCATTTTAAAATCCTGGGCTGTTGTTGCTCATCAATGCAATAAATATTGCACCAAAATAATTGGCAATGAAGCGGCATTAATTAACACGTGTTGTTCCCCTCCCCCCCCCCTCCACTTTTATTGCAGCATATGAGCTTCAGAATTGTCCAGATCCGAGACCTTTTACAAATGGATATGTGGTTGGTAACAACTTTGGAGTTGGCCAGTCAATTTCATTTGAATGTTTTCCTGGCTATGTGCTGATTGGTAGTGCAGTTCTTACTTGTCAGCATGGCCACAGCAGACACTGGAGCTATCCTATACCCTCTTGTGAAGGTGAGGACGTCACCGTTGTGTATTTGTACACGTCGCTTCATGTTGCCATTTGGTAACTGTCATTGAGTGACACGCATCAATGGGTGTGGTTCCTTTGTTCAATAGCTCATTGCATTTTCAACAGGTGACCGAATACTTTTGAAAGATATTGCTGCATATCATACAGAGGAGAGCATTCAACGATTGAATAACTGGATTGAGATTGTCAGGATACAGGGAGAGGCTTTGAATTAAAAAGCAGTTTTCCGAGGAACGTTTCAGTCTTATTTTAGTGGCGTTTCTACAAATCGAGCATCCTCTTTAATGACCAATGTCTTCTTCTTGGTTCTTTCGGTAAAGTCACGTAGAAGGGAAGTAATAAAATAATAAAAATAAAACATAATAAAATAATTCTCACGACGTTTCGGCTACAATGCAAGCAGCCGTCTTCAGGTGAAGAAATTATTTTATTATGTTTTATTTTTATTATTTTATTTTTATTATTTTATTACTTCCCTTCTACGTGACTTTACCGAAAGAACCAAGAAGATGAATCCCTGCAGTCACGAAAGCTTTAAATCGAAATTTAAGACCAATGTCTTTTTAAATATTTTTCTAAACGTGCCTATTGTATTCGATGCACTGAGCATTGCCTGGCACCTGTATTCACAAACATCATATATGAGAGGAAGCTGGGAATCGAGGCCAACGTATCATTTTTTTCACACATGTCCACTCTGTATTTTGTAAACTTTTTCACAGCAGCCATTCTGTACAATTATTTGAGTTTCTGTAAAGCTCTTATTGCTAGTTGCATAAGCAGACGAATGGTGTAATACAAATAATTAGGAGTCTTGTTTCAGTGTGATATTTTGTTTTATTATAGTTGATTAAATTTGCATACAAATATTTAGTATTTGTGTAATTTCAAGATAACGTATGTAACTAGAGTGTACATCATTTGCAATACTGGGAAGCTTTGAACTGTGCATTATTAATGAATCCTTAAAAGTACTGTTGGAAGCCTTCTGCACGGTATTATTAAAATATATACAGTGTTCGTTATTTAATTAGATTTTTATAACTTTTAATTCATTAGGAGTTTTAAAGTATGCAATGTCTATTAGACGAATTACTGTATCGAGAAACAAAAACACATCCTTGCAGTTGTATGCCTGCTAGTAATCATATTTGTTTTTTTTCATTTGAGACTTTATTTGCTCTTGCATCTAGTTATTTTCTATTTGGGTATTTTACAGCATTTCATTCTTTGTCATTGATGCTTGAAATATAATAAATCATTTAAGAGTTTCGTATGCATAAACCCAGTCAATTTTTTTTTTATCATTAATGAGACAATTCAATGTTTTGCCCAATAACTAAGTTATTTGTATTTAATATTAAGTTGTGTAAATCTAAACCTTTAAACTAATTTAAGCACGTTAAAAATTGTGTCTATTTGTCGATATTAATTTATTTTCTTTGCATTTTATCATCAGCCAAGTACCATTTTATGTACACACGCAAGGCATGACATGTAATATGTTGATCTTGCCAAATACCATATTTTATCGTATGCCATATTTCATGCTCATTACCCAGTCGAAGGGCCTGAAGAAAGATCTAACTGTATGCAAACATGCTTTGTTGAAGTCTCTTCTCAAGACATTGTGATAGAAACTTGTATACAAATATCAGAGGAGCTACTTGGCCATTGTTGTACAAACAATTTGCAAAGCGATGCCCATTTTCGTACGAAAAAAAACCCCGAAAATTCCCAAAACATATATTATGCTGCACTTAAAGCACACCCTTTCCGCCACATCGCGTGCCGAAATTGCGGAATGGACAAAAGTAGTCAAGTGGTTGGGGTGGGGCCAGCGACGATGGAAACTGCAAATATGTGGAAACGCCTTCTTGGTTCTTTCGGTAAAGTCACGTAGAAGGGAAGTAATAAAATAATAAAAATAAAACATAATAAAATAAAATAATTCTGTTTTATTTTTATTATTTTATTACTTCCCTTCTACGTGACTTTACCGAAAGAACCAAGAAGATGAATCCCTGCAGTCACGAAAGCTTTAAATCGAAATGTGGAAACGCTTTAACTTGTATGTATATGTTGAACTTATTTCACACTGTTCGTAGCCAACCGTGCTAAATCGGAGGTGCGGACTTTGTGCGAGATTACATAGAGCACATACTTTGGAGACGGTGACTTTTACGGGGAGCTCCTGAGAGGGCATGGTGGCCGATTCCACACAAATTAATTTGCTCGTTTGTCACCTCCATCTGGCAACCATTTTGCCTGCAACGCAACATGAATTGCGCCCAAAGTGTCATCACGCTCATGTCTGCAATTGCAACAACTGAAATGGTTGCTAGAAGCGGAACATTTTCAGGATTATATTGAATTGAAATGAATGCTCTACCTTTGCATCATATGCTGTTGGTATTGCATTGCAGCAATACTCCAGTGTTGGAAATTGCATTCATAGAATGCGTTGTATTTAAAATGCATTCGCATTACCTCTGCTTAGATGCAGATTTGTAATATGGTTTATTTGGCTCTAATTCCATGCAGTTTTTTCTCTGATTTGTGCTGCATCATGAAATCCATCAACTTGGTTTATGCGTTTTGACATGAAATTAACTCAAGTGTGAGCATGCTAATAAATGTACAAATTATTTATATACTATTTAATTAAACTGGGCATTCGGAGTCGCCTTGAATTGCTCACAATGTTCACAATGCGCAACTTTGGCATGCTTTGAATTATTTTTAAACAACTAGACGATACTAATTAGTTGTCATTGAAGAGATGTATTATTGTCTTTTGCTGCACATTGTAGTGCAATCCATTACTAGCCATATTAATGAGATGCAGTGTTTTATTGTATTTTATATTTACTTAATAGTTTACAAGGATGAAAAACATATCCATAAATTACCACATTTCTTCATGCATGGTGAAATATATTGTATTTATATAACACACACACTCGTGTACGGCCATTAAAACCGCCTCACGTATCTTTGTCTCTTTTCGTTTCTACTTAAAGCTCCCTGTGGCGGCAACGTAACGGGACTGAGCGGCACTGTTTACTCGCCTGGGTTTCCAAACGAATACCCAAACTTTCAGGACTGCTATTGGCTCATCATGGTTCCCCCGGGGAATGGCATCTTTCTCAATTTCACCGTTTTACAGACGGAGCCCGTCTACGACTTCATCACTGTGTGGTACTGGTGCAGTGCACGGCTCACTCACACACACACATAGAAGCACTGAGGTTACTAAAAACGACCAAAAAAAGTATTTTTTTTATTTTACCAGATAAGGCCCACTGAGCTATAAAGCTCTCTTTTTCAAAAGTGACCTGGCCACAAATGATAGCTCAAAAAAGTAGCTTATCTTGTGGAAATGTATCGCTGCTAAATACTCTAAACGCATGTTTCTAAATGTGGAGGGAAAACCGGAGGACCCAGATAAAAAAATCCACGCGACCACGCGGAGAACATTCAAACTTCAAATGTACAGGTGTTAGGGTCAGGATCGAACCAACGACATCCTGCTTATCAGACGAGGAGGTTAATAGCTTGTCACGACGTATCATCATTGGGCAATCATTACACATAATACATTTTTGACAGCATTTGAATAGAGAATTGTTCGAGTAAGAAAAGGTCATGGCAAAAGTATGCTTAATTTCACACAGTGTAAATTTAATTTCCAAATGTAATGTTGAGGTTGGTGTTTAAAGGTGCACATTGTATTTTATTCAGCAGTAGTCTTGCTGAATGCCTTTTACCCTTCACTTCTTTCTTGCCAAAAAAGGCATATTTTTTTTTAAAGTACAGAACTGCTGTTCATTTGTTTTGTTTAAGGATAATTCATGGGTTTTTTGCAAGTCATTAATTATTTCAGGAAAGTATATGTTTATGCAATTATTGTTCAATTTGTTTACTCTCTGTGAAGCTTTTCCAAAAAGTTATTTACTCTCCAAGTTAACGTCTGAATACTTTTACATTTTTAGGCAGTAACAACATTGAAAGACAGGAGCTATCATCATGTTGCTCACAGTCGGCATTATATAATGTTACTCGTAACATGAACTGACATTTCCAAAGTTTTATTCAATTATTCACGTCCACTGCCTTTATTCGTTCATAACGTAAAGAGTAAAATGGTAAAATCTTAATATAAATAATTCAAGCTGAATGTGGTATCAGCACCACACCACCTGTTATTGCAAATGTAAGGCACCGCTTAGTCATACCGACAAATTAAAATGAACCCCTATTTGCAAGATTATTAGATTGTTATATTACATTTGGCATTTGATATTTAATTTAAAAAAATCTGGTTGACCTCTTAGAGTTTAAGGTATAATTGTAAACTGTGATTGGACAAATGTAACAGTTCAAACTCTGCCTCGCATGTTCTATGTGCCACTGTTTGATTTTAGCGACACGTTAACAAAAGTCTAATGACTTTGGAAACCACGTGTGAAAGTTAACACGCCCTCATTTAGAAAAAAAAAAATCCTTTCATAATATTACTAAACTATGTAGGCGTATAGCAATCATTTTCAAAATTTTCTGTATCATTAACTTTGTTTTGTAAATTTATGTGAAATGCTCAACCATTTGTCATTATGATACAAACATCTACATCGGTACAAAACTAAATTACTTTGTTCCACAATATATCTCATTCATGGGAATAATACATTAATCACAACACAAAAATCTGTTTCACCACCACAAAAGAAAAATCAGAGCTATGAAGTGCCTATAGGTATCTGAATTTTTTTTTCACTGTGTCAGCATCACTTGTGTGTGAACTCATCTGGTGTGCTTTCCCTGGCCTTCTCGCAGTGATGCGATCAACTGCATTGTTGGGCACTCACGGTCCAGCGCAGCGTTATTAACCCTGTGAACGGAATGAGTGACGCCAGTGATGGCCATGAGTGGATGCGAATCATCGAGTGTGACGATGATTACCCATTCAAGACCACTCGATATTAGGAAGCCACTGGAGCTATGCACTTTTAGATTTAGATTGAAAATGTATTTCTTTAGAACTGAATTTTGTATTTAGTTTGTTGCCCTTCCCCCACACCTCCAAATAGCATGGTTGGCTTTGTTCGGGGAAAAGAAGTTCAACATAAATAGCCGATGTAATTGGTCCTTCATGAACAGAGTTGGGCCTGGGCAAACACAGGTACGACAAAATGTGTGCAGAATGTATTATGCACTGTGCTGGTGAATTGCGGGTAAAAAATATATGTATACAAAAGTTAGTCTCTCTTAAAAAGATATCATTAAAGGTAATGTATCTTATTTTTAGTCCTGTAAGTCAGCCTATGGCAGGGTTAGTTAATGGGTCACACTCTGGCGGTGAGATGCAGAAAGTTGAAATCCAGCGATAGTATGCCTGCATCAACAAATGCTACTAGAAAACATGTCCAGAATTCCTATTGGCTCATGGGCCTAATAGTTAACTTCCACAACAATTATAAATCATCCCTGAACCAAGGAATACGATGAACAGCCCAGGGTGGCTCGTTTCTGGTCCCAGAGCTTCATGGGCCACATGGCTCGATGCACATATGTACTCACTCAATCTCTCACTTTCACTCCTGGTAAGGCTACCATGGGAATCCAAACCCAATTGCTCTGTTCTGTAACCAGACCAGGCTTACACTTAAGCAGTCATGGAAATTCAGCATGATTTATGTTTTTCTTCAAGGAAAAGACTCTTTTTGGAAAATAACACATTTTAAACAGTACTTTCAAAGCAGTTAGCAATCTATAACATTTAGATTCAACTCTCATATCTAGTAGCCAAGATCCATCAAACTCAAAGTTAACCGCAGCTCGGTGGGAAATCACTCCTCTCCTACCTCCACAATATGGATCTCCCTTCATCCATCCATGATGTCGACTCCTTGTGGACAAATCAAATCTAGGCTCAACATCTCCATGTTCTCTCCTGTCAATAACTAACTCTCTTCTCTAGAATATATACATGACACGCATATTTGCACACATGTGTTATTTGATACATGTCGTACATGTCACACTATTGTTGTCACTATTTATAATTATATAATTGTATTTAGCCACTGTATGATTCTAAATGGTATCGTAAGAGGCTACAGATGGATTGAACATGTGTTCATTTTCTTTTTTACTGTGGACAAATCTTGCAGGGATGGACCAGACCAGAGGGCTCCACAGCTTGGCCTGTTCAGTGGCAACACTGCAATGGAGTCACTGTATAGCACATCAGACAAGATCCTTGTCAAGTTCCACAGTGACTTCTCAACCAGTGGCCTCTTCATAATTAACTTCTCAGGTGAATCAACATGACGGGCGCATAGTAATCCACAGCAGTACAGAAGCACAGTGATGTGATGTTTTGTTTGTTGTCCTTGTGTTTCTCATACAAAGACGGTGACCGCATTTCGCACTTTCGGATGTGCTTCTGCGGCCGTCTGGAACGCTCTTCCTTCCGATATTAGGAAGCCACTGGAGCTATGCACTTTTAAATCTAGATTGCAAACTCATTCCTTTAGAACTGATTTGTGTGTTTAGTTTTTGTTGTCCTTCCCCCGCACCTCTGATTTAGCAGCGTTGGCTACGTCCGGTGAGAAATAAGTGCACCATACATACAAACATGTTTAGGAAATTACCTTTTCAACTTTGTGATGCAAAAGTACACAAATGCTTTTCATATCTTCATTGTGTAGGTATGTGTTTATACAACTAACTTATTTATTATGTTCTTGCAAATTGGTTTAAGTAAAATATGTGGTGCATTGAAAAAATAGGTGTACGACATTGTTCGGACCTTTTTCCCTGCATTGTCTCACGAATTTATTATTGTTCTTTCACTGTTTAATCGCATTGATTTTAAACCTTCATTATATTGTTTGAGGCAAAATAAAAAGAAAAACGTTATTTTAATTGTTATTGGACGGTTTTATTGAGCTAAAATAAGCCAATTTTCACATTCTATCCAGACGATTAAGGTTTAATCTTGCTGATATAACACTTGCTGTTGTGGAAGCCATCCTACCGAGTACACTTCATTGACTATGCATAGAGGTTATTATCAAATGTACATATGTTTCATTTTCATACCAATGTTGAAAATGTCACCACTGTTTAATGAAGTCGCATGAAGTGGGTTCAGTCATACTTCTTAAAGATGTTTAACTATTTGACATGTATTTTAAAATTTCACAACTTGAGTAATTACAATTACTCAGTATTATAGTGATCACTTAATAGTAGGTTTTTACCCTTTTAACTGGTACAAAACTGACACCTTTATTCAAGGCATCATGTTTGCAATGACCACAACACAAGTAGTCAAAAAAGCAAACAAAAAGAAGCAACTCTGATAAGGATGATAATATACACTGTCCTTGAAGTTGATTGGCCCACACCCGAGACGGCTTTCTTTAGAGCCTAGTCCCCATTGGTGTAGGGCCAGATGACACCAGAAGGCGTACAACTCAAACACAGTGCAATATCAGAGCCCTACACCAATGGGGACTAGGCTCTAAAGAAAGCCGTCTCGGGTGTGGGCCAATCAACTTCAAGGACAGTGCATATTATCATCCTTATCAGAGTTGCTTCTTTTTGTTTGCTTTTTTGACTACTTGTGTTGTGGTCATTGCAAACATGATGCCTTGAATAAAGGTGTCAGTTTTGTACCAGTTAAAAGGGTAAAAACCTACTATTATATTTTGCCACTGGTAAAAGAGATCTCATAGAGTGATCACTTAGTTTTAGTGTCAGATGTAACCCTATAAACGTATTGACATGGTATTTTTTTTACCTCAAAATATGTCAATCTCATTCCCACAATTAGTGCATTTCAAAATACACTTTCTATCATCGTTGCTTCTTAGCATGAGCGCTAATAGGGTCATGTTATATTTTGCATTGTGAAATAATATCACGTAATTGTTTTTATAATAGACGCCTTGTCTTTCTTTTTAAACTAATGTTGCATTTTAACACAATGCAAATGTGTGTGTTTATACACATATACTTTTACGTGTTTTTTTTAAATGTTTAAAGTATTTAGATGGATACTGTAGTGTCCAGATGTTGCAGCAATAAATGCATAATGAATGAATTGAGAGTGCTCGATGTGTCTCTTGGCACCAGGCTGCTGGGCAGCTCTTAACTGTACAGAAGTAGCAATCACACTGCCTAAACTGCAGCGTCTGTCACCTATTCAATAAAATCATAACGTTTTATCTTCCACAAAAGCTATAAATCAAACTGCCTCTACTCTTTAATCAATTTTAATAACATTTTAATCTTCCCAGGACTCTAGCGGAAGTCTGGGAACCCCCTAAAACTTCAGTGAAAGGTTATTTAAAAGCAATTTGCCATTATAGCTGTATGAAGGATCAGATTTAAAACTTCGCTGATCTTGCCTGCTTCTTGAATATTGGATGGAGTGAAGTGAAAAGAGAAAGTGCTAGATCTTGTTATTTTTGATGCTTCAACAGAGAACTAGTTTTCAATAGCTTTGTCACACTGGAGATAATCCATTATAATCCTGTAGGGTGAAAGTAGGGCCTTTTCAATCAGCCCGATATCCAATGAACTTCAACTCCTCCGCCATCTTGTTAAGACTGAGTGTTACCTTAAAGAACCCCGATAGTTTACTGCGTTTAAAGAAGTGGTTGAATTTTACGTGGAAAGCAAATAAACCATCAATACATTGTAAATGTCAATATATACGTGCTGAGCTACATCAAAAAACTTAAATCTGCAGCACAATCTATTCCACAATTATGTCTGTGTTGAAAAAAGAATTAATAATATATGTTTTTTAAAATATAACAGTCAATGTTAGGCTTCTGTATAGTGCTCACATAATTTCTGAACACGGTGTGTGTCTTAGTGTTTTATTACACAGTATATTTGTAATATGCTTGTAATATACTGGGTAATTTGTAATATACTGTGAGAAGTGTGTGTATGTTTTATTTTTATAAATATTGTTCTGCTAACAATTTGCATTTACTTAAAAAGAATACAGTCGCCATAATAAAATGAACAGCTTTATAAATATATATAAAATGGTTAAACTAATTTTGTGAGCAAAAAACATAAATTTTATGAACGATTTAGTTATATATATATAAAAAAGATACATCATTAACGATGTGTTACATACTTTGGATTGGTTCATTAAAAAACCCATCATATTTACTAATTAACCCCAATGTGCCATTTGACCTTGCATGTTTTATTTAAAGTGGCGTAAACTGAATGGTGTTAATTTTTGAAACGAACTATTTAAAACTCTGGTCGCATCCTCGTTTTAGATTTCTATTATACCACTGCTTTTGTTTTTCTATCGGTGTGTGCAGCATACCAGCTCCAGTCTTGCCAGCTGCCGCCTTTGGTGGCCAATGCTGAGATCCTGATGGAAGATGAGACATTTGAAATTGGTAAATGAGCTCAACCTACTTGATGAGTCACTGCCATTGACTGATAAAAATATAAATCTGCGGAGTGCAAATTTTAAATTGATTAATTTACCACCACTATTGATGTGTTCGTGTACCAGTAATTGGCTAAGAACTATCGTTTTGTGGAGTTTTTTTCTTTGTATATTTTTTTCACTGGTCTGTAAAGCTTATATACATGATTATCCTGTTTAACATTCATACATATGTACCTAACTTCCTCTCCTCTACCTCCTACACTCTTGAATTATCTCAGTTCTTCAATAGATGAATTGGTTAGTTGATCTAAGTTTAACTGCATATAATTTTGTATTGCATATCTAAAGTTTTTACACTTAGTCTCCAACAGCATATAATACGTTTTTCACTCATTTGTTACTTGTGCGTATGTACCCATGCCAACTCTAAAGTACCGTATTAATAATTGCAATGCCATTATGCGAGCTGGTGCTGATTCTGACTATTCTCAGACATTTATTTTCAAGGAAATGCACAATTAAATCTGGCCAAGTTGGGTGTACATCTCATATGGTTGATCAGTCATCTTTTGTTTAACTCAGGGACTGGTGGTTTTGCATAATATTTAAGTACTTTTGATTTAAAGCTTTCGTGACTGCAGGGATTCATATTCTTGGTTCTTTCCCTTCTACGTGACTTTACCGAAAGAAACAAGAATATAGTTATTGTATATATGTATTTTGGACTTCTTTCGCACCATACGTTGCCAACCGTGCTAATCGGAGGTGCACACAGTGCATGTTTTTGAGCGGTGTTAAAACTTTTCATTTTCTGGCCTGGACTAATGTTTTTTGTTGCGAAGGGTTTTCTTATTTTTTTTTTACAGATTTGAATCATGACAATATATTGGTGCTAGTCTCTTGATGACGAATGGCAATGGCTTTCTTCTTATCACAATTATTATTATGGGCATTGTTGATACAGGGTTCAATGTGGCATAAGGGCAGAGGAGTAGGACCAGAGAAGGTACCCAAACGTCTTCACTCCAGATCAAGAATCTCTTGTTAGATGCAAATGACAAGAGGCGTTCCCTAAATTGAGCACTATTTTAGTGAAACGAAAAACCAAGGATGAGGAAAAAAAAAACTGCAATACAAATCTATACATTTTAAGATGATCATGTAACCACATATGCACCTAATAGTTTAAATCTATCTACAGATAATTGCAGTATTTGTGCGAGTTCTGTATATCATCTGATACTAAATATAAGCAAGCATATAATAACTCGATAACCTATACTTTTATATATGTGCACACTTAAACTATTCCTGTACATACAGTAACACTGCTATTAATGTTTTCATAGCATCAAAAATGCCCATATTTGGTATCAATAAACTAGTATCTAATTGTTGTCTGCATTGATGTCAACAACCACCGCTGTGCTCATTTGAGTGCCGATCTTCCCATTCTTCACAATACACAGCCCAAGACATACAAACACTCACTGTGGTTATCTCTCACAATAACAGATGATTGTAATCAGAGAATACCGTGATGATATCGACGTGCCATTATCAAGGAATCGTTTGGGTGTTTGGATTTTTGGTTCTGGAAAAACGAATGACATAATGGCTAGGGGGATCTCTACTTTGAAAATATTTTTTTATTTTGTTTAGATATGATATCCCCCCCCTCCCCCCCCGGTTTTAAAGGGAGATATTTCAGCCTCATTTGTCTGACCTAAATTGACTCCGTTATCTGGAAAAGTTGACAGCGATGCCCATGTACCTCACCAAGTCTTCTGACACAGTTGCTTGGACCGTGGCAATTTCTTTTAGAGTAAGGGACTCTTTGTAAACGAGTGTCTTGGATAGGTCTGTGACCCGGAACCATGGTATATGCCAGTCCTAAGTGGGTTTGTCTCAACCTTTCTGCAAGGAGAGCAGTCTGGCTTTTCAACATGAGGTCGGCTGTCCTGCACTGCACAGCAGCCATCTGGTCGCCGTCATGGCGCGTCAGCCTTGACCTCCACCAGCTGTCGCAGCTGAGGGCTGCCCCTGCTTAAGCCCCTTTTGCTGCCCTAATCCATCTTCGCTTAGTGCAAGGAATGAACTGTCATCTTCCTAGACACGCAATCCCATCCCACCGGTGTTTCACCTTGAAAGACCTTGCTTGCGCAAAACCCTTTGCTAGGCCAGATGTAGTGCAGCTACAGCTGCTAAGTTATTTCTCTGCAAGCCACGGAAGATACAGTGTACAATGTAAGGGCGTTACGTTCAACTTTCTGCGTGCGTAGTTGACTATCGGCAACATATTTCTCGTGTTGTTTGGCCTGCACAGGAAAATGCATCAGTTTGCTAATATGTCTGTCACTTTGATAACTTACCTGTCACACTCTAATTTTCACTCAAATGACTATGAAAACAAATGCAAATTGTGCGTTATTGTGCTAAACAAAGCATGAAAATCGTTTCGGTGGCCGGAGTAGACCAATATAAGTGCTTGACAAGTATTTCTCTGCAGTGGTTTTTAGATCTGAATGTCCTGTCCCCAGGCGATATAATCAAGTACAGGTGTTTGCTGGGTTTCACGCTTGTTGGGAGTGAAGTGCTGACGTGCCAGCTGGGAACTCGCCTCCAAGCCAACGTCGCTTCGCCAACTTGTCAAGGTGAGAGCTGCCTCCCCTGTTCTCCCGTGCTGTGAATTTGCAAGAGACTTGGCATAATTCTTTTAAACGGTGTGTACAAGGACACTAGAGTTTCTGGCACATTTAAACCACGTGTCAGGTTACTTTTTTTTGGGGTGCCGTATATTGCAACAGTGATTGAACAATGAGTTTTTCGCTTTTTACTTTTCATCCATTAATTTGGGTTTTTGCCATGAATAATTGTGTGTTTCATTCAGCTTATGCTGTGTTATTTAATTAATTGTTCATCCACAAAGCCAAGCATTCAATACCATTGTGAAGGAAATTAAACCGTGTAGCTTTTGACATTATATCAAGTTTTTTTCATGCTTTGCCAACAACATAGTTGGCATTTAATTATTAATTTAGTTTACAACAAAATGTTATATATTTAAAAAAAATGTTTTTTTTTCTGTTTCCCCCCGACCATCAGCACTCTGCTCGACAAATGAGATCAGACGAGAGTCATCTGGTGTGATCCTCAGTCCGGGTTATCCATCCAACTATCCCAACCTGCAGACCTGTGGCTGGATGCTGAGTGTTGAGAAGGGGTACACGATCACGTTGTATGTGGAGTTCTTTCAGAGTGAAAAACAGTACGACGAGCTGGAAATCTTTGACGGTGGGTATTCGTAGAACATCGAATTTATTTTCTGCCACGTTATGTACTTTGTACTAAAGCATGCGGCATTATGAATTTTCATTCATTTAATGTCATTCACACGTAACACCACGGGCAGCCTCAGGAGGGTGCTTTTGGCAGTGTTCAAGAAATTTGGCCATAATAGAGGTTTTTTTGGGTCAAATGTGTCAGTTGGCCAGGTCATGTGGCTTAGCGGTGTGATCAGGAGTTTTTCGGTAGACAGATTTGAGTGTCTCCACAGATACACATGCATGTTCATGGAATATGCACATATATACAAAATAGAAGGGCATTATCTATACCCAAAGATTAAAGTAAAAGGTGGAGCCCTGCAATTACTTCTTCATGCCATTGCTGGTGGAAGGGCCTCCATGAGAGGGAGCTCTAGATAGTCGACCTATAGGGTATTTGAAATAATATTACACACTAACCAAATGTCTTGGAAGAGACAGCAATACCTGCACTTTACCCCACCACACACGACCCGTGTATCAACTATTCAAATTATAAAGGTTCGTAACGTAAAAGCCTGCCATGAAAAACAGGTTTGGAGAAGCGTGTCTGAAATCTGAATGATCTGTTTCTAGAAGCACAGATTAGAATTCATTTGGTACCACATCTGCATGTATATTAGGACATATATGTGAAATGATCATTATATGCAGTGGCTTAAGGGATAAAGGAATATGGTAATGAAACATTCTTGAACAACGAGCACAATATCGGAGCACCTTCAGAATGTGACTTACTATTCGGTAAAAACTTCACGTTCAGTATTCTGCGACCGTCTGGAATGCTCTTATGATATTAGGAAGCCACCGGGGTTATGCAATTTTAAATCTAGATTGAAAACTCAATTCTTTAGAACTGCTTTTTGTGTTTAGTTTGTTGTCCTTCCCCCACATCTCCGATTCGCGTGATTGGCTACGTACGGTGCGAAAGAAGTTCAACATATGTACACATACCTACATACGACAGTAAAAACAGTTTGTTCGTTTTATTTTTTCGCAAGTTAGGATAACAAATGATGTACATATATAACAAACTCAAAACTGGTCAGATATTTTTTTGTTTATACAGTATTCACATCAATCGGTGCATAATTTGACCTTTAAAACCAGGCAGATCTTTACCAATTTTACCATAGAAGTGCTTAGGGAAGTTACCATGACCCAGTGATTAGAGTCTAAATGTGTCAAAGCCGAAAACTATTTGAAAACAGCAAGTCTTTCATGTGTGACGATGCAATTCTTGCATAGTAAAACATTTATAATTGATTATAGTTTTATCAGTTGCATTCAAATTTGAAAATGTAGGACTAATTGAAATGCATTTTGCAAACAAAATATCGTATAAATTGAAAATGAAAGGTTCCTAAAAAATAACATGTTTGTTATTATATGTGTTGTGAAGGAGGATCATTTCTCAAAATGTCACTTATAAAAAAAAAACGTTAATTTAAGGCACTATTATTGATTAACTTGTTGGGTTTTTTTTACTTGTGCTTATGCACCACCATCAACGCAGTGTCATCAAATAATATGTAGCCTATTCGGTTTGTCATGCAGCTGGTGGGATTTCAGGTTTTATTTGCTGCACAGAAATACAAAAACATGCATGAAATATGGCAATTAATCCAAATGAAAGTAACCATGACAAATGCATTTTACAAATAAAATGCATGAAATATTGGCTCCAATATAAGAAGAAAAATCCATGAAGGCGATTTGAATAAATATTATTAAGTAAGCCAAAAGGAAATGAACAGGGTGTCAGGAAAAAGCATGAATATAATTAGGTCAAGGGTTAGGGGTTGACTTAATTTTGTGTTGGTTTTCATTTATGAATTGTCACTGCTGTCCATCTTCCCCATATGTGTCACTGTATGAAGGCAATTGATCAAGATGCTTTGTGCGTTTCCCGTTGTTGTATCTCAAGGTCCTACCAGCCAGGGTCGACGTCTGGCCGCACTGAGTGGAGATTACAGCTCGCCATTGAATGTGACCAGCGCGAGCAATCAGATGTTTGTACGTTGGTCTGCCGACCACGCTACAAGCAAGAAAGGCTTCAGGATCAGCTACACTGGTAAGCAGGACCAATGCGATGCTTTTTTTTATCAGCCATATAAGCAAATAGCTGCAATGAATCTTGGCTAATACAGCAATTGCCCAGCATATTGATCAGTGTGTTCATGACTGGACATATTATAAAGAGTCATTGTAGTTCATTGCTACAGCTAAATGGTGATGCTGCATATCATTAACACGGTATATCTTATGTTGTAAAGCTGAATTCAGAGACCCATTGATGTCATATATAAAATTATGCCTTCAATATTTAGCCCAAATCCTAACAGTTAAGTAACAACTAAATTCCAAATTGAAAAAAGAAACACTTTTATATATATAAAATTTAATATAACTTGATTGAATGTACTGATTTCGTTTTTCTACCAAGATCGAAATCTGTATAGTTTTTGTTTAGCTCTTGGCCCACGTGACACTATTAAATGGACATATTATCAATAAATGCATCGTTCCGGTTGGACAATTAAATTGTATTCGTTCAGCTTGGTGCTAGAAAAAATATCGGCACATGTGACAACACTGTGCTTGTGTTAATGTATAGCTATGGGCAGTAGTCCTTGTACAACATCAATTAATTAGCATCTAATTGTTTTATAAGATGCTCAAAACATTCTGAAATCTATTATTTCGTTTTTCTTTAAATCAAGGAGCCACAATACAAAGTAGATTTTGACGAGGAGAAAAACATTCTGAAATGTTTATAAGTACCATAGAATCACACGCACATATACCATTTGATGTTACATAAGTTGGAACATTTCTGGCCACATACTGGATTCACAATGTATATGCTAATAATTAGAAGCAATAACTTAACTTACTCAAGTATTTTTCTTGAAATCATCCGAATAAAAACTTGCCATTTTCCAAAATTGTATTACTTAATTAACTGCCACAACTGCCTTTATACTATAACACATTTTTACTGAAGCCTCCCGATTATGACTGTCTTTAATTGGACAAAATTAATTGGCTTACATTAACTGATCTTATTCGCCTTGTCCAGAGTTTATATCACGAAAAAAAAATATCCTGTATGGAAGCAGAATACATATATAGGAAGTACATGAACATTTTATGCATTGCATTGAATTTCCAAGTAACTTATTTTTGAATAAATGGAATTTCTTCAACGAAAAGAGCGAGTTGTAAACCTGCTGCTCGCGATGGAATATCTTTAAAGTTGCAACATTCATCCATAATAAATGATGACATTCTGTGCCCCGTAGAATAACGCATTTTGCACACACACACGAAAAAAAATAGCTTGACCATTGTTAATGACCGTCGTTCATCAGTGCCTTAATTGCTTCTCGACATCTTGACAGCTCAGTACTGCAGCACACCAGCCTCCCCGAGCCATGGACTCGTTCTGAGCCAGACGGGGGGGCAGTTGGGCAGTGTGGTTCGCTGGGCCTGCCACACGGGTTACCGCCTAATTGGACGCAGTTCAGCGGTTTGTATGCAGTCTCCGTTGGGCATCTTTACCTGGAACACTTCGGTGCCAGCATGCCAGGGTAAGTGCCGCTCTCCTCGAGTGAGATGGGGGGTCAAAGCATTTTGAGGGCAGGGCATGAAAAGTGCACAGATGGCTACAGTTACTTAAGTTGTCAATACAGTTTGGAGTGGTTCGGTGGGAGATGGAGCGGGTCGCAATAGGAAGGTTGTGAGTTCAATTTCCCTTTGGTGGTTGACTAGGCCCATCACCCCTGCAGGGTTGATAAATTTTATACTAATTTAAAATATATAATAAAATAAAAAAGTACGTTTTATTTATTTTTGTTTAACTTTTTTCTCACGGTACGCAGCTGAACGTGTTAATCAGAGGTGCAAATGAGGCTATAGAGCTCTTGTTCAAAAGCAACCTGGCCACCAATAATAGGCCAAGAATGTGGCTAATCCTTTGGAAATGTACAGCAGCCTAATACTCTAAACACAGGTTTCTAAATGTGGAGGAAAAAAACGGAAAACCCTGAGAAAAATCCACGCGATCACGGGGAGAACATGCAAACTCCAAATATGCAGGCGTCAGTGTTGGGATCGCACCCATGACCTCCTATATACAAGGCGAGGTCGTTAAAATCTCGCCACAATGACACCTCAAATATATGAGGAAATCAAAAGTGGTTGTCCTATGGATAGACTTTCCCTCACCATAGGAATGTAATGTATACCCCTGGCTCAGGGCTGTAATCGGGAGATGATCACTGCCTCAATCCTCATCAGAGCAAGCTCAGAGCAATAATACATGTTAACTTAGGAACGACTCACTGAGTTTCCAGGTGCCTTTTTAAAGGTGTTCTTTCATCCTTTGGATTTTTGTCCAACTTATTTTTCACATGCTGAAAAAAATAGACATTCTCAAGTAAATAACTGACAATTGGAAAGAAAAAAAAACCCCACTCAATCCTCCCAGGTAATTGAAATACATTTTTACAGTACTGTGCCCAGCAGATAGATAATTATTTCACGGGTGAGTTTCTAACATAATCAGCGATTTTTATATCTGCACAATCCAACAATCGTGCCTCCCAAGTCACGTAATAAAATGAATATTTCCACACACTTCATAAACCTTAAATATAGCATGGATAAAATCAGTTTCCACGTACCAACAATTCAACGCTATCACCCTAGCATGCACATATGCACAAGTGTTGAGCTTGCATGCACGAGTGATGACGCAATAAGTAACATAAGCTGGCCTACATCAAACACCATCAGCAGCCGGAAACACTATATAATATATGCAGAACGTGAGCTGGTCCACTCAAGTTCTTGAAATAGCTGCCAGCACTTGGAGTCAAAGGTCGGACATCGTGCCGAACATCACACGGACCATTTCAAAAACACGCCAGAGAGCTCCACAGCACGACTGAGAAAACCCGCGTAGTAGTAATTTCAGTCGAATGTTGTACATTCCATTTGGGAAAATAAATCGATGCATGCCTTTTCCGAGAAAAATGTGACGCACATAAGTCTCTTATGCTATTATGCTCTACAATATGTTAAGGATATGCTGTCAATGGTAATAGCCACCATCGCTGCCAGCACCAATGTCAAATGCCCTCCTCAAAACCCTGCTTGAAAGGTCACCAACAGTGAATGTCAGCCTGGTATTTATGTAATGTCATTGAAGGAGCCTAATTTGTGAGTGCAACGCAGCCACCTGAAAATTTACTTTCTAAATGTCCATTTCATGACCTTATCAACTTAAGTTTGTACATGTTTGTTTCTTCTTTGTATAATATTTAGACGTAATAATGCATACATGAAGATCAATGTTTTTTTAAAGTTCGTATTTATATTTTCCCAGGTTAAAAAAAACATTCGACCGTTTGTTTTTTTTTTGACCACATTGTGTCCATCTTTATTTTCAATAAAGCATAAACAACCTACAATAATACTGTAAATGTTATTCTAATCACATGTATTTACTCTGGGACTTTGAGGTGAATAATTTCCTGTGATTAATACTGTCTTGGACGATTTGAATATGTATTGGGTGATAGGTGGTTTTGATGGGAGTTGTGACTAACTTGTTTTTTTTCATTGCTTGAACTCTTATGTCTTTCACACTCTGCTGTGTTGCAGCAATATCTTGCGGTTTGCCAAAATCCCCCATCTATGGAGGCATACATGCGATGGACTTCTCTCTCGGGGGCCATGTGGCATATAGCTGTAATGCTGGCTACACAATGGTGGCCGGAGAGTCAGCATCAGCTGTCTGCCTGGAGAATGGGCAATGGAGCAACCATAATCATCCCCCACAGTGCACGGGTCTGAACCATCAACACTTATCAGGGTTCTTGCTAAATGTATTTATAAAACGGTCATTGTGTCATAATAAGCCTGCCACCTATTATGCACCTATTATGCATAGAACTCTCACGCCTGCCTTGTTACTTCAAATTGCTAAACATATAGATATATCTCTTTGTATACATCTACAAATGTTTGTGGATAGCACACTGCACACGTAGCGACGATTCATGGGCTCAAATAAATGAATTACAGGCTAGCTCAAGAGTTGGGTCATTCATTTGGGTCAGAACAACCCGTTCTTCAGGTGGTGTTGTGTTTCATCTGCTCGTGTTTCAAATGCGCCATGCATTTTGGATAAGTGAGTAAGAACGTAAATAAATAACTGAACACACGTACCTAGTGCAGATATTGCTTTGGTTACAGTCTTGGATTGAACAATTTCCATTCTTTCTGCACTTGTTCTGATTGATTTATTCAAATTACTTGGGCAAATATGGTGCGTGTGCTTGTTGCATTTCAAAATATCAACAATTTAAGGCGTCTGCAGAAAGCATTGCTTCAAAGTGCTGTTGGTGGTCTGGCAATTTCCTATTCCAGCCAAATGAGATGGCAAGCGTTCTGCAATCATTATGCTTGCACTGCAGTCACACGTCTGTCACGCAAAGTACATATGTTAAAGTGTATAGTGTTTGTGACTGTTTTAAATGTACAAATGTCACAAAATAACTGATCAGATTAGCACACCTGAGGCGTTTAAATCAAAGGATTTAAACTTTTTGAATGAGTTTCAATGGCCATATATGCTCTTTAACAACTCCTGTATGCTGCTGTGTGTCAGTGTTTTGCCTAAAGTGCTATGTTTGTTGATAAGCTAAGCTCAATGTGAAACATGTGTTTTGGAATACATTTGTTAAAAACTCCATATATACTTAGATATCTTTGCGAATGAATGACCTGACCTCTATCTTTATACCCCTTTTAATAGCATCAATTCAATTAGCTTATTTTAATACCTGCCACTTTTCTTATTCAGCTATTTAATCATAGAATAATGATGAAGCGAACCAACCTACATATAATTTAACGTGTTGAATCACCCAAACTAATTTTAAATGCGTCATGTTTGCAGATGGAAAGGAAGCTACATCACCATGACTGGAAATAGTTTGCGATATAACTCGTAACTTGCTCACACCAAATGTCCCACATTCACATGTGTCGTAGTTACGCAGGGAGATTCAATGCATCTGCTCTTTTTAAATCCTTTATATTAAGTTCGCTTGCTTGCGTGCTTGCTTGCGTGCGTGCTTGCTTGCTTTCTTACGACCGTGCAAACCTTTCGGTCGTTTTTTAACCCACTTCCCGTGATCCAATCGAGCTGACATTTTGCACACAGACTCGTTGTGCGAGACAATTAATGTTCGTGAAAATTTTTTTCCAAAATTTTACACTGTTTAGGGAAAACAAATTAAATATTTAATTACCAATTGTTTAATACTGCAGACAATCATCTGACCCATAGGTGGCAGCCATCTCAAGCCAGAGGACGAGAGGACTCTAGCCGCCACGCATATAAAGGATTTAGAGTGAAAAACTTTGTTTTTACGGGTTAATTTTTGTATGTGCTCAGTGTGATACGTTTTATGCACGGGACAGCGTAAGGTCTCTTGCTGACTTGATTCAAGGCGTATATAGATTAAAAGCAGCTGCGCTAAGCTGCACCCTACCTTGGCCCAACACATCACTGAGCTGACATTGGCGAATTTTACTTGTACGTTATGACATGAATGCAACGATGGTTATTGACTTCCGATAGAACTGCTTTCATTCTGGTCAACAAGAGGGGCCCTCACTCATTAAACATTTTTGGCCATCATTGTGCCTCATTTTGGTGGGTCGATTGCCTCTTTTGTGTGAGAATTTGCCCTATTCCAACATTTGTATCCTATGAATGGCTGATTCGTCTCCGGACGGTGGTCATGCTGGCCCCTCCTGTATGTACGTATGTTGAACTTCTTTCGCACCGTACGTACTCAACCGTGCCAATCAGAGGTGTGAAAATGGCTCACCACTAAAATGGCTGAAAGGCAAAGACGTTCGGGTAATGCTAGCGCAGGGTTAAGGTGAGGTTACAACAATGTAATGCTCTCGCTGCACTTATACACCCAGAAAGCTAGGTTTCCATCCCTGCCATGTATAGCTTTGTAAGTGGTATCTGAACATGTGCTGGGCTCCCCCGATGCTGGGCAAGCATTGCAATGACTACTTAGCAGAGAAATGTCACCACTTGCTCCTCCCGAGCAAATTATTGGCAGCCCGGTCTAATGCAGGATGGCTACATACCCATTACTTTCCGAAAATTGTTGAAAACATTACCTCGATCAAAGTTGGAGAAATGCATTTCCTAGAAATGCTCTCCCCGAATAAATTCTGGAGAAGCCTAAAAATTAAATTTTCATGAATTTGGACCAAGATCTTAGGAACATAAAAGTGTGCATGCAGAGAAAGTAGAAAACACTTGAAATACATTTACACAATTCAATATTATAGAGCACTGAGATCAGTTTGTGCCAGCGGACCCCACATGAGTGGGACAAACACGTGGAAGAAGAACAGATCAGTTTATGTGCCCGAGTGAGATGGATTACAGCATTGCAGGACCATAAACATATTGGAGACCTGCATCCAACAGTGGATAGACAATGAAGATATGGATGCCTGTTACAAATATAATTGATTGTCTCTTGATCACCAATGATCAACATTTTTATTATATTTGGTAGTCAATTCAATACAATCCGGTATCTCTTTTCCATTGTATAGCTAATATAAACACAGAGTGATCCCTTGAAAACATCATTGCCACAATATTATTTAAAGTGCACAATGCATTGGGAAAGTATGCATGGGTATTAGTATAAATGCATGTTTACGAATGTACCTGTATGGTTATATTTTACAATTTTTCATCAATTTGTGAACACATTTTCCTTGTATTTTCTTGAAAAGTAGATTTTTTTCCCATGACTGGGCTTTCACTGGTTATGAATAAAATATGACTAAGGATCACTTGATAATTAATGGACAACAAAACAAAAAATATCAAACATGTCCTTCATACTCTTTGGGTTTTTTTCGGTAAAGTCACGGAAGCTTGTGTTGCCTCCGAAACGTGACTTTACCGAAAGAACAATAAAAAATCAAAGAGTATGGATCCTTGCAGTCACGAAAACTTCAAATCTAGAACATGTCCTTCGCCCTCATAAGTCGGCCACCCACTCGTCTTCTTGACCCACATGTGTAATGCTTGTGTGTTTTCTCTGCTTGTGTTTTCTCTGTTTGGTGTCCACAGTGGTGGTATGCCCCAGTGTCAGTGCCTTTTCGTTGGACCATGGAAGCTGGCGAGTTGTCAATGGTTCACACAGTGAGTTTGGGGCTCAGATTACATTTCAATGTGAGCCGGGCTACTTCCTGAGGGGTCCCTCTGTTATCCGCTGCCAGGCCAATGGCACATGGAGCTGGGATGAGGAGCGACCAAATTGTGAAAGTGAGTATGGCAAAAATAAAATAAGTGCTTTTGGATTGGATTCAAGACTAACTCAGTAACTTGTGACTGCAAATGTTTTGGCGTTCTGCATAATAGAAAGGCAGCTGTATTCTATTATCGTAAAACGACAACTCTTATTAGGTTTTTGCCCTCTGTCTTCACGTTAATAAAAAAATACATGGGTTACAATTAAATGTGCAGGAGAATAAGGCCAGCTGGCTTAATGGAATAAGGTTTTTTTTATTATTCTGAAAGTGTATTTCAGTCAATATTAATTAAAGTATCGTATAGGGTGAATCATTATCTTAATTTTATTTCAGCTGATGGACAAGGCATCAAAAATGGGAATGTGCCCTCAGTTTCAGCTAAATCAATTCCAAAAAAACCTAAGCAATATTAATAAAGGTGATGAATGTACATTTTAATTAAAAATATAATATGCTTGTAAATTAAAATGAAGACATTTATTTTTGTTACTCAAATGCAGCGAACAGAAGGTAATGGTGACTTACAAAGGCACTGTTTGGTGAACAGGGGAGGTAAAAGACTCCGTTTAACTCCAGGATAAATTCATACAATAACTCTGTGTGGTATAAAACAATCAGGAAAGTAAAGTTAATTAATGTAACTTGCAGGCCTTTGTTCAATCCACTGCTGGATGAAGGCCTTATCACGCCGTGTCAGTCATGGGTTTGTTTGATCATATGTGACCGCACTGGTCAGTGCGAGTTAGTCAAGGAGAATATACCAGCAATGGTTTAAATTTCACTCAACACTAATATTAGTGGTGACCTGGAGTCGAACTCTGATGGTTAGGTTTGCTACCTCCCAGCCTCATAAGTTATTATCAAAGGGTAACACATAATCTTTATGCTTCGCATTATTTTAATGTTTTGCATAAAGTTAATAGACATATATAGACAAAAGGATGATGTATATAAAATCCATACACTCAATCATTACGATTATTAAGCCAACTAATGTTTTAGGATGTCTGTGTGTGTGTGTGCATGTGTGTGCGGTAAGAGTCTGTTGTCAATAAAGCATTTTCATTAAAAGCATTATAATTAATTGGTAATGTTTAATATTTATGGAATGTGTAGAGTGTGTAACTGTATGTAAACTATATAAGATATAAAAGTAGTTTGAGACTGAAAGATAAAGTATTTTAGAATGTGTGGTCATTTGCAAAAATAGGATTTTAGCCCCATTTTGACAATACTTCATTTTTATGGTCAGATTTTTTTTTTACTTGGCCAATAAAAACACTACGTGCAATTATTGAAGAAAAGCCAATATTAAAAGTGTAATTTTTTTATTGATTTGCTGCAAAATTTCTCTGTTCTAGTGTTTAAAATGGAAATGCTAAACTGCATGTTTAAACACATTTGTTGTGTTTCTTCCCCGTAGTAATGTCCTGCGGAGAGCTGCCCATTCCAGCTAATGGGAATAAAATCGGCACACAGACCACATTTGGTGCCACAGCGATATTCCGCTGTGAGATGGGGTTCCTGTTGGTGGGCTCGGTGGTGCGAGAATGTCTATCCAGCGGCCTCTGGAGTGGCAATGAAACACGCTGCATTGGTAACAAACTTGTACTTGTTTTACATTTACAAAAACACACGCACGCAAATAGGTCTGCTCACACACGTGCACAAACGCACGTTTATACAAGCACTTGTACTAACACATGAACATAAAAAAGCTATTGTTGTTATCAAGCTGTTAATTCCCACCGTTGGGTAAATGCCACCCCCATTTTCGTCCATTGTTTTTATTTTCTGTTTAGTTCCTTCCCAATGGCGGCCTCCGAACCTTTTGCGATCAAGTCACTGCCATTTCTTTAATGTCTTCCTCTGCTTATTTCGCCTTCTCTTGGCATCCACTTCAGAGAAAATTTGGCCTCATGTCAGTTTATCATCGTGCCTTGGAAACCAAACAAATCCATCCATTTACTAATCTGTGGAAAGATGATGAAATCTCCTTTGATCACTTTTATTTAAGATGAAAATTAATGTTGTATTATTAGTACTAATATTTTTCTAAATGTATTTGCAATTACATACACTTTCATGTGTAGTTGCAATTGTTTAAAGTACTGTATCAGTATATTGCTTCTTGCCCATGCACACCGACTTTGAATTTAAGCTCGTGTACAATTGCGAATATGAACGAATGTGAACTGCTGCCTTTCCTCCCGAGCGCTTATGTGTTCTTTGATTGGAAGCAGTTATTTAATGGGGAGCAGTAGCATGCTGCGCTTCAAACCAGCGACCTGAATTTGATTCCCGCTCATGGCCAACACCAGTGACAATTATCTGAACTGGTCATGGGCCTCCCCTGGGTCGACTTAGTCTAAAATGAGTACATGGTGTGGTGTGTAAATATCACCACTGGAGAGACAAAGGTGGCCGGGAGTGGTGTTGGCCCCCCACCCCGTGTGCCGTGCCGGCCTTCATAGGTACTCGCTAACAGCACTTGCCCCAACAGCCTGCTCAGGCTATAGAGGGGATCTTTGTATTTGTGTTCTTTTTTGAACCCCACAAGGCCTATTCCATGCCTCGAAGTGTCATTATTATTATTTAAGCGTAAGTGGTCGTGCCCCTTACCTTCCAATTTTTACCTGCTTACAATACAGTGTGCGCATGTGAATCTACATATTATAGAGGTGCTCGCTAACTGCACTTGCCCCAACAGTCTGTTAAGGCTATGCAGGGGATTTTTGTCTTAGTTTTTTTTTATTGAACACTGCTTGTACCAACGTTTTTACCTACCCATAGAAATGGATCACATGTGAAACCTAATGCCTTTTACCGGTAAAATAGTTTATTTACGCACCCAGATTAATATTGTTCCAATCTGATTTAAATATCAACCCTGTCTTAACCCATACCGTGGCCACCATTATTAGTGTTTGGTAAATCGGCACATATATAGGTTCCTCCCCACCCACATCATTCCCTCCATGTAACTATTAACACTGTTACTTATCTTGGGACTAAAAGTGTTAAATATCGCCTTTAAATATACTAAAATCACCTGTCCCGCAATAAAAAAAAAGTAAACAACACAATGCAATTGTACTGTTAAAAGAATGCTGCTTTATAAGACCAGGCTATAGATGTTATTTGTAATTTGGGGAGTGATAGAGACCAAGTGTAATCATGCTGCAGCTACTCTTCACTTACCTCTATTAGCCACATCTGTTGTGGGAATTTAGATAAGCCCACAGCAATTTATTGTTCTCAATAAATGAAAACTAGAACCAGCCTGAGGCAGCGAGACCAATAGGTCTTATCACTTGGCAATGACGCAGGGTAATTTCACTAACAAATTGTCCACTATATATTATGATAACTCCAGCCCATTGATTTTAGCCTTTCTCTCCCTGCTGATGCTTTCTTAATCTTGAAGAGCGACATCCCGCAACGTCAACATACAATCTTAAACGATACAGGCATGTAGATGTCAACGGCTGTGTGCTGTACCGCTCTCCAGTGTTATTTTCAGTTTGTGCAGCGTGTTGTCCAACACTTCACGCCGTGTTCTGGGAGCTTTTTCTGGAACATTGAATTCAGTTCCAGAAGAAGCTTCCCAGCACGTCACGCGAAATGTTAAACATCACGCCGAACAACGCGCGGCACAACCGGAGAACACGTTGAAGAGTTCATCTTAAACGTGCCTAATAAGGGTACATCCAGTATTTTATTTTCAATATTTCCCCCTTCGGTGAACCTTCCTGAATTCACAGTAGCAGCGTTGCGTGTGGGTCAAGGTCACGAGGGAGCAAAGTAGCCAGTGTATTGTACTTTCATTTCCGTGGCTTTAGCAGCCTGGGATGAAAATATCCATGTCAGTGTATGTGTGTGTCCCTGGTACAGCCATCCCTAAATTATTTTGTTTTTACCATTATTTACCCAATTGTAATGAGGCCCATGAACAAATTGCTTGCCAGCATCAGTTCTTGTAATGTTTAGGAGTTTTGGATGCAGAGGGATGTTTACATATGTTTTCTTGTGTTTATAATGTATGGCAGTGTATGATTTACAGTGTGTGAATAAGACTTAGCTGCTAATTATAAATTATTAATTGCTTGTGTTCTTTCGTGGTTATTTAATTGCAAAACTAGAGACAACAATAAAGCAGAGGTAGTGAAGTATGATTTCCATCATGGCCTATTTACCCGTTTCTCAAGTATCTCACTTAAAAATGCGCATTTGTAAGTAGCAATAAAACATGCTATTTATTTCTATGAAACTTGTATTTAAAGCTCTTGAAGGCACAGTCTTCGTGTAATATTATTTTAAATTTAGGAGAGCATTTGCATGCCACCTAATTGGCAGGAAGAAAGAATGTCTGCAGCTTCACTTCAGTCCCTGTGGGGCAAGCAGAAGTCAGGACAGAGGCTTACGTGAAGCTGAGCTGACATGTAGAAGGTTAAAAGGTTGTTAGCATTGTAATACGTCATGAATAATTAACATCACATGTTTAATTATGTATCTATGCATGTAAAGTTCTGCAGTTGTAACTATAATTGTCTCAGAAGCACATTCACATAAAAACCGAGGGATATCCCATGAGTACCAGCCAATATAACAGGACATATGTTACAGCCTCCACATAATTTTAATGACTGGATTATTAATGCCATCAATTACAGATCCGCACAATTGAAAAGTAGGTCTCGTGGAAATGCACAAAATTATGCACTAATGGGATAATTTTAATATATACAATGTTTTACGTGTGAACTGTATGTGCATATATGCAGTTATAAGTGTAGTGGGTTCTACGGAGGCACACACTTGAACTTGGAGGCAACACGTTTATTACACGACCCCAACAGGGTAACTACATAAACGTACACTGGTAAACTAGACCACAATGGGGTAACTACATAACCGGATCAGTCAATAATATACTGCCTGACCAACGATGCCGAGCGTAAAGACCGAAGACCGAGGATTGAAGAGATGTAGCACCGGCGGGTTTCATTCCAACAGACAGCCGCGATTGCTCTCGGGACTTCCCTTTTATGCTCCCGAGCGCAGCCTCGGTCCACCTCCAGCCACGCCCCCTTCTGGATCTTACCAGAAGGTTCTCGACTGAGCATCACGTGTCCCTCAAGCCCCCCTTTGGGCTCCCTTGCTACCCACGTGCCCTCTCCGGTTCACCCAGATTGTCACGTCCTTACTTGCCCTCTCTCTGACCATCATCAGAACCATGCCCACTAGGGCCCGCTTCCATACCATATCTACTCTGGTGCCAGAGAGAGGCTTAAGATGCACAGTTCCACTCTTGTGATAGTAGTTGGCGCTAAACGCCATAGTGACACCATTTACATCACTACATAAGTAATACAAAATATTCAAAAACACAAGTGCCTTGGCAGGTGAAAAAAGTAGCTGTTATATATTTAAAGTAAATGTAACAAGTAAAAAAGTACAGCCCTGCAATCACTTGCTGGTGAAAGGGCCTCGACTAGAGGGAGCTCTAGAGAGCCCCATCTGCAGGATATTTGGCCTCATCTTCCACACTGGTCGGACGTTTTGGAAGAGGTGGGAATATTGCACACTTTGTATGAATGTACGTTGAACCTGTTTCGCAAAGTACGTAGCCAACCGTGCTCATGCGACTTGCCAGTCGACTGTGGTGAACCTAGGGAGGAGGGATGTGGGGGCATTCATGACACTTCCCCACCAAATGTTTCAACTGAAAGACTGCGAGATCGAGCTGGCAACCTCTAGATTACACAATAAAATCATCCTGTAAATAAATGAATACATTTTTTGTATATTGTTATGAAACATTTACATCGATGCACTTTTATTTACCTGATAATAACGGAAACACAATTGCATTCTCAAATGTATAAATCATCACGCCAACTCATGTCATCCTCGCAGTGGCTTTTGGATAGCTGTCTAACAAAGACAGTCACTGCATCGCGCACTTTCAGATGCGTTTCTGCGGCGATCTTGAACGCTGTTCCTTCCGATATTAGGAAGCGACTGGAGCTATGCACTTTTAAATCTAGATTGAAAACTCATTTCTTTATAACTTATTTTTGTGTTTAGTTTGTTGTCCTTTCCCCGCACCTTCGATTAGCACCGTTGGCTACGGTTCAAAATAAGTTCTACAATGCATACAGCATGAGCCAAATTTACATGAATTTCGTGTGCATATGGTGCATTGCTGATGTCTTCAAAACCGTAATCTCGTGCGTGTTGTTTCGTGCTGCAGCGGGACACTGTGGACCGCCAGAGGCACTGGTGAACGGAGAGGTGGTAGGCGTGGAGTTTGGTTACAGGGATACCGTTGTCTACCAGTGCAACCCTGGCTTCCGACTAATTGGCTCTTCTGTCCGCGTATGCCAAAAGGACCATAAGTGGTCCGGTCAAGTTCCCAACTGTGTCCGTAAGTGCAGCGCTCTCCTGTGCACATTTGGGGTAAAACAAAAAACACTCACTACAGGAAGTCTATTTTCATCAAATGTATCTGACATTTTAAGGCATCTTAACACTGCGCATTCCATTGGTTGATTTTTAGATTTTCATTAAATTCAATCTGGAATATTCAGCAGATATATTGAACTTCCTGCTGTGTGCTTTTCGTGAAAAACATCTATATCTTAGTTAATAACAATGGGACAAAAGGTGGTGATTCCTTTTTTTGTTAATATAATCATGCTTGTTAACATGCATATAATTTTGGCATTTTTTTACACACAATTTGATAAACTATTACTTTAATCTTTCGAGGCGAAATTGTACTTTCATGAAAGTAATGTTTTTATCTTGCAGTATGTTTACTGAGCAAAGTATAATGAGCACAAGTAATGTGGTACAATAACAATCATACGGATTGCAATTGATTTAGTGCTGTAACATGGCAAGCCATTCCAAGGGTGCTGTATAATTACCTTTGACATTATGATATTTTTAAATCTTGGTATTGTTTTTATTTGTATATCTCATGTCAAGTTCGCTTTTATTTTGTTTAACCAGGTGTGAACTCAAGAGACCAGGCTAGTCTAATTTGCAAGAGAGATCAAGGGCATCAGTCTGCCAGTTGCGGGTGATGATTGCTATGTATAGTCCCAAATGAGTAACTTGTGGTGTAATTTTTTTACTTGGAAAATTTGGACCCTGACGCTAGCACACAGTGGCCTACTGTTGCGAACCACATCAATGGATCTTTAACGTCCACTGCGAAGCAGACGGCGCATAGTAGTATTAGGGTTATTACACCCACAGTAATAACCAGGGCGGCCAGCTGGATTTGAATCGTGCACCTCTGCAACAAGCGACAAATGCATTACCGCTGGGCCACATCACTTCCCGTTTGGTCAAGAGGGGTGTTTTATCAGTCCGTGTTGAAATAGTAATATGTTTGATATATGTCCAAGGTTCGATGTAATACTTGTTTTTTTCTCTTCCCAATCCAAGCTCTCAGCTGTGGCCATCCAGGCAATCCAGTACACGGTGTTACGCAAGGCAATTGGTACAGCTACTCGGATGTGGTCAATTTTACGTGCAATACTGGGTACACGAGTGAAGGCTCAATGCATGCCCAATGTCAGGCCAATGGACAATGGAGCTCTTCTATTCCAGTGTGCAAAGGTATGACTGACCATGTCATTTAGCTTCATCATATTTAACCAGTAATGTTATTCATTTCCCTGCCCCCCACCCCCACCCTAAAAAACATTAAGAGAGTAAAGTTGGAGTTCCAAGTCTGATGGGAAAGTATGTAAATAGCATTCGTTATGTGTTGTGTTTACATATTCTTATTTTGTGATAATCATTATCATTTAATATTCATATTGCACCTCCCACGTAGTACATCTGAAGGTACCAGAGCAAAATGGTATTTGAGATAATTACTCAAGAAGGAAGCAATTTCAGAATAATTGTCGTATTCAAAAGAAATACAACATAGACAATAGACACAGCAAACGAGTGAACAAATTGAAAATATCGTTAGTACATATTGTAAATGATGAGAACACATCATGGCAGGACAAAAAAGGGCAACATTTGACGAGATTGCATGTAATTATGTGGCAATATTAGGGTCAATTGTAAAGAAACACTTAGCAACGTGTGGCTACAGGATCTCACCGTGGAGAAAACTGTATTGGCCAATGACAGTTACAAATTCCCCACTCCTACCCCACTTACCCTTGACGCAGCCTAGGGCGGGAATAATACAGAAGTGTAGTGTCGTTTAAATTATTTCACACACTGTAATGAAAACCCATGAAATATATCACCAGAAAACATCAACATGTGATGTCTACTGCTGCTTGATGCTGCCTAACGCTGTCCAATACTGCCCACTTCTTTCCAAAAAGGCTGAACATTGTTGCTCACTGCTGCCCAATGTCTCCCGCTACTGCTCCACTGCTGCCCAATGCTGACTGCTGCTGCTCACAGCTTTCCACTGCTACCAGATGCTCGCCACAATATCAAAAATCTGCTCTCCTCTTCTGCTCAATGCTGCCCTCTACTGCTTAGTGTTTTTTGTTCCTCCAAACTGCTGCCCAATGCTTCCTGATATTCATTGCTGCTCAACACTTTCCATTGCTGCCCCATGTTGCCCACTTCACTCGTGCCCAATTCTTACGACTGATAAACTTGTAATACACTGTTCCTCACGGCTGGCCAAAGCACCCTCCTGACCACTGCTGCACCCTGTTGTCTGCTGTCCACTACTACCTAATGCTACAGGCATCGGTTTAATGTCTTACTCCTAGCGTGGAACATTACCATGGTAAAGCTGAGAGCTCCCCCTAAATCCCCGTCCTACCCACCTCCACTCTAGATCATCCTTTTTGCCAATAGCAGTGCTGGTAATGCGTCTAAAGAATTCCTTACACCTTCATGGAAACTCCAACCGAGAAAATGTACGAGAAGGCATCAGGGTCTACCTACAGGGAACTTTTAAGTGATCTAGGTGCTTCCGTTTGTTTACAATGTGACGACAAATTAAAAGGCTCAACAATATAAGCAATACACACCAAGCAATGGTGATGTCTTGTATTGTTTTAGAGTTATTATTACTCAAAGTTGACCAAATTGCACTACTATTCAAAGAGGAATCAGAATGTGTATTTATCCTGAAGAGGGTAGTGGCTCTGCTTTATTCAATCAGCGTCAGCAACTGCTTCGATAACAAGTACATGCTGTTAGAGAAACACACTTAAAAGTCACAATGATCCTTCTTTATCAGCCCAATGGAGGCTGTACTTTTGCGGCATCTCATTTGAATAATTTGTGCAGTCCGTTTGTAACCACATGACTGCACAGTAATTTTATCATATTTCATTCGGAGGCTTTGTAGATGTTTTGGCATGCAACGTATAAGTTTGTAGCCTACGTGGTCACCGTGGAAGTAGCATTACATAAAAAAAAAATATGTATTGTATTCAGCACTGACTGGTCTACATCATAGTGGTTGAGTGATATATGGGATTCTCTGTATGTCATTGCTTGATATCAGAAATTCAATTATGGGCGTTAACATTACAGCGCTTGCTATTATTATTTAAATTGATGCCATAAATTTAATTGCTAATATCACATTTTAACGGAAATGTAAATTTTGATTGCTTTAACGGTGATTCATCCTTACTTTTAACGTGATCGAGTCTGGTGATATTAATAAGAATACTAACACTCGTGAATTGTACTGACGGTCGCTGGATGCCCATGACATTGAACCGAACATCTTATTGGGCTCCTCGTTCTCAAAATAAATAAAATCTAAACTTAAATTGCATCTTCGAGCCTTCATTTATTAGCCGTTCAGCAATAGTTTAACCTATTTTTCTGTTTATTGTTAACAGTTGTCAACTGCACAGACCCTGGAATCCCTCCCAATGCCATTCGAAAAGTGAGCAAAGGAAATGAGAACTTTATGTTTGGAGCGATGGTGTTTTACGAATGCAATCCTGGATATTATCTCTTTGGTTCATCTGTGATGACTTGTCAAGAAAAGGGTACCTGGGACCATCATCCATCTCAGTGTGTGGGTGAGAAATGTTTCCTTTTAATCGGGATATTCACATTAAAACAAATAAAATGAGAATGTAATGTATCACTTACATTATCGGACATCATGCCAGTCAGCGGGGGCGAGATGTTAACTACCTTGCCTAGTATACAGGAGGTCGTGGGTTCAATCCTCACCGCGATGTCTGCATATTTGGAGTTTGCATGTTTTCCCTGTGGTTGTGTGGATTTTTCTTCGGGTCCTCCGTTTTTCTCCTCATTTAGAAAAATGCATTTAGAGTATTTGGGTGCTATACATTTCCACATGATAAGCCACTCCATTGACCTTTCAATTGTGACCAGGTCGCTTCTGAAAATGAGCTATAGAGCTCAGTGGGCCTTACCTGGTAAAATAAAATAGTTACATTTTAAAAATATATAATAAAATAATATGTTTTACTTTTATTATTTTATTATTTCCCTTCTACGTGAATTTACCAAAAGAACCAAGAAGATGAATCCCTGCAGTCACGAAAGCTTTAAATTGAAATAGTTAAATTTTGTTGAAGTTTATTTTCATTATCTTCTAGGCCATCAGTTCTATGCCAAATACATGCAGTCTATTTTTAATTAAATTTTAACTTTCAGCACAAATAATTTCATCAATGTACTTTACATATTTACCTGCACACGTTTATACTACGGTAATATAAATGCAATGCATAGTTATTCAGAAATCAACTGAAATGAATGTTTTCAACTGTGTCATGCAGATGATAAACTGAGAACATAACCCTGAAATAGCTTACACCCAAATGTATACACTATTGTTAGTAATAATGAAATTACTATTTCATAAGAACTGTATCTTCTGTTATGAGCAGAGAACTCTGAAACCCAATATTTATGAATGGAAGAGAGTAATTCATTTTTGTAGGGTTTGCAGCTGTGCTATATAGCTCTCTGGTGTGTGTTTGGGTTGCACCACATATTGTTCAATATGATGTCCAACGTTTTGCTCAATGTGCTGGAGGCTCCTTTATTTCCCGAATAAGCTTTCGGCACACAGAGAAAAATTTCAGACGTCATGCCAGACAATGTGCGGCACAACCCTAAAATGCACGAGTGACCTATCGGATGTTTTCATTTTAACTGAACACCCATACCCTCACAGTGGTGAGCTGTAGGCCACCCGGGAGTGGCCCCCAATTCCCTTCTGTCTGGGGAGAGGTTCACATTCGGGGCGACCGTCACCTACAGCTGCACGGGGAGCCGCCTTCTCATCGGCAACGCCACTCGCTCCTGCCAGGCCGATGGGCGCTGGACTGGCTCCCAACCGCACTGCGCAGGTGAGGCACACGGCATAGGTGACTGCTTGCTCATGACATTGCCGGCGGAAATGGCCCCCATTACACAGCCCCTCTCGAAGGTATGTTGGGCCTGCTCTTCCATGCTGGCCAGGCATCTTTGAAGAGGTGGAAGTATTACACAATTTGCCTACCGCATGTGACTGCAAATTGACTTACTGTGGTGTATCCATTCGTACTGCTCCGTTGAGAGAGGATGTAGAATTACATATCCAGTGCGGTAAACATTACACCATGGCAGCATCCCACATGGCACGGGTGCGTATGGACAAATATTCGTTCATTTAACCTGATAATGCATGAGACAGTGTTGTTTAGAACACGAGCAGTAAAAGCTATTTCCTTTACCCAGGAAGCCTTACGGAGTCCCATGGCTCTCTTTCAGGAGGATCCTGCATTTTGATATTGGCTAATTCTTTCATGGGTATTTGTCATTTAGGAGAAAACCAGATTATCAGACAAAACCCACTTATATTCGTAGGAAACACTCAAGCCTGACACGGATAGATTTAGGATTTCGTTGCTCTACTTTCATCTTCTGGCCACCTCACAGTCAAAGCCTAAAAAACCTGGTATTTATAGGTATTCTTTGGGTCTTTTCGGTAAAGCCACGTAGATAGAAAAAGAAATCAAAATAATAACAATATCACGACGTTTCGATCGCAACACAAGCAATCGTATTCAGGTGAAATAAGTAATATTGAAAACAACTTAAAAAAAACACGCTTTAATGAAATGTACCGTACGAGTAATGGCAAAACTCCACGACTCCAGGAAGTGGCCCCGAGGCTTGCCATAACGTAAGGGACCGTGGTGATTTACAGCCAACGTCAGTTGAGTGTGGACAATTAGACCGAAGCCGAAACATAACATATAAAAAATAATGTTAATTATTTTTTTTATGATAGAATATAGTATTGTCATGAGTATGGCATAAGTATACCAAGTTTGCAGTCGATACCACATTGGAAAGTGGGTTAAAATTGAGTTACAAGATTTGAGGATACAACAACAACAACAGACAGAGTTAAATTAAAGCGTTTAAAAAGAGGGGGAAATCTGCCAAGGCAGGCTGTTTATAAAGGTTTCGAGATGGGCGGGGCAGCTAATGTTAATGTAGGAGAGGTACTACGGAGCTGTGGGTGGTGGCCATTGTATTGTGAGAGATTAGCATGTCAATGTAAGAAATTTGAAGCGTGACGAGAGCTCGGACAGCGCAGTGGCCTCATGGAGGTGGAAAAGAATAGCAGGCCGCCATTTACTAACACAGCCAACGTCTCCATCATTGGCTCACCGACCTAAAAACGGTGGCTGTGTTAGTGAATGTAACTCAGAGAGTCGAAAACATCTGCTAACATAGGCAGGTAGGATAGGAACATCACAGCCAGTTATGACCTAAACTGGTTAATAACGTCCTTCCAATGATTGCTCAGTTTGTACCCATCTTCTCGGTTGAAATTGTGTCTGTGTTTATATATCTGGATGGCGTCATGAGCGAATATTTGTTGATAGCCAGTGGGTTTGCAGAGTATCTTCGTCTTGGCAAAATAAATTTCGTGTGTGCCTACAGCGTTAAAATAATGATCAGCCACGGCTGAGGTATTGGTCCTACCATGTTTCAGATCTGCCTTATGTTCACGGACCCGGTCCGAGACATGTCGCTTATTTTCCCCAATGTAACTGCTGCCGCAGACACAGCTTAGTTTGTAGACACCGGGGTATTGCATGTCGGGGATCACATTATTCACAGAAGGGATGAAATCACAAATTTTATGTACCGTGTTGAATCGTTCCTGGATCTTGTGTTTGCTCATTATTTTTGAAATCTTTTTTGGTGACCCTTGCTATGTATGGCAAGGTGATGGTTTTTATTGGGTCCTCAGATGGTTCTCTCCCCACGGTTGGGTTGATAGCTTTCCAGATTGTGTAGTCCGAATATCCATTCATCTTGAGGGCTTTGTGTACGTGCTCTAGTTCACTGGCTAGGTGGTGATGGTCAGAAATACAATGAGCTCTGTGGTATAGAGTTTTGATGAAGGAATTCCTCTGGGATGAATGGTGGTGGGAGTCAGGTTTTACGTAAGCATCCGTATGGGTGGCTTTCCTGTAGACAGATTGTCCCATTGAGCCATCAGGTCTCTTTTTGATTAAAACATTCAAGAATGATAACCTGACATCCTTTTCCACTTCCATGGTGAATTTGATAGCTGGGTGTATGGAATTGATGTGGTTGAAGAATTGGTCCAGAGCTAGTAGGCCATGTGGCCAGATGACAAACGTATCATCTTCGTATCTCTTCCACAAGGAAGGACGTAGGGTGGATACCTGGATAGCATGTCTCAAATTTCTCCATGAAAACATTGGTTACAACTGGAGATAAGGGAGAACCCATAGGGGTGCCTTCAACTTGTTTGTAGAATGTTCCATTCCAGGTGAAGTAAGTGTTGGTGAGGCCATGTCCAACCAGGGCTGGTACATCAGCATTCAATCCTTGTTGGACCACATCTTCAATGATTGCAATGGTGTCAGGCACAGTGACTTTGATAAAACAAAGATACCACATATAAACTGACAAGCAAATCACCTGGAGATAGTGAGCTGTCCTTAATTGAAGATATCAAGTCAGCTGAGTTAACCACAGAGTCACGCTAGCCGTCACTGTGCCTCTGGATATAGTCCAATCAGCGTAATGTCATGTTCTGTGGAGTACCGCCTCTTTTTGGGCGATTTCACTCCGGCTGAGAATCGCCCCGAGTGGCCCCATAGACTTACATTAAAAAATGTTTTTTTTCGACCGGGGAGCGCTGCAATGCATTCTCTATGGCTTCCGGGAGGGCTCGCACTAACATCCTTACGTCATCATACGTAAGCACGTTTCATCCAACAATATAATTTGTCGCCACCTAGTGGAATCTTTAATAAAATAAACTTGAGTAGATTGTATTAATAGGGAGTATAGAAACAAACAAGATGTATTGTAAGAGTCACTTTATTTTTCATTAATATTAAAGAAGTGAAGTTGCCTTTACATGCTTAAGCTGTTAATTTATCCATTGCATGGGTGGACCTTATCCTTATCAATCATCCAAACATTTGCCCCCCCTGAGAGATTTTGCAGGAGCCGCCACTGCTTACCAGTGAATGCTTCCAAGGTCTCAAAGAGAAATCGGGCCAGTTTGTAGGTCGGTGAGCCAATGGTGGAGACGTTAGCTGTGTTAGTAAATGGCGGCTTGCCATTCTTTTCCACCTCCATGTGGCCACTGCACTGTCCGAGCTCTCGCCGAGCTTCAAATTTCTCACATTGACATGCTAATCTCTCAAAATACAGTGACCAGCCCCCACAGCTCCGTAGTACCTCTCCCATATTGGCATTGGCTGCCCCGCTTATCTCTAAACCATTTGTAAACAGCTCTTTGATTGGTGTAGACCTACTGCAGGTGACGGCGACCTCTCCTACATTCACATTCGCTGCCCCACCCATCTCTAAATCTGTATAAACAGCCTGCCTCGGCAGATTTACCTCTCTTTTTTAAATCCTTTATATTAAGTTCACTTGCTTGCTTGCTTACGACCATGCAAATCTTTTGGTCGTTTTTTAACCCACTTCCCGTGATCCAATCGAGCTGACATTTTCCACACAGACTCGTTGTGCGTGACAATTAATGTTCGTGAAATTTTTTTTTCAAAATCTTACATTTTTTAGGAAAAAAATATTATATTTAATTACCAATTGTTTAATGGTGCAATGCAATCATCTGACCCATAGGTGGCAGCCATCTCAAGCCAGAGGACGAGAGGACTCTAGCTACCACGCATATAAAGGATTTATAGTGAAAAACTTTGTTTTTACGGGTTATACTTGTTTCACCTGAAGACGATTGCTTGTGTTGCGATCGAAACGTCGTGATATTGTTATTATTTTTTATATCTACGTAGCTTTACCCAAATAATATGAATTCCTGCAGTCACGAAAGCTTTAAGTCAAGATTTATTTACAGGTAGTTTCCTATACAGAAAGACACCCCAGCATGTGCTGTTGTAAAGACATTGTAGCTGGATGGTAAATACTTGGCTATACTTTCCTGTAACCTGGAATCAGAAGTGGGTTGCTGGAGTTGCGGAAGAACATGCTGTAAAAAGGAAAGGTTTATTTTTACATTTCCACTAGACATGAGTAATAGCAATGAAGTGGATCGATGGGTGTGTAGTATCGTGAATACAGCTACTAATGTAAGTGTCGAGACACAAATGTCTCTGTGGGTCGCGCCAGCCACAGTGCTGGAGGATCGCCGGGTGCCCCAATTGGACAAGCTAAGGGCACGTGGCCGAAAGTGGGCCTCGATTGAAGGAATTAAGGAAACGTGGCCGCAAGCGTGGGCGCCGTTCTTGATTCGGCAAGGGGCGGCGGCTAAGGGATAAAGGGGGAGCGCGTTCGGGGATCAAGAGAATTAACAGACACGCACGTAGTGAGCAGCCTAGAACAAGTTAGCCACACTTACTCTTAGGTTTTTTTCGGAAAAAGTCACGTAGGTAAAAATAAAAAAAGATTTTTAATATTATTTTATTTCTATTACTTTTTTAAAATAAAATAATAAATGAAAAATATTCTTATTTAAATGTTATTACTTTTTTTTACCTACGTGACTTGACCGAAAAAACCCAAGAGTATGAATCCTTGCAGTCACGAAAGCTTCAAATCTAGAATTAGCCACACTTAGCAACAGGATCCGGTGTACAGTGAATTGTTTAATAAACGCGTTGCCTCCTACAAAGGTGTGTGTGCTCCTCAGTCGACATACACTACAGGTGGAAGGCAGAGTGGGGTGGTGTGAAAAGGTTTAGGTGATGAAAAGTAGAGATAGCTGTGCATACAGTTCACGTGTGAGTTGTGACGGTGAGGAGACATGCGGGTACACACCTACGGCATGAATGTATCTATGGAAATTATTTGAGGCGGACAAGGATCAAAATCAGGAATTAAG